TCACCAACGGCCTTACGGAAGGTATGCACCCATACTTGTCTACCCACCGGCAAATCAATCGCATAACTAACCCCCTCACCAGCAATTGGCAACACCCCCCTCATCCGTCTGAAGAAGCTCTCCGAAGAAACCGGCTGCAACATTCTCGGCAAAGCCGAGTTCCAGAATCCCGGAGGCAGCGTCAAGGACCGCGCGGCTCTCTTCGTCGTTGAGGATGCGGAGAGAAAGGGACTCCTGAAGCCCGGCGGTACGGTGGTAGAAGGCACGGCAGGAAACACCGGAATCGGACTCGCCCACGTCTGCCGCTCCAAGGGCTACAAGTTGGTCATCTACATGCCGAACACCCAATCGCAGGGCAAGATCGACTTGTTGCGTCTCCTCGGTGCCGAGGTCTACCCCGTCCCCGCCGTCGCATTCGACAACCCGCAGAACTACAACCACCAGGCTCGTCGGCACGCCGAGTCCTTGGACAACGCCGTCTGGACGAACCAGTTCGACAACACCGCCAACCGCCAGGCTCATATCGAGACGACTGGTCCGGAGATCTGGGCGCAGACGAACGGTCAGATTGACGCTTTTACTTGTGCTACGGGTACCGGTGGTACTTTGGCTGGTATCACGCGCTACTTGAAGACTGTCAGTGATGGAAAGGTTAAGAGTTTCCTTGCCGATCCTCCGGGCAGTGTGCTGCACAGCTATATCCAGAGTGGCGGGAACTTGGTTGAGCGCACCGGTAGCAGTATCACTGAGGGTATTGGCCAGGGCCGTGTCACGGATAACCTGCAGCCGGATATTGGTCTGCTGGACGGATCGCTTAACATCCCTGACGAGAAGTCGATCGAGATGGTCTACCGCTGCTTGGATGAGGAGGGTCTGTACCTCGGTGCTAGCTCCGCTTTGAATGTGGTGGCCGCGCAGGAAGTGGCGAAGAAGCTGGGCAGGGGTAACACGGTCGTTACTATCTTGTGTGATGGTGCCTACCGCTATGCGGACCGGCTGTTCTCCAACACGTGGCTGCAGAGTAAGGGACTGCGTGGCGCGGTTCCGAAGCACTTGGAGCGCTATGTTGTGCTTCCTTAGATGTAAATCAGATATCAACTTGTGAATAGATACGATGTATGCTAGAACTAGTTCTCAGCCTGGTAGTAATAGTACTACTTCAATGGGACTCATCATGATAATACCCAAGACCCACTAGTACATGGTAGTATATATATATATCCACGCCACATCATGACTTCGACTCACCCAACCCCGGCACTACAGGATTCATGGAACCCACTACTCCCCCATTGTCCCTTTCCTTCTCTACTACTTCCCTCAAAGATCATACTAACTTCACACTAATAGACAACATAATAAGCCCATGAAATGAAACTCTTTCCGAGGAACCATATGACGGTAGTCAATAATTTATAAAGTTATCTACAGTTACATCTACTAGTTAGCTACTGTCAGAAACAGTTATCATTATTACTATCTATGTAACTATAAGTTTTCATACCAAATCATTTTCAAAAGCTAAGTGGCATATGCGGTACTACAGTATTTAAAGTATATTTATATCATTGTTGACTTGACGTCATTCTATACATCGTTCTAACTACTACATAATTCGATACTACTAGCTGAGAATATAATTAATCTCCAGTCTCTACATCCACCAACCCCACCACCATACTAGATAGTAACACTGCTGCAATGAAGATCTATTTTATCTATACACAGAGTAGTAATATACAATGAGTCGAGACCTCAACCATCAAGTCTATCAGCACCTCAATCAATCAACATCACCCAGAAGAAAAGGAATTATAAAACGCCATAAAATGCACCCATCCCAAACGCCACCCATGAGACAAACCCATACCCTCATCACCTCCTCTCACATTACACACCCCCTCCCTCCCTTCCCCCTCTCCCCTCATCTTCAATAAATCTAATCATCCTTCTCCGGCATCCTCATATAAGCATCAATAGCCGCACTAAACGCCGCAAAGCCCGCACACCCGGCAGCAGCAGCCTGGGGGCCGGCCTTCGCACCCAAAATACCACCAGTAATGCAACCCGCGGCCACCGAATTCGTAAGATCATTCTTGGCCCTCAGTCCCTCAATACAGCACTCCGTGCCAGAGTACAACGCACCCACGATACCGAAGTTCTTGGCGCTGGACCACGACCGCTGGCCCATGTCTTTGAAGCCGCGACGTACTTGCTCTTTCCAGGGGAGGTCGGCGATCGCTTTGCCCTGGGGGGTGAAGGTGGAGTCGTAGGACATCTATATATATACCAAGACTCGGATATCAGTATTGAGTTTTAAGGAGGGTATTTGAAAAGAGGGGGAGGCATACGCTAGCCATAAACAAACCGAAGACACCACCCAGACCGAAACCCATTGTTCCGGCCATGACGGTCTTCATGGGGCAGGATTCCATGGCGGAGTACATCTATTGTTTTGATCGGTGTGTTAGCTTGATTCTTTGGGTGTGAGAGGAAGAGTTTAAAGGGGGATGGGTATGTATGTACCATCTTCACCATGGCTTGTTCTTGCTCGCTCATGCCCTGCATGTTGGGGCCTGCTGCGCCGGGGGCGCCGCCGAGGCCGCCCATCGGCGTGGTCATGCTAGCGGGGTTCATTGTGTATGATGTGTTCTTTGTGTGAGGTAGGGTGGTGGAGCTCGAGAGGGATCGAAATGGAGGCTGGAGTGGTTGGAGGAGCTCCGCGACACGGTGGTAGTGGTGTAGGTAGACAGACGGCCGATTATCGCATCCCCGGACTTTTTGCGGAGATGGCGACGGGCGCAAATTTATTTTTACGGGACGCGGGAGGTGCCAGAGTTACAATGTCACGTGATATCCCGGGATTTCGCGACACTCTATATACTCTCGTATAGAGGCGTCAAATAAAATAGTCAAGGTTGCTACTGATACAAAGGAAATTACCAGATGTAACGTATTTTACAAGCCAGTGCTGATAACATAAATACATTCTAAAACATGCAAGAAGATAAAGAGTGAAATCAACGCTCATCGTAAAGGGTATTGCAACATTCATAACCCTGCGTTAATCCGTCGGTCTCAGTTTGGTCGCACATATCGTGTCCATATTTACAATAGCATTGGAAGAATAATAATAATCGAAAGGCCGTAATCGAACGGCACTTTCAAAGTAATTGGGCAATCAATCACGCTTGTCGTCCTTGTCGATCGGCGAATAGGGTTCCTTTCGCTCGGGGGAGAGACTCCGCTCCCATTCGGCCATCAGATTGGACGCAGTCCGGGTCAACTTCGAGGGCGCCAGCTTGGTAATGGCCGGCCAAGGGATACCGTCGGATACGCTGGGATCGGGAACAATGGACTCGTGCAGGGCGCGCCAGTCGCCAAAACTAGTGCCAGTCAGCGTATCACTGTAAAGGACAAAGACGAGGACAACTGCCTACGAAAAGATATCAAAACACTTGAGTAAAACCTACCTGGTACTTGTACGTGGACTGCTGTTCTGCGTCATCGGGGACTGGTCCTGCTTCGACTCCAATGTGGAGCGGCTTGAGGACGGCGTGTGTGTCTTCTTCGGCGAGTCCCATTCCCAGTTGTCTTCAACATCGGGGATGTGGGAGTCGCCCTGTTCGATCCGCCCGCTTGGGGTACTGGAGGCTCCGCGAGCGCTCCGGGACTTCTGCCCAGCTGTATCAATGCCGAATTCACTCCAGAACGACGCGTCAATGTCCGCCGAGTTGGAGTCTTTACCAGAATATTTCGTCCCCGCGCGTGACGTTCTGCCCCCCTGCATGGATAACCGGTCTCTGCTTCGCGATGTCGAGCTAGATGAATCCCGCTTGCGCACGGGCGGCACTCCGCGGGATTCGGTCGCACTGATGCCCTCTTCTCCTACGGTTGCTTGTCGGATATCCTCCAAGAATGTCCAGAGTCCCTCGCGCAGGTCCGACGCCATTTGCTTGCCGGTGCGCATCAGCGCCTCGCGAGACGGAGGAGGCATGGTGTTTCGCCACTGAGCGATCATGTCCTCGGTGGGCTTGGAAGAGTCGCCCGAACCTGCACTGCGCTCCACAGACGACGGCAGAGTGGCTGACCGGGGAGACCGGCCGATACGACCATTCACCGAGTTGGTCTCCGACTCCGATGCGGCCCTGCCGTCTCCAGAAACCGAGACCGGCGACAGCAAGGACAGGGTCCGAGTGTGAGAGCCTCGGAACACCCGCCGTCCATTGGCCGAGACGGTCGTGCCTTGGGTTGCAGCTGCGCGCAGACTGTGGCGGCGGTCCAGCTCCCGGCTGAGTCGTGCGTGCGCTAGCGAGGGGCTCGCGGAGCCGCTCAGACTGGGGTCTCGACGATGCGAGCGCTCCGGAGTCTGATCGGGCGATCGCAGCGGGATCAAAGGCTCTGCCCGATAGCTGATTTCCGCTCGCTTTTTGGTCCTCTCCGACGAGGCCCACTGCTTTTTCAATGAGTCCAGCTCAGTCTCCGCCCGATGGAGCTCCTCCCGCAGCTCTAGCACCCTTCTTTCCTGGGAGGCGATGGCGGTCAACAGCCCGGAGCCATCATCTTGTTCGTCAAAGGCCAAGGGAGCCCCGAGATGGGGGATCGGCGAGGGGTAGGCGGAGGAACGAGTCACAGGCGTCATGGATCCAGGGGAGGCAACACTCGCACTAGGGTCGACGGTGGCGGGCGGCGGGATGTTGATGGGGAAGTTCAGGGTCAGTCGTTTGGCGTGTCGAGCAGCACCATTTGGACGTGCTGGCAGAGAGGATCGCTTCGACTGAAGGGTAGTTCGATCATGCTCATCAGTAGTGGGAGGGTTTGGGTGGTGGTGCGTGATGTGGTCGGGCGACGACAGCTGCAGCAATGTCTGGGACGTTTCCGGAGCCATTCCCGCCCTGCCCGTTCCCGGGGAATCCCCCATGACGGACCAGCGTACTGAGGATGGAGACTGATCAAACGGGGCCTGGGGAGTTGGTTACAGAAGCTGAAGCGACAGAATCATGGCAAAACCCTCGAGAGTCGACCAGAAGGACAGAAACAAACAATCAGGGGCCCGTGAGACAGATGAATCCTCCAGGGGGCGGCAGGAGGAAGGGGAATTGGCTGATAAGAAAAAGAATGTATGGGGCCAATCAGCCGCATAAACAACGTTCGTCGTTGGAGGCAGAAAAGGGAGGAGAGGAAAGAGAAGAAGGTCAGGGAGAAGAGAAAAGAAGAAAGAAACGGGCCGGGAAGCAGCACGGCCAAGAGAGAGAAGGAGTGTAATCAAATCAAATCAAATCGAATAAAAATGCAAACTGGGAGAGAGAGAGAGAGGAAAAAAAGGTCTGGCCGAGGGAGCGAAAGCATGGCTAAGAGCCAACGGGTCTTAGTGAAGGTCACTAAAACCACGAAGCTCGCGGGCGAAGGAGGAAGTGGATGGGCGATGGCGGGTCGCAACGCGCATCCCTTCCGCCTGCAGTCCTGCGTTTCACCGCGTCCTCATTTCTCTCTCGTCTCTTCAGGGGGTGAAGATGCGCTATGGAAATTACACCCGTAGTTAGATGATGATGGGCGATGCAAGAAGTTGTATCTTCGAAAGTCCTGGGTATACTGGGTAGTTAGTTAGTATACATGATAATATCTATCTACGTACTACATGATCGTCCATCACACACATTTCCATTTATCTGCCTGCACGATGCGGGGAGACCTGCACGCAAGGGGGAAGGATTGAGCAGCTTTATCAATGAGGATCATCATCCCCCTCCTCATGTGGTTGACAGCCCCAACGTGATGCCAATCTACCTGCAACTTGTCTTTCTTATTCTCTTTAACTTCCCGCTCACGAGGTGGTCCTGCTATTAGTTCCTCCCTCACTCCTCATCTCCCAAATTGCTTGCTCCTATTTTTAAACTTTCGTATTGTCCGGACCCGTCTTCTTGGGGGTCTGGATGGTCTGTCTGCTCGGCTGGTACTTCCCGTTATTACTATTGTGTTCCTATAATGCAGCATATACATGGTAGATTTTAAATAGGATTGTGGTTACCCATACATGCAGGTCGCAGATCGCCTGGTTTCCCCCCCCAACACCAGCTATAGTTCACATAAAAGTCCATACACGGTCCAAGATTATCCTTCCAACCAAAACGCAACAATGATCACATCAAGAGCAAAAAGAAAAAGAAAAGCAGAAAGAGAACTATCTATCAGAACAGAATTTAGTACATATGCTCGCCCGAAATATAATCATCAGAAATGAAGTCGCAGAGATTCGGAGCTGAGCCATCGAACCAGTCCCCAACGGGATGTGCCACGCTGCCACACCAGTTCGACCAGCAGCTGGCCTCCAGGTTGGCCACAACCCGAGAAGCCCAATGTATCGAAAATCCGTACCAAGCGAGGGGGAATTATGCAGAGAATGAAAATCAATAGGTGCAGCATACAACAAGCCCATGGACCCAACATGTAAACGCCCCGGGAACCGTTTTTGTACAGAAATAAAAATAGAACGTATCAATCGAAGACAAGAGCCGCAAGGGATCCTGTCAATAACGTCAGGGACACCAGGAGTTTAGATCCCCGGCCAGCGGTTGCGGAGGCCTTCCGACCATCGTTGATACAGCACATCGGACAACTGCTTCGTGTGCTCCATGCCCGGTACTTGCTGGCCCGGGAGATTCGCCAGCTGCGCCGGCTGCAGGTTGGACTCGGCCACTGCCGCACTCTGGCGGCGCCGGTGGCTTTTCAGATGTGGGTTGTTTTGTGCCAGAACCAGTCGCGGCCTCTGTGGGGACTCGGCCGGTGGAGCAGGTGGGACGAGGCTGGCCAACTTGGGGTCGCTAGAGTAACCGCCATTTCAATCAGCTTCCCTTGCCATTCGCTGCAGGAAAAATCGCCACTTACCCTTGCAGTCGCTCCGTCATCGCCCTCACGATATGATACAGACCCTCGGGGTCGATCATTTCCAGATCACTCCACGCCTCGGCCAGCCGTGAAATGGCCTCGCGCTTCTCGTCATCTCCCGTCGTGCCCAACACCTCCTGACAGGCAAGTCCCACCGCCTTGCTGTATGCGCGACGGCCCAGCTGTGCTTCCTTGCTGTTGGGCTCGGAGAAGAGCGTCTTGGGACTGGCATTTTCGTCCGTGTAGGAATACTGCGGAGGGTACGAAGCGTCGGCTGGGACCTTATCCGACACCCGACGGAATTGACGGACGGTCGATGGGCTGTTCCCAAAGCTCATGTCCACGCCCAGAGGTTGCTTCACGCCGCTGGATCGCCGCTTGGCACGCCGCAAGGATGGACTGCGTTCGGGGGCCGGTGTCCGTCTCACGGCGGTATTCGTTGCATGCTTTGGTGGAAGAGGTGGGCTAGAGATGTGCAAGTCGTCCATCAGCTCGGAGGCTTCGTCAAACACCCAATCCTGGGGTTCAGGCTCGTTCTCAAAGTCGTCAGGCTCTTCGCGGATAGCCATTGTTGGGGCTTTCACGGTATCAAAGACCCATCCGTCATCATCATCCAGATTCCGAATCGTATTGCTGCCGCAAAGTAGTTAGTGGATGTGATGTGTGTTCGCGGGCGGGCCACTTACAGAGACTCTGCATAGTACTTCACCTTGTGTGTCACACCCCGACCAGCATCCCAGTCCTGCCTCCGGTGAATCAGTTCCTGTAAAGCCTCCGTCTTCCCCGCATTTCGGATGAATTTGTGTCTCAGGAGATCCTTGGCGCTCGGTCTTCGGTCGGGGTCCTTGGTCAAACATTGTGCGATAAAGTCTTTGAAGGTGTTGCTATAGTCGTCGCCTTGCAAGCGGGGGGCAGGTTCCTTGGGAATCAGGAAAAGCACTTTCATGGGGTGAGTGCTGGCGTGTGGCGGCTCGCCGTTGATCATCTCGATCGCCGTAATACCCAGGGACCAGATATCCGCTTTGTAGTCGTATCCAGCCTGCTGGATCACTTCGGGCGCCATCCAGAACGGCGTTCCGACAAAGGTGTTGCGTTGGGATTTGATGTTGATTAATTGTGCGGCCACGCCGAAATCCGCCAGCTTGACCTTTCCGGTATGCGACAGAAGCACATTGGCGGCCTTGATGTCGCGGTGGATCTTGCCTTCGCTGTGCAGGTAATCCAGACCCAGCAGCAGCTGCTGGCAAATAATGGCGACGTGGGCTTCGTTAAAAACGCCGGGTTTCAGCTGGAAGTGGTTAGCGAAGCGCATCCAGAATCGACAGGTCACTCATGGGTTACCAGGTCCAGACAGGATCCACCACCGAGATACTCCATCACAATCCACAGCTTATGACCTCTCAGAAAACTCGCCTTGTATTGCGTCACAAACTGGCTAGCACAGGTGGCGAGGACGGAGATTTCCTGCTGGATTTCTTGGATATCATCTTCACTGGATTCGAGATCGATCTGTAACCGGGGAGATGTATGTCAGTAAATTGATACGTTCACCGGGCCAAAAAGCCATGCAGAGTCACACGCACATGCTTAATCGCCACAATCTCTCCGGTAGCCTTTTCAATGGCTTTGTACACCGTCCCAAAACTTCCACCTGCAGGTGCAAACGGTCAGTTCCCGATGCGATTGCCTCCACTGACACATTCCGCAGGACCACTCACTTCCTAGCTCCTCCAGCATCTGATAATGACCTGACATGTCGTCCTCCATGATTATCGTGCAGGAGTAACTCCTCCACACGTATGAGACAGCGACGACGTGAAAAGTGGAGAGGAAAAAAAAGAAAGAGGAAAAAGGTGAGCAGGGACCACACACAACTCAGCACACAAGGGGCAACCCGCACAGCCAGCCAGCTGAATTAATCCTGTGGGAACAAGATATCGAAGCTGAGCCGAACAAATTCGAGTGAACCGACCTTGGAGAGCGGAGGGATGGAGGAGCAATCACCGGAGAGCTGAGGCTATCTACCAAGGACTCCTCCATTCAAGGACCAGCCCGTCGCGCATCCGGTGGTCGGCAGCCGCTCGCTCCCATGGTTCGCGGCAGACACAACAGGCGGTAGCTCATGGCAACCATGGTTCCCGCTGCTTACCCCTTCACCGCCTGCCGCTGACCGCCCGGCTCGGATTATTTTGGGTGCCGACATGTCAGATCACATGCTGCTTGTCTATTTGGATTTGCCCAGGCTGTACGGAGTACTTGGTTTTCAACTTATCAGAAAGTAGTTACTTACTTAGCACTCCTTCAGCCCAGGATTAAGCTTCTGACCTCTGCAGGTGGCAAGGATAAGATAGTGTCCTACACTGAGGTGTGCAGGTTTCTTTCTAGCTGGCTCAGCAGCCACTTGATGAATACGGATCAAGTCTCGATCGTGCCTCGCTGTGGTTGGCAACATCATCGACGGGGGGCCTAAGAGTTAAATTGCTTTCCCCGCATAGCCTGTCATCTTTACTCTCTGATAGCTTACATACAGTTTACATAGAGCATACTAGTCTGACTAGGGTCCGTCGGCTGTCTCGGGAATCCGGAAGCCTAGCTATCCATGCTGCCTAAGAACTGTCGGGATGCATTGTCTACAACCGGAGAGCTCAGCTTATGCAATATCCTCGTCACGTCTGTTTAACTCGCCAAGGCCTCCAGCATATGGTGCTACCCTACACGGAGTACTCCGTAACACTATTCGCCATGACCTATGCTTACGAACTGTTCACCCGGGGTTGGCAGTACTCAATAACTGGAGTATTTAGATGCGTAGTAGTTGGAGGTGTATCTTCAAACGATGTTATATCTAATCCACAACCAACGAATTACTAAAAGTACATCTGGTTACGAATCAGCTATGCAGAAAAGGACAATACCAAAAATTCGGTTTATCTATAAAGGTACCTCCCCGCTCACCCACTCTACAAATGCAGCTTTCGGTCAGTAACCATTTCACGTGACTACGTACATTTTAAGTTACTACTTTACTGGCTATTGGGTGTTGATACACGTCTTTAAGAGGTCAGCTGTAGTCTCGGTAGCCGAAGAGTCCGTGTGACCGAAGCTACCGTGGATCGTCGATGTATACACTCCGTAGTCCTTAGTAGTTCTGTAGGTCTGGAATCTCGGAGGGAGCGATGCTTGGGGGTATAACCTTTTCAGTAGTTGACACTTAACCCCTCTCTTCTCCTCCCGTTTTCACTACTTCACTCAACCAACATTCTATCGTCGTATCGACCAATCCACCATGGGAGTGTTGTTTAACTCCCACACAAACCAGCTACTCCTGCTGGTAGCGGTCCTGGCAGCACTCACATTCGTCACCTCCAGGATCCGTCGTTATTTTATCCGCCGCGACTTCGCACGCCGCCATGGCTGCCAGGAACCGCCCAGTGTCAACAAGGACCCTTTCCTGGCACTTGATCAAGTCTGGGCCTCCGTTCGCTATTTCCGAAAGCACATTTCCCTGGAAAAAAACACCGAGCGTTATCATCTCTATGGGGATACTTACGCTTGGAAACTACTGCTGGGGCGCTACAGAGTCTTCACTATGGAGCCGGAGAATGTAAAATCAGTCCTATCGACGAGTTTTAAGGACTGGGGTCTGGGTCACCGTCTCCCACATTTCGAACCGCTTCTGGGTAAAGGTATCTTCGACACAGATGGTGAACATTGGGCCGCGTCCCGTGCCCTCATCCGGCCCAGCTTCACCCGCGACCAGGTTGCGGATCTGGCAATGTTTGAAGAGTTGATCCCTGATCTCTTTGCACAAATTCCTCGTGATGGAGTGACAGTCGTGGATCTGCAGGATCTCTTTTTCCGCTACACCATTGACTCGGCTACCGCATTCCTGTTCGGTCAGTCGGTCGGCAGCCTGCAGATGGTCCAGTCCGAGCTTGGCTTTGCTCAGGCCTTCAACTATGCCCAGGAAGCCATAACATTGCGTTTCGTTCTGGGCCCGCTAGGTAAAATCTTTCCTCACAAGAAGGCCGATAAATGTTATCGTCTATGCCGGGACTTCGCCGAGCGATTTGTCGATGAGGCAGTCCAAGCGGCACAGTCCAAGGAAGCAGACCAAGAGACTAAACATCAGAAGTATATCTTTTCTCATGAACTGGCACGGCGCACCTCTGATAAACATCGCATATTGGACGAGCTCATGAACGTTCTGCTCGCCGGCCGCGACACCACGGCCGGCCTTTTGAGCAACATGTTTTTCGTGTTGGCGAAGCGCCCAGAGATCTGGGACAAACTGCGCCAGGAAGTAGCTACCTTGGAGGGCCGATTGCCCTCGTATGAGGAGCTTCGGAACCTCAAGTACCTCCGATGCTGTATGAATGAATGTGAGTCGACTGTGCTACAACCCTGGCCCATATCTCATGCCTCTGACCAATCCACTAGCTTTACGGTTGCATCCAGTCGTCCCAATGAACGGGCGCATCGCACTGAGAGATACGGTGCTGCCGAGGGGAGGAGGTAAGGATGGTCGCTCTCCGGTCTTCATCCCCGAAGGGTCTACAATTGAGTACAATGTATATGCGATGCATCGGCGAAAGGATATCTTTGGGCCCGATGCAGATGAATTCCGCCCAGAGCGCTGGGAGAACGGGCAATTGCAGCCTCGTTGGGAGTATCTTCCCTTCAACGGGGGCCCCCGCATCTGTCTCGGTCAGCAATATGCGCTGACTGAAGCCGGATATGTCACTGTCCGCTTGGCCCAAGAATTCAGGACCTTACAGAGCCAGGATCCAGGACCGTGGGAGGAGGCATTGACCCTGACTCTGTGCTCCCGGAATGGCACGAAGGTGTCTGTTACTCCGGCTTGAATGATATAAAAGTTTGTCTGTTGTAATGGTAATTGCTTAGCTCACAGTCAAGGGCCGTACGCTAATTGCCAGACTATAATTTCGTTATATTAGCCTCTACTTTTGCTATTATATGAAGCGTCCTATGTATATTGAAGGGCTTGAAGGGAATGTGGCGAAGAAGCTTTCACTAAGTAACAACTTACCTCTGCCGTTCGCTTGCGGATCACAGGTTTAAAATGAATCTTCTTAAGTTGGACTACAATTAAATTCATAGACAGAACTGCTCTGCAATTATAACTGACCTGGACAGCTCCTTAGCCATAGAGAAGAATTTGGTCATAAAAATGAGCTACAGAAATTCTTAATAGTCAGATGGTGATCCTCTACAGAGGAGGGAGGACAGAACTCGCAGATAATGAAAACTGTGACTCGATACCGAGTATTGTGGACACCATAAATGATACGTCACATCTTACTCAATTAGTTTTTGTTGTTCATGCTTATTCTTCCTTGGGTCTCCCTTACATTCCCCGTCTTGAAAGTTTCCAGATGCTCTTCCCTGAGTCATCCAATATGGCACCGGGATCGGTCTACGAACCCCGATCCATACATAGATCGAGTCTGTATACTGTGAAGAACCACACATGATATGCTTACAGTTCTGGGAAATAGCTTCATTTCTTCCTGCAGAGATATCATAATATCTGACTCTTCCAAGACTTTTAGCCAATTGATCATTAGATGGATTCTCGATCCTTAATGATTCTATGAAAGGAGATCTCCGAGCACATCTGGTGCATCGGTATCCGGCGTGCCGAACCCCGATGATCATGGAAGCAGACCTTCCATCGCTCTCACCCCTCTTCTTTCCTTCTCCTATTCTTCAGTTCGAAAGATGTGCAGTATCTCCTCGGCAGCGGCTATATAATCAGAACCAAGCCTTGTCCAGGATACGCCAAGAATGGCCCCTCAGTCATACGGACGGGTATGTATCGCCCGCCCACTATCTATATCTTGCTTACGGAGGCGGGCGAACAGGCCTGTCTAAATTGCTCAAAAGCCAAATGCAAATGCGTTGACCGACCAGGGGTCCAGGGGTGCGAGAGATGCTATCGATTGAACAAGTCATGCCTGCGAGGGACGTCGACGAGAGCGATGCAGTCCCAGAAGAACAACACCGTCGCGCGCATTGCTCAGCTAGAAGGGAAGCTGAATGAACTTGTGTCATCCCTCCAGCCGCATCGCGCGCCAAGTAGCTGCAATAGTTCTATCGAAAACTCTCTTTCTGCTCCACCATCTAACTCCACTTCTCCTGCTACTTCTGGAGATGTATACACTGTCCCCGCAGTGCCGACGTCTAATCTGGACAGCTTGGAGTTTTCACCGGAAGAGTCTCTAGACATATTCCGAACTCGCATGCTTCAGTACTTTCCCTTTCTACATCTTCCTAGCAACGCGCAATGGATGCGCCAGGAGCGGCCATTTTTGTTCCTCTGCATTATGGCAGTGACATGTCCGTCAATACCGACCAAGCTCGCCTTAGGGGAGAAGATCAGAAAGATTGCCACGGAAAGAATGTTTCTTTCGAGTGACCCGGGGGCAGTGAACCTTGATCTCCTGCTAGGTCTTTTGACAGTTCTAGCCTGGGGTTACGATCACTTACTACACGATACCGCAATGGGACTGCCGCGTTTTACTCAGCTCGCTATAACAGTTGTATACGAACTGCGTCTCAACAAGCCGCTTCCTGATGACTCTAATGTACTTACTGCCGGGCTCGGTGGCTGCGCATCATCGAGAGCACCGACTCGGACGCTTGAGGAGCAGCGAGCGGTCCTAGCATGTTTTGTCTTGAGCTCAATGTTAGTTTGCAAGCACTCCTACTTAATATATGCCTAACGCAGCCAGCGTATCGACATGTCTTGACAACATCCAACCAATGCAGTGGACGGCACATATGGAAGAATGCCTTGAAGCCCTGGCTCGAAAACGTGAAACGCCGCTTGACGAAGTGTTCGCTCATCAAGTCCGACTGCACCGTATTGCAAGAGAGGCGGAGCATATTCGAATTGCATCAACAGCCGTTCCAGCAGCTTTTCACCTCACAGCCTTGCAGCGGAAGGTCAATGAAGTCAAGCAAAGTATAACACCTGAACTGCGACAGAATAGTGAGTGCATCAACAATCACACTGTTGTCAGATAAACCATGTCTCATCATGAACAGGCCTGTTCCGTGCCTCGACATATTACACCGAATTGAGCATCCACGGCCTGGTCCTCTCTAAAAAGCAAGACACTCCAGACCTACAAAGGCTTGAAGGACTCCACGCATGTCTCGAAACCGCCAGATCAGCCCTCGATAGCTTCTTCCAGATATCGTCCACTGATGATTATATCGGAATTTCATTCCTTTTCTTCAACTACCTCGCGCGGAGCATCCTAGTCATCATGACGCTGTCGACGATGAACGACCCCATCTGGGACACAAACCTGGTGCGATCGACCGTGGATGTTCTGTGGATATTGGACCGCCTGATCAGCGGGGTGCAGGAAGCCAAGGCGTCGAGAGGTGAAGAAGGCGAGTCAGCTAATGGATTCTTGGACAAGTCGACCAAGAAGCTTATGTCACTTCGTGCTTCAGCGTGTGCTGCGCTGATGCCGGAGAAGACGCAGCCGCAGCGTAGTAGCGCTGCTCAAGCGGCCGAGAATGACTTGCAGGTCTTGAGCATGCTTCAGGCTTACGAAATGATGGACGCGGGGTTAATGGCTAGTTTTATGGAGGGGACAGCTATATTTGATGGATTTTATTAGCATTCTATCAGCCTCCTGATGATTCTGATATCCAGCGAACAAACTTTTATGCCGCCATCCATCTGCACATGATAGTGATATATACAACCCTAATCTATCCTCTCATCATCCCAACAACCCTAATAGTCTACTCCTCAAAACTAGTCGAATGCGCAATCTCCCTCATCGCCTCCAAATTCTCCCTCACCCCGTCAATCTTCCCCGAAAACCTCTTCCAACAATCCGGCCCCAACACCACCCTCAGAAACCCCTTGTCAGTAATATCAGCAGCCATCCCCGTCCCCATCACCACCTCCAGAATCCTCAGCGCCGCCTTCTCCGGATCCCCCTCCTGATTCCCATCCTTCGACTTAATCAACTTCAGCGCCGCCTCCACCGGCGTCCCCACATAATCCTCAGTAAGCCCCGCAGCAGGCTGCACAAACGCACTGAAGAACTTGGTCCGAAAATACCCCGGTTCAACAAGCAGGACGCGGATCCCAAAGGGACGGAGTTCTTTCGATAGAGACTCTGTCATACCTACTCCCACCACCACCATCATCACCCAACATCAGCATACACCCCTTCCCCACATAAAATACACAGATATAAAAAGGGGAAATAGATAAATAGATGACTGACCTTCCAACGCAAACTTCGACCCCGCATAAACCGCACACCCCGGCGCCCCATCCACACCCGCACTACTACTAATATTGACGACCGTGCCTGCCCTCCTCTTTCTCATGAAAGGCAATACACCTTTCAACACCCGTATCGGCCCATACACATTCGTACTGAATTGGGATTCAATCTCCGATTCGCTCATGTCCTCGATACTTCCTAGGAGGGAGTAACCTGCGTTGTTGACGACTACGTCGATGATGCCGTCGGCGTGCGTGTTGATGGCTGATTGGATCTTGTTGGGGGTGGAAGGGTCGTTCACGTCGAGGGAGATCCAGATTCCTCCCAGGGAGGTGATTTGGGGGTTTTGGGCTGATGCGGTGGTGGGGTTGCGCGCTGTGGCGAGGACTTTGTGGCCTGCTTTTAGGGCGGCGATGGCGAGGGAGGCGCCGAGGCCGGAGGAGGAGCCGGTTATTAGCCACGTTTGTTGTCTTTGGGTCATTTTTTTGGTTTGGATTGGGGGGTGGGGGTTATGGTGTAGAGGGATAATTGGGATAGATAGGGAAAGGGTGGTGCTGGCTTTATATGCTGTGGTGGGGGTAGATGATCAGCTAAGGTTATCTTAGTATCTATCTATGTATGTGATGATCCTCCGGGGATTGAGGATTAATGCCATTTACTCCGATGGGGGCTGGAAGATGGTTGCGGAGTTTGCGGAGTTAGATGGGATCATATCCGTGAGATGTTGTAGTTATTGGAGGGGAGTGTAGTTTGGAGTTGTATACTGTGTGGTATGTTGAGGTTGATATGTAGGGTATATGGTGATGTTATCTCATGGTTTAAAGATGGTTTACTGGACAGGGATATGTGGATGGCGATAGTCAATTAGCTACTCGCAGGTAGAGATGGCTGAATCTTGCTAATCGGTAGATGCATAGTAGGATCGGCTATAGAGGGCTAGGCTTTACCCCTCTTACTGTCTATTGAGAGAAGACATATTGTTGCTAAAATCTCACGTCAGATCGATATTTTGGAGCGAGTCAGTTAAGAGTGGCTTCCTTATGAGAATTGCGTTTACTTTGGACAACCAAAGGTTAATGCTCATAGCTTACGCTGTAATTTTGCTCAAATAACTTCCATTTTGAAATCTGATATCAAGGTAACTCCGAACATGCACGCTGCAATCTAGATGTACTTGTAGGGGTTCAAGATTCCATTCTATAGCCAGAATCAGTAATGCATCATCAATATTTAGCAAGATACTCACCGGGTCGTATAGCCCCTTCAGCTGCTTCATCAACTTCACCATGGTATCATTCTGGCTGTATCCGATGAACTCCTTCTTCGCAAGACCGAGACCGTGCTCGGCACTGATGCTGCCGTTCCGCTTCTGGATCCACTCGTACACCCAAGGCTCAATGGCCTTCTCGACCTCCTTGTTGTACTGGCGCACAGAGATGTTCAAGTGCAGGTTAGAGTCACCCATATGGCCGTAACCCACAACCGCACGGACGGGGAACGAGTCGTCGTCGCCAACGAATCCAAGCTTCGTCAGACGCTCCTTGCAGTCCTCGACCAGCTGGTACAGCTCTGGCAGAGGAATGGAGACGTCATACTTGTAGGTGCCACCCAAGTGGCTCAGTGCCTCCGTGATACCCTCTCTCCAGCGCCAGATGGCGTGGAATTGGGTCTCGTCCTGAGCCAGGACACCGTCGGCAACAATGCCCTCACCCATGATGTGTTCCAGGAATCCCTCCAGCTTGGCCATGTCGTGCTCGGCGTTGGATCCGCTGGTCTCGACGAGACAGTAGAACGGGTACTCGCCTTCCAGGGGATACTTGGTTCCCGTGGACTCGTGGACGAGCTTCTGCGTGCGGCCGTCCATGAGCTCAAAGGCGGAGAGAATCTCCGACAGGTGCCCCTTGGCTTCCCGGTAGGCCTGACGGACCTGGTCGTAGCTCTCAAGACCAAAGTAGGCGACATTGACAGCCTTGGGACGAGGGGGGCACAGGATGGACACACCGGTGATGATACCGATGGTACCCTCGGAACCAATGAACAGCTGCTTCAGGTCGTATCCAGTGTTGTTCTTGCGCAGGGTGGACAGAGAGTCGACGACAGTTCCGTCAGCCAGAACAGCCTCCACACCGAGGACGGTGCCGTGGAGACTGCCGTAGCGGAGCAGACGCAGACCACCAGCGTTGGTAGCCACATTGCCACCGACATGGCAGGAGCCCTTGGCGCCCAGGTCCAAGGGGAAGAGGTGGTTGCGCTCAGCGAGGTACTGGTCGGCAACCTCCAGGATGACACCGGCATCGACAACCAGCACACCAGAAGCTTCATCGAAGGAGCGAATCTGGTTCATGCGAGAGAGGTTGATGACGATCTCGTCAAACACCGGCACGGAACCGCCAACCAGTCCAGTATTGCCACCCTGAGGAACCACCGCCAACTTCTTCTCGTTACAATATTGCAGCACTTTGCTGACCTCCTCCTTCGTCTGGGGCTTGAGAACCAGTCTCGTGTGACCGCGGTACTTGCGCATCCAGTCGCTGTTGAAGGGCTCGATATCGTCGGCCGCATCGGTGGTGACACCATCGATCACGGCGGATTGGGCGCCCAGCAGTTCCTTGAAGAAAGCAACATCGTCGGCAGAGATTTCGGCGAACTTGGAATCCCGCTTCAGGTTGGGGTAGGCGGCGCTGGTGTACTTGATCTCCTTGGTCGCATTGGCCGCGGAGGTGACGCTGAAGGCGCGGACGGAGTTCGCCGCGGGAGACGGAGCGCAGACGGACAGAGGACGAAGCAGAGAGCGAGGCTTGGGCACGCGAGCCCGTCGAAGGGCGACAGAGAGGTTCCTGGCACCGGACATGATGGGTGGTTGGTGGTGAGGAAGACGGAGAAGAGCCAAAGGCTATATCTGAAAGTCTAAAAAGCTTACCGGTCGGAGTTGTGGAGGTCCTCCGGTGGTGCTTCCGTCCCGTCGGAAGGGCGGTATCGGCCTGTACGGCGGAGATCTCGGTTCAACTCATTCTCCCTGGACTGGGAATGCTAGATGGGATGATGACAGTACGCCGCGAATGATCGGGATGAGTGGCCATTATGATGACGATGATTCTCTTGTCTGATTTGGTATTGACTTGTGACGTTTATGTTAATATCCCTTGATATTGACAAGGGCGACCGGGATGTGTGACTGGTGGAAAGAAGAGGAAACCAGTTCTGTAGACTTGGATCAATTGATGCAGTATTGAATGGTAGTCTCAGATAGCCTCTCATCAATTGATGTTCAAGACGAATGGGAGTGTCATGATAACCAATTGTGATAGTATTGTTGGTGGGATGAAACTGAGAGCAATGGACTTCCCAAAGAGGAATCGAGGCAGCACGAGGTGCCAAGCCCCGCATCAAATGCAGCCTCACAAATCAGAAGTACATTCATCTCCAAGTTCAGTTGGTGATCAATTGTGCCTGGCCCATTACGCTGTGTCTCGACCCATCCATCCCGATCAGCTCACCGTGACAGACCCTCATCTCCCACCCACTCTTCCGAGAAGAAATTAGACAGTAAGAGACCAACCCGTCGTTACGTCATGAAGATGCCCCGCAGTTGACCAGCTACCAGAAACATCTCTTCTGCGCGTCATTATCCCTTTTCTTTTGTTCTCTTCCACCATGTCCTCTACTGAAACGCAATTCGGAAACATGTCGACTACTGTTCTTGTCACTGGTGCTACCGGCCTTCTGGGTCGACAGGTATTCAATACCTTCAAGCACTCCGGCTGTCTGGTCGTTGGTCAAGGCTATTCTAGAGCCATACCTCCCACGATACAGAAGGCCGATTTGGAAAAGGAGGAGGACATCAAGAATTTGTTGAACGAAGCGAAGTAAATCAATTCCCGACTACGGCTTCCGCCTGCATCTTACACTGAATACCCCCCCATCTCACACCCGCGTTGTACACGAATTGAATCTGACTGATGTCCGTGCCCCTGCAGACCTCAGATAGTCATCCATTGTACGCCACCTCCTGTTGGAAATGCAGCCAATCTGCATCGCCTTGCACGCTGACCGTTCCGCTCTAGGTGCCGCAAACCGTTCCCCCGACCTGTGCGACCAGAACCCGGACCAGGCGCGTCGGGTCAACGTTGACGCCACCCGCACCCTCGCAGAAGAGACCGCGCGCCGTGGTGCCCTGCTGGTTTACATTTCGACCGACTATGTTTTCCCTGGTAAGGAGGGGGAGGCTCCCTACGAGGCCGACGCTCAGACCAACCCGCCGAATCTGTACGGGCAGTTCAAGCGGGATGGCGAGGTGGCTGTGCTGGAGGCCACCAAGGACACCGGGCTAGGGATCGTGCTGCGGGTGCCCGTGTTGTATGGGACTGCCAAGGAGAACTCGGAGAGCGCCGTCAACACCCTAGTGGATGCGGTGTACAAGGCCCAGGACGAGAGTGCGGGCGTGAAGATGGACGACTGGGCTCTGCGCTATCCCACCAACACCGAAGATGTTGCACGGGTGTGCCGTGACATTGTGATCAAGTATGTCAAGGAGCGGCAGCGCATCCAGGAGCTTCCCAAGATCCTGCAGTTCTCGTCGGAGGATCGGATGACCAAGTACGAGATCTGTGAGAAGCTGGCGGATGTGCTCGGACTGTCCCTGGTTGGCATGGTGCGCAACAAGCAAGGGAATGATCCAAACGCGAGTGTGCAGCGGCCCTACGACACTCACCTGTCGACAAAAGCGCTGAAGGAGCTCGGAATTGATCTTCGGACGGTCGACTTTGTATCGTGGTGGTAAGTTGTTCTTTCCCTTATCAGGATGGTGCATAGTAGAGAGGCTAACGCTCAGACGCAGGCGGAAACACTTGGGAGCGTACAAGCATTAAAATGGATGAAAGTATTCTAGTCCACTATTCATATGAAACATGCTGCGCAAATTGTTTAGCATGGAATCATGCATGATGCTTAATGTCTGAATAAGCAGAAATGAATCAACCGATGAATTTCGGAAAAGGACCAGATTCAGCTAGGATGTGTACGAGTAGGAGCTGCCGGAATTTCTTGTCGATGATTGCATCGATTAGTAGTATATGGCTGGTTTAGTCTTGACCAAGCAGTATTGTAATAAGTAACAGTTTGGTGGGTGGTTGCAGTTGGAAGAGGATGTGAATATATCATATTTTAAGAAATCCTTCTGAAGCCAGACTGATAAAATAAACATGGTATAGATTGAAGAAGACATGTCTGGGGATGAGGCAGACCATAGATCCGATACCAGACTTTGAGAAATACTATATTAGGTAATTGGCGGGCTTCATACTAACTATATGTAAATTGAAGTTTTTTGATGAACAAGCAAGAGTTGGCCGAAGTATAATAACCGGGCAGATCATGTTTGGATTATTGTGAATTGCAACTAAATATTCTGTAGCATGTCGCTGTATGATAAGGATGAGATTGTCAGGCATATATTCACAATTTATCTATGCCTACAACGCAATATCAACGATACCTCCTAGAGCGACTTGCCTTTCGCGTCGCCCTCAAAGTATAGGATTCTGTGATCCAAAGCAAAGACACGACAAGCAAAATCACACCAACTCCAATAGGAACCACAACCTTCCAAAATACCTGGATGTCCCCAACCTTGACGGCATTGCTTTCTCTGCTCTCACCCAAGTTCATAATTGCAGCAGTCACTGAAATTGGTGAGACCAGCCAGGCCCACACTGCCAGAATCAGTAGCAACATGTTTCGGTATCTTGATCGTGATTTTTCATGATCATCATCGATTGACTTCAAAAAGCCCATGACCCTATTGATCCGGTTAGTTAAGCGAGAGACAGCGTTCTGTAGGTAAGTGAAGTCGTTGACTAATTCCTTATAATCTGGCAAACCTGTGAGCTGCCTCTGAGCTTTGCAATACTCTTCAGCTTCTTTAATAAAGTGATTGTACGGCTCTATGCTGATTAGATCACTATGTAACCCAATCAGATCTGCTTGGAGCCTTGCGGAGAGACTGCCAGAGGGTCTGGATATGGGGGATCCATGAAGGAGGGATATCTTCGATTCCGTCTAATAACCTCCTTCTGATAATACACCTCCATCCAAGATAAGCGTAAATGTTTCGATTCAATCTCAGCCACCCAGAAGCAACTGATCAATTGAAGTACATCAACGAATAGGAGGCGCGGTGATGTCATTGCGGCATCGCGAGAATCCTTCTTCCGAAAATGGTAGATGAGGTGGTAGCAGAGGATCTCCTTGATAGAATAATTGGTTTTCAGAGCTCGTTGAGGTCGTCCTTCCCATTCTCTTGCGTTATCCAGAATGTCCATATTGAAGCTTTCTCTAAACTGTGGCCTTGGAAGGTACTCTCGGAAGATATATGAAGAACCTGGCTGGCAGACTGGTATTCGGCTACTTTGGTTCTTCACCGCAATGACACCTGTTGAGTGTTACTACTCCCTAAAAACAAAGTTCGGAAATGCCAGCCACTCACCTACCCACGCTATATCCCGTGGTGGGGTTTCACCTTTGGCCCTATCACGTTCATGCTGGTTCTCCCATACAGTGAGATTGTTGCGTAGACCGATCGAGTTGGCGCAAATTGGAGGCCCAGGTTTGGCATTCCCACAGATAGGATAGGACGCTGATAATGAGCTGTAGTCATCCATATTCGGTGTTGGTTCTCTGTGAGCAACAAACCGAAAGCAGTAATGCTCCTGCTGCCTCGCGGCTTTTGGTAGGGGCCAAAGCTGCTCTAGCAGACTGTCATCTCTATATTGGACACTCGGTTCACCAGGTCCAATATCTACCTTTCCTGACCCAAACCAAGACGGGCCGACCAGGAAATCTGCCCAAAACTGAGGATCAATTCGCAGTTTTGCTCCGAGCTCTGCAATCATCCTGGGAGTGGGGTCTTCCAAGACTATAAGTTTCGGAATGGAACAATCATCCAGTTGGGGCAGAACATCTTCCAATCTCATGTTACGCTGCACGGAAGCATCGTCGCTCGGCTTGATGAGCACAATTCCGAAAGTCCTCCGCTCGAGATATAGAGCATCCTGCAGATAAGCATCGAGATAGGATAATCCAGGCCACCGGCCTGCGAGTGTCTGAACATATTCTCGATATTCGTTGGCTTGCTCACTGAAATGAATGTATGGGCTCGGTGGACTGGTTTGGGATGGTGGTTGATTGCTATCTCCATTGGACATCTCAAGATCTGTTGCGGCCACTGCCCGCACCTTCCTAAACAGGGTCTCCGTCGTCCGCATCTTCTGTATCTTCTGCTTTTCGCGAGCTATTTTGCTTCATTCTCTCCTGAACTAGCAATAAGTTGATGTAAATCAACGATTTACATGCTTTATCCTGCGTCACGTATACGCTTCGTTTTATATGGAAGTCACCCCGGACCGTGGTAACCCAAACAAGCCCTATGAAATACTGGCCGGCATGGATGAATCAGGAACTCAATAAGATGTTGTCTAACACGGTGATGAAGACAAAAATTATTTTGCTACATCTAGACTGTTCTTCATCTTCTCTATTTATTTGATATCCATGGTTCGTCCTGACGTACTAACTACGGTTTACGAGGTCGTATAACCTTATTTCAATTACTAAAACAGCCCAACTCTATGAGAACGTCTGATGATGACCATGAACACGGTCAGAGTGTCTTCCTGAGAAAGTAGATACAATGGCTAGGCTTCAACTTCGTATTATGGAGTCGTATTTCTTGTGCCACAAAAGTAGCCTCCTTTAAAACTGAGGAGGCTGGCAAGGTAGCTTTATTCGTAATTCTTCCAGCCTCTCAACTTCATACATTGCGTATAATCGCCGCCTTCGGCTTGAGTAACCGGGATCCAGGCGGGGTTATAAGCTTAAACCCATTCCCCAGATTTAGGCTTCAGATGGCCCAAGGTAGAGTTGATCATCATTTGACGTCACCCTTCCTATCAGTTTAGTTCAGGATGAGCATGTCCTGGCGTGCTAACTCGATAGCTAATGCCTTTGCAAACTGTCTTCGTCGTTAGCAAGCAGTATTGAACCCTGGATATCTTGAAGTATCTGGAGCGATGAATATCACCCTGGAAGTCACCCTTCGTACCAAAAGAGCAGATCTGCGACCGATTAAACGAAGGGCCTGGGCCGTGGAATAAGGAATTTGGCGTAAAGCTAAATGATTAACACACAGATACAAGAAGTAAGATCCCATGTGGATTCCATGTCCCTGTGACTGAACTTAGACTTTGAACCTGGCCCCGCTTGGCCATTGCGTGTGAAAAACGACTATAATTTACATGGCAGTAAAAGAACGGACACTCGATTATGGCTAACTTTTAACATTCTGCATAGATAAAACCAGAAAGGGTCAGCGGGTGTGGTTTCCTCCTACACTCTGTTAGTGGAATGAAGAATATTGGTCAACTCTTCCCACGATCTGCTTATTACTTGAGAGCTGCTACAACCTTGATGATGAATTTCCTAGGTGACTTCTTTGATACGGTGGGGTATGCTGCTACATCTGCGTCTAGGTTTATGGTGGACAATATTGGTCATGCAGACAGTATCATCGAATCTGCGACCCACATCTTCCAAAAGGCTGGTGAACATTCAGTTCGCGGGCTTATTGACGCGGTGTTGAGACGCTCCCAGACACTATTAAGCCCAGAACTTCTTCTGGAAACTTTGACGAAGCTTGTTGTCAGAATAACTGAGCAGGTGGACAAAGAACCCGTGTTCAGACTGCTCCAAGACGCATCCAAATGCTTATTCAAATTACTGAGTTCCATTCTTGACAAGGTCAATCCAGAATCGCTTCTTGGGACTGTGAAGGAGCTCACAGCAGCAACCGTGAACGCAATAATTGCTAAGGTGGGATTACTTCGGATCATACGCGAAGGCATATCCAGCAACGATGTCACTTTGACAACCCTGGGAGTCATTTGGAACAATTGCGGCGATTTGGCGAATTTTTTGGTTGACCTTATCGAACCTGCCAAGTGCTATTTCCCAGCAAACTATATTCCAGCAGACTCAACGACTGAAACAGCAAAAGAAGCACCACCACGTAATGCATACAATGAATTGGACGCATCAGTGCTTATGAATCGACACGCCGTAATCTGTCAGTTTCAGAGGCTTGTAAAATCCTGTGTCTTCATTGTGAAAGGGATGGGCAAAACTGTCAATATCGACGAGCTGGAGAACATTGGTATTACCGATGCAACCACACTCGGAAGCGACGTCAAATCTGACGAATCGAACATCACTGTTGAAAACCCTTCAAAAGAAATATCAACCAATGAAAAGTGGTTGTACGTCAATGGTATTGGCGGAGAGCTCTTTTGGCTGCGCCTTGCTTGTAAAAAATTGGCGACGCAATATTCAAGAGAAGTAACAGGGATTTTCAACAGGGGTGATGGCATTCTTTGGGACCTGGTTGAATGTGCAGGCGAGAGAACCGCCCAGAGGAATGGCACCACAAGAGAACAGAAGAAACTGATCCAGAGAACCAAGAGCAGCCGGATGGCTCAAAAGTCATTGGTAAAGGAGTTGGACTCGGCCTTGAAGGATGAAACTGAGCCTAGACATATCGTGATGATAGCCCATTCTCAAGGCTGTCTACTTCTTCGTCTGGCGTTGGAAGAGATATTGAATGGGTCATACGAGACAACAGACACTGAAATCCGTGAAAAAATGGCGGGCCACCTTTGCGTATTCACATTCGGAAACCCGAGCGTCGACTGGAAGTGGGAGATGAACGAACACGCTATTGAGAAGCTCCAGCGTGACGGTCAGGATTTGGAAAATCTCACGAATCTCAGTTCGCACGTCTTCCTCACCGAGCATTTTGCAAACAAAAGGGACTTTGTAGCGAAACTTGGGGTGTTGAATGACAATAAGCCAGAGCATAGTGGCTATGCGCCCGATTCTATCTTCATCAACGAAAAAGAAGACTGGGCTGGCGGCCATCTCTTTGGGTCACAGTACAGTCTTGACCCAGATGACTACACAACTGCTGGAGGCAATTTGAACGGCAAGTCCTCCTGGTTGCTCAATTGTATAGAAGGGAAATATAAGGGGGATGTGCTAAGTAAGCTTCTCACACTGGTCATCACCTGCATTACTGAGTCCAGGCTAACCCTCTGTTCGTGCAGAACACCGCACGCCCAGTCCTATGTAAGCTATCGGTAGGCTTGAGGCATTACTTCTATACTATAAGCCATATTTCGGCTTGATATTCCTTCCAAAAAATTCGGTTGGTTTTTTTGAAGAAAGAAAGCAATGGAAATCTCTGACGTAAATGAAAAGTGTTGTTCTGTTGCGCCTTTTGAAAAGCGAAAAGCTGTATATTCTGGAGGGACAGGCCAAATGGAGCCGATTTACATGCTATTGATACCGAATCTGCTGTTACTTAGCTCTGAGACCTGTATAGAGCTGATCTGTGATGATCTGCACCAATTGGGAAACCACCACAACGGTTGATTTCGGCTAAACGGAAGATGTGATCAAATCGGACTGGATCGGGTGGGCCGGCTTCGGAGCCATAATAAAGAATCATGCACAGAGCATCTTATCTACATCTATCCACTCTCATATAGAGCTCACGCTCGACGCTATGAAACTTATATCATTATTCAGCAAGAAATTCGTATCTGCGGCAAAATAAATCCGTCCAGTCCTGGCTATGGCCAGCCACCTAGTCAAACCTCGCGTAGACTCTCCACGCCAAATCCACCCCCGTAAGCTGACTCAAATCCAGCTCGTCGCCATCCAACAACTGGATAGTCCACTGAGTAAAGACAGTCGGATACGCATGGACCTCGTCCCCAAACGAACCGTCGATATGGATTTCGCCGATTTCGCCATCGGCATCAATGTCATAAGACACTCGGGCAGTCTGCGGCGCACGAGTGAAATGAAAGATCTTACCATCTTGGATATCCGCATACAGACCCGAGGTCGAGAGATTGAGGTTGACGCGGTACACCCCATTCTGGAGACTCTCCGACCGTGGACGCGCGCCCCGGAGATAGGCTACTAGGCCGGCTGCGCGGAAGTGTGACCCGTCTGTGAAGATGCTGGCGAAGCTGGGCTCACTGTCTGGATCGGTGCTTGGAGTGAGGGTGAAACTGGCGCTGTGGGTCTCGCTTTGGAGGCCGGAGAGTAATAGTTGGCCGTAATTGGATGGAAGCTGTAGCTTTGTCAGAAATACTATGTCGGCCCTTGGATAGGAGGCGGTAGAACTTACGTCGTTGGATGACACAGTTTGTGTGAGTACTGGGGATGAAGTTGTCAGTGGGTTTTGGCGAAGGTGGAAGAATATTTGCAGGCGCCTACTTACACTGCAGGATTCGGTCGTACTTGGAGTTGACGGCATTCATCGCTTCATCAATGAGATACACATCACTGCGAAATTGGGCTGTGGTCTTTTGTGAGTCCAGCACTAAAGGGCTGTCTTCCAGCGCCCAGTATTTGTATGCCCATGCCATATTGCGCATCTCCATAGCCACCGAGGTTTGCATGAACAGATAGGAATTGTAGAACTTCGCTTCGGCTGTAGCATACAGCTCTTCTTCACCGGTATACTTGGCAATCAGCTCTTGCAGCTCTTTGATATCCTTCTGACTGGTAATCACTTCCATCTCTGCCAGCACATATTCCTGTCCTGCCTTGGTGGCTTGAGCATCCGCCTGAGCCAGCGCCTTCCCGTTAATGCTATATTTCTGAACAGCCAACCGGTAAGCAGCAGCGTTTGGGATGGAATGGGCGACCGCAAATTCCAGCTGCGCAACAGAGCTCACGTTCCAAGAATCCCATGCAGCTAACGTGATGATCAGGTTCGCATCGGCATCTCCTTGGCTGGTGCCGGAAATACCGTCCACCGATGGAATCGCCGCATTTGGATCAGTTTCCAATTCCTTGATCGCCGCAGCGACTGTAACCATAGAGAAATACAGATTTTCCAGAGGACCCATGCACTCCGTAAGCTTCTGCAAAGTATCGGCGGAGATGCGTCGATCCTCTGCAGCAGTGATCTTCTCTGCTTCTTTCACTTTATCGATGATGTCCTTTGCGCCATCTATTGCTTTCAGCACATCGTCCAGGGCGGAAGCTGCAGAGATACCGTACAACTTTTCGCCGAATGTTAGGATCCCAGACAAAAGGCCATACACGCCAAGGAACGCTTGCTTTTCTTCCCAGGCTACCAGGGCGTCCTCAAACTTTTTCCGGGCGGACTCCAACTCCTGGCGGCCCGAGGTGACCAGATTATAGCAGCTGTCTCGAGTGACACAGGCATCAGAGTACTTGTCGGAGGCCAAATCTCGAGCCTGCTCACGCAAGGCTTGTTGATTGATGGCTTGCTGGAGCATGGTGGTCCAAGCCGCCTTGTGATCGTCGACACTGGCCTTTTCATCGTGAAAACGCTCGTACTGCGTCTGAAATGCCTCCAGGGCATTGATGGCATCCTCTACAGTTTGGCGGTACTGGCTAATAGTCAAAGCAGGAGCATACGAGGTGTCAGGACCGGTCATGGCCTGGGCAGCTAATTGCTGGCCCAGGGAAACTGCCTGCGTATTGAGCGCCGGGTAAAGCGCGGGACGGGCCGTTGCGGTAGCCACGTAGGCACACAATGACATAGCGATGGAAGGCTTCTGCCAGAATAGCGCTTGTGCAATCCGTAATTGTGTCGCTAATGAGGCCTCGAAGACCTCATCCGGGAGGTCGAAATATTGCTGGTAGTACGCGACACTGATACTGTCCGTCTGGACGGTGACTGCCGCCCCGACATGATTCGTCCCCGGACCCAATTCCAAACGGATACTCTGCGATGCGTCAGGACTCTGCACCGTCACCGGCTGGTCCAGGATAGAGACATAGATCCGGAGCACACAGCCCGTGTATTGGGCAGGGTTAACCTTGAGAGTCACGGGGCCGTCGGCAGTCAGGACCCGCGCAGCCAGGACTAACATACTGTCCGTGGTGGACGAAAGGGTCGTTTCTGCAGAGTCGAATGCCAGAACATCTGTGTACTTGTACATTACTGAGACCTTGTCCAGGGAATTGACGATATCAGCAGAGGTCATATACACTTTTCGCTGATAGCCAGTATCCTATCGTCCACGCAGCACCTCCATCGTTAGCACTGCCCACCATATCTAGAGCATGAATGTCAGGACCTACTCCGTCTTTCATTCCAGTATCTTCTTTCACCGGCACTGCCGAGACCACGTCTGAGAGAGCATACTGGTTCAGCCACTCCGCCGGGTAAGTTGGCTGGGGTTCGTATGTGCTGGACATCATTACCTTTGTTGCCCGAGAAGCTGAGGATTAGTGAGTCCCCATGTATGAAGCGGGAAATCCAGTTGTCGTGCTTTATACAGATGGGCAGGGATGTAAATCTCAGCATAGCGCCACTGGCTTAGCTCAAATCCCGAGAAGATGCATTAGTACATCGACTAGCACCTGCTCAGTAGATTGAGGGTTTTTGGGCAGCAAAAATGCCTCATACTGGGATGATCCCTGTCATGCTCTGGGTCATTATTTTGCCGCTTGAATATGAAAATGGTGGGCACAATGGGCATGGATGTGCATACTCCGTAGGCTGGCTGGAGTGAACCCCAGCTGAAAGCCTCAGATTACTCTTCTGGCTTATTGAACATCGAGATCAGCCCACATAGGCCAAGCAAGAACGTGACGCGCCGATAGGTACATTAAGGGCCTCATCTTGCCTCTTTGATACAGTTGTTGGCATCAACAACTACCAAATTGTCAAGTATTCTTCTTCTTGCAAACACTCTTACCAATCATCATGAGTGAAACCGAGCTCAGCAAGCGTCTGCAGTCCTTCTTGACTACCGATAAGGGGAGATTCAACGAGGTATTTTATTCGTGATGAGCCGCTCGCTTTGGTGAGGAGAAACTTACAGCCTCCTGTTAGATCACTGCCCTCTCGCAGAAGGCCATCAACGATGGCATGTCCCAACTGTTGAATGATCATCCGGAACTTACTGAAGTCAAGGCTTCCCTGGAGGGCATTGGCTCTCTGGATGCCACACTAAAGACCAGCCAGCTTGCCCTGAACGTTACCGGGCAGCAGAATGCCGTCTCCATGTACTATTGTACCTTGGGGTTAGGGACTGTTAACTTCACCATCCTGTTAGTCCAAGCACGTTTATTTCCATCACATGGCTAACCGTACATGGCTAACTATCAATAGGAATGAAGAGGTTCAAATTACCGATTGGACTATTGCTTGGACTTGTAATCTTGATAAGGAGGTAGTTGATCCAAGTTCTGATGAGTTCAAAGAAGTTCAAACACAGATCATGCAGCCTGGGGACTACTCAATCAGTTCTCTATTCTTTGCTTTCACTAGTAAGAAGAACGGGCTGAACATTTCACAAAGAAGGGAAGGAATTGACTGATAATGTTACGTTTACCTCTAGATGATCATATCATCACTTATGAGTCAGTGATCATTCACTTTATCTTGATCAGCGTTCGTTACTGACAGTAACTCCCCAGCCGCGAACAGAGCACCTTCAACGGCGCCGATCTGTCCGACGAGCAGATGACTTATTTAGGTATTCTCCTGGGTCGTTGGTACACGAACCAGGACAGTGTATGGTAGGACCGCCAGAAGCGCACCCTGGCATATGCCTTACACACGGACCAGCCCGAGACGGTGAACGAGGAGGCACCATCCTTTCCTCCAACATCTCTGAAGCTACAGACATACCCTTATATCGCTCCCAATGAGACGAAGCCTGCGGAGGGTCTTGGGTCGATAGGCGAAAACAACATGCTACTCTACCTTCAAATGACTGACAAGCGACCGTTTCCCGATATCCGCCTCCTTGAGCATTCGGGGAACTACGTCTCCAAGGGCATGAACGGCACGATTATCATCGATCGGGACATCATCTGGGATAGATACCTCTTTCGAGATACTGTCCCCAAGCTGCTATCGCAATTCAATATCCACACGTACGCGTGGGTGGCCAGCGCGAATAATTCGGAGCTCTTTGGAGAGCAATGGTCCATTGCGCTCGGGGACCCGAGCCATTCAAGCGATGCTAGTTTTTATGCGTGGAAGCAAGTCTCGAGTCTTTTAGCTTGGACGTGGACTCCCTCCAACGAGAAGCAGACATATCAGCACACGTACAAGTCTGATGCAGGCTGGAACACTCTTAACATCAAATGTACGTGTGGCTCATTGCTGTCCCGTATTAGAGAGATTCTATTCTTAACACTAGCGGTTCAGGTACCACATCCAACAAACTGAGCGCCATGTCCGGAACTGGCACCATCAATGCGAGTGGGACCACGGGTATCACCGTTGATTGCGAGGCAGCTGCCACTACCTTTCCGATGGTCGGGGGGTACAGGTACACGTGAGTGTATTCTTTCCCACTCTGACTGAATTCCTCACTGGTATCAAGCTGACCGAGTACATCCAGCATCCATGTCACCATTAACTGGCAAACTGACATCACAGTTACCACCACCAACGGTGGTCTGAAGTTCTCTCTTAATCTGCCCGCCGATCTGACCAAGGTCTTTCAGGTGACAGCGGATCCTCTGCAGTGGAATGGTTCAACATCGGGCTTTGACGATAAACTGGAAGCTGTCAAGGCTATATACCAGAAGTTCCAGGACCGGCTCGTGCAGCAATTCCAGAATGATACCTCGTTCGGTGAAGCCGAGAAGAGTCTGGAGAGTGACCTCAACACCTCGGCCCGGTTCGTGATTCCAGGCAAGGGCTCATTGGCTTATGAGAATCCGATTTTCAACAACAATGGGGACCTGATGATTGAGGCCAATTATATAGTGTAGTGTACTCGACACCTTTCTCGTTGTTGAGCAGGCGTCCAGCAATAGCGAGCCAGGTCTTTAGTATACCTGGGATGCGTGTTTGATGTTAGTTGGTCCACCAAAGAGCCCCTTAAGGCTTGTCTTGCTAAGATTCCGTCTGCGCATATAAAGTAAGAATTGTTGAGAATAAATATGAAATTTCTAGGAAGATGGATGATAAGTAGACTAACTGTGGTCCAGTTGATGCGGATCCATACATTGAAGGCAATAGAAGAGCAGTGATAGCTAAGTACAGCATAAGAAAGTGTGTATGTATGTTGGGAGAAAGTACACATGGTAGAAGAAAGGCATGTGGTCGAAGATTGATCTGGTCTGGATAATTAAACATTACAACCAGTCCCTTGCTGACTGTTGGCAACGTGTTAGCAGACACCGAAGTACCCCCATTAATCAGTGTGGCAGCCTTCATACACCAGTCAAGCCATGCACCGGCAACCAAGGGAGTAGCCGACCACAAATACTATTTTAGATGAAGATTGCTCGCTGGCAGTGCATACACACGCAACGGGTTCAGGAAATTAGTGTGCGACATTGTCAGATCGGAAATGAGAAACAGCTTAGCTAGGTTCAGAGGAATCATGATGCTGATTGACCTGTTGCACGTGATATCTCAGACTATGTAACCCCAAACAACATCGAAAGTATCCATTTATAGGGTATTTCGGGAATTTCAGAGAATGTCCTTTTAATGTATATATATATTTATATATGATAACTTCAGTCACGTGCATGAGGTTATTCATTATTAGGATTTTCTGAATCACACTAATTTCTGAACCCGTCGTGTGTTGAGACCCCTGGCATTCCCTCCCCCACTTGGTCGGATGAAGGGGCAGCGCGGCAAAAAATATTAGTTCCTGGAAATCTGGTCGAGGTAAAATAGAAGGTTAATCATATTTATAGCGCGGTCAATGATTGACGAGTAATGGCGGGATCTTGGAATGGGGCCTGTCAGACTGTCAGAAATGGAATCGTATTGCTGTGCCGCTGCCACTTTTAGCGGCGGAGGAATTTTTATGCTTTGCTGCGACCGCCACGGAATCTCCCGTTTAATGGATTGGTTTGTGTTTCTTTGTGAGATTCCGAGAATAATTCGGTGGTTTTCAGGGGGATCGTACGATACTAGTCCTATCTAGTACGATGTAGCATGCATTCCATCGCAGTAGTCCCTGGAGACCCCTTGCAGGTGGCCCGACAGGTAGCAGGTGGAAGCTGCAGGTTTCCATGGAGCATCGCAGTACTATCTACTCCGTATCGCGGTGAACTCAATCAATCAATGATGCTAAACCCAGACGGTCACTAGCATCCACCGTTTTAAAATTAAACCCATCCGATCCTCCTCCACTCGAACCACCTGGACCCTTTGGGCTTCTCCTCCTCCACAGTCCACAGTCCACAGTCCACCTTGAGTCCACACAGACACAAGTCCAGTCCTTGAATCGTCGTTTCCCATCGTGCCGGTGATCATTCATCCCATCCATTCATTTTCCATTCCTCTCTCTTCTATCTTCTCTCTCTTCTTCCCCTCTCCTCTCTCCTCTCCTCTATCCCCACCCCTTTCCCATTCTTCTATTTTTCCTTCTTTCTTTTTTCTATTTATTTATTTATTTATTCTATTTTTCTCCATCCTACAGACTAGGGATCTCTCCCAACCTGCACGAAGCAATTTCTATCCCTGTGAAACATGTCTGCAACCTTTAGGGGGTGGAGACACGCGACCCCCCATTATTTGTTCCAATCCCTTCGCCCTTGTCTGCTCCTTCACCAAATCACCAGCATGCAACTGGTCTGTTTGGTGTTCTGATCCTCTCTCCCTTCCTCCACTGTCCCCAGCACTAAACTCACTACTTCTGCGCCGCTACTGCACCTCGTGGATTCTACTTTCTCCAGAATCCGTTGAATGCACCCCTCAGCCCTGGAACAAAAAGAAAATAATACCAGGCTAAAAAAGCATAAAACCTGTTTTGCTTGCCCAACGGGTGGGTGACTGACGCCATTGTATCTTTATTTCTTCTTTTCTACACTTTTCCCTGTCGTCTGCACCTCCAATGCGCATTGCTTTATAAGCCTCGTGGTGAACTGCTGAATCCGCCCTTTCTACAATAAAAAGAAAGAAGAATCTCCTCCCCAGCCATGGCGATGGAGAAGCAGGATCATCAAGTGGTTGCTGGCCAGCATCCGACGCCCATGAAATTTTCCCGGTACCGTTCCGTGAGAAAAGCCGCGGCGAAACAGCCACCACCACCGCCGCAATCCTGCCCCCTGCCCCCGCCGCTGCCCATCCCGCCTGTCGCTGCCGCGCCGCCGTCGCATGACCAGCCAGCACTCCCCAATGGCTCCAGCACCGTTCAGAGGAGCATGTCGCGCTACCGTCGCAGAGCTCCTACTGCGCAATCCGCCGATGCCGATGCACAACCTCCCGTCCCAGCCCCTCCCCCGGCGTATAAAGCGCAAGCCGACGCCAGTGTCAATGGAGGTCCTGTTCACCCGCACTTTCAGGACTCAGAGGGCGCCGAGATGGTGCGAATGCGAAACAAGCTTGCCAGCAAACTGGCCGCGCGGGAGAAGCGGCAACAGGAGAAACCGGAGGATGATGAGGCAGAGCGCGAAAGACATCGACAGAATGCGATGGATCGGCTGACAGGCGGCGAAGCGAAGTCAGTGTCTACAACTCATTCAAAACCTGCGTCGCGCGACAGGTCAGCCGACAAAGCGGAGGAGCATGCGGTTCGTCGTCCTCATAAGGAATCGCAGCATCGGAAACCCCAAACTGGATCCGCTTCGGCGAGTCGTCGCGCGAGCATGGAGCCGAGGCGTCAGTCGGTCAGTGATGCAGCCAACCCAGCGCATCGCAGAGGAAGTGTACATGGCGATGCATCAGCAGTCCCTGCGATTGATACTACGGTGCCCACTCAGTTCCCTGGAATTGATGCGCCTGTATCGGCTGTCAATGCGCGCGAGCGGCGGGTGCTGGTCCACTACCGGAAATCCTCTACGCGCATCTGCGTTACTCCCTCCACCTCCGCTCGAGACGTCGTCGCGACTGCATTGAAGCAGATGGATGCCGGGGTAGACCCAGAAAAGTTCATCCTGATGGAGTCGTTCGCTGAGCTGGGGCTGGAACGGCCCTTGCGCCGCTACGAATATGTGCGGGATGTGCTGAATTCGTGGACTCACGACGAACAGAACACATTGATTGTTGTGCCTGCAGCCAGCCTGGATGCGCTTACCCTGCTCGACGCGCGGAACGTGTCACTCGGACCACCGGCGGATGTGACCTTCTACATGTACTACTCGCAGCGGCCTCGCAAGTGGGATAAACGCTATGTGACGCTCCGGTCCGACGGCCAAGTGACGGTCTCCAAGAAGGAGAATGCCCAAGATCCAACCAACGCTTGCCATCTTTCTGATTTCGACATCTACTCCCCTACGGCCAGCTACCTCGCGAACAATGTCAAGCCGCCCAAAAAGTTCTGCCAGGCTGTCAAGAGCCAGCAAAAATCCAACATGTTCCTCTCTACGGAGAATTTTGTCCATTTCTTCTCGACCAATGACCGCGAGATCGCCGATGGCTGGTACCGGGCCGTCCAAACCTGGCGCAGCTGGTACCTGGTGACGAAGCTGGGGGCAGGCCAGCCAGCGGAAGCAGAAGCCATGCAGCCGGACGAGACCCCATTCAAGCCCTTGCTGAACCCCTTTGAGGAGCCAGCCAACGAGGTAAAACCGTCGCCACCCGCGCCGGAGCGGAGCAAATCCATGAAGACCAAGGAACTCTTCTCGCACAAAAAGAGCACCCGCGAGCGCGGGCCTCCACCCACGTCCTTCCCCAAGCTTCTCACCGGCGATTCCGACCTCGCGACAGGCTCATCCTCGGATGAAGCCCCATTCTCAGCATCCGGCCTTCTCGGCCGAACCTACACCATGCGCCAACGCGCATTGAAGGAGCGCGAAGAGCAAGAGAAACGAGACAACGAAGAACTGATCAAACAAGGCCTGATCGGCACCATGGGCTCCCGCCACCCCAGCCGCACCAACACCATGACATCCAGTCACGGCCCAGACCCCAACCTCCCACGACGCACGCAATCCATGAAAAACAAACCCCTCGTCGACCTAACCCCCGTCTACCAAGAGCCCCCGCAACACATCCGGAAAGGCCGCGGCATCGCCGTCGAACCAGGCCTGCCCCTTATCGACGCCGCCACGGGGCCCGAAGCCCCAGGCGGAATTCAAATACCCTCCGCCACCACCTGGCGACGACCGCAGGTGCCGCCTGAACCGCCCATGCCGGAGGTCCGCACTCGCAATCGGTCCAACACTGCCCGCAGTGTCAACAACCAACAGCGGTACCATCATACCGCTCCGACCACGCCAACAGACGGAGAGAATCTGCGCAGCCAAGACGGCCCGTTCATCCCTAACAGTCTGTTGGCACGAACTACACCGCACCAAAATATACAAGGATCTCCGGTCGGCCATGGCGTGGCAACGGGGGATCGCAATGCCGCGAAACCGATGTTGGATATGTCGCCGGACAACCCGTTCGCAGAGGGGAGTTTGTTACGGGGATTGTGAGGTTTTGATTATACAGCATGTAAGCTGATTTACGATTACGATCGCATTGGACTTGAGCAGGGCGTTTAGTTTCTTTGTTTGTTTGTTTTTTCTTCGTATTGTTTGTGTTGGCTTGGCTTACTTTGTCATTGGTAGTGACACTTCTTTTTTCCCTCTTATTTCCTTTTCTAGTTACTTTACTTTCTACCCCTATTCCCACTTTGTTTGTCTGTTGTATGTTTGTTTGCTTCCTTCGTGGTAGTCACGTGAGGCGATTCATACTGTTCCCCCCATTTGAGCGTGTGCATTTAGCAAAAGTAGAGATACCTTACTTTGAAGCTTTGGCATAAGCTATTGATCTTATGCCGGTGACGGCATACATACACTTTCTTTATCTCTTGTAAGAATGTAAATCGCCTACAGACGTATCTCAAAATTCCCATGAAGAGACAACTGCGGGGAAAAACAAGGGAATCCGATAACTATCTCAGGAAACCACAAGTTCTTTCCATGCCTTGCTAGTACTTGATTAACTAGAAAAAGAAACAAATAATTATCGATTTACAGCGAGTCAAGTGAATTTAGCCACTGACCATGCATGCAGACTGTACCTCATTGTATGAACTAAATAAAATCAGTTCACTTTGAATGACTGCTAAGTTAGTATATATATTAAAGTATACAAATAAGTACTCAGATAATAAATAAGTAGGGAGAACCCCACGTCCATCCGCAAACTGTCCCCTATCCTATTCTCTCCCCTGCCACTGCATTAGCGTTCATAAACAGATAAAATAAAGGGACACCACATACCACAACCAAATACCCTATCACCCGATGAATCACCCCAAAACCTAGGATCCCATGAACAGGACCTGTGCAGTCCGAAATGCCCAACGCATACATTGAAGGAAGCAGAATCAGCTTAGAGACAGATAGAAAGGCAGACAGATATTCATAAAGCCGAGGAAATACAATAAATGATATAATAATAGGGAATGATGAACATTGAGGATCATTAGCAGGACACATAGTACTCGTCCATTCTTTGGTTCTCAAACCATCGTCCACGCTACTATTTCGCAAGTTTATTTCAAGGATTGGAAGGGAAGAGGTCATCGGAGATGCTGGACGTAGTGTACTTGAAAGCTTTACCTATGATGGAACACACTGGATTAAGCAGGACATGGTGGAAAGGCAAAGGATAGCTCGGGAGTAGAAGGCGCGCCAGATGTTTCTTGCTTGAGGAAAGAACGCACCGAAACATAGTCTCGGAGTTCAGAGTCGCGTAGGTGTTGCTGTAAGCACGCTCCTCGAGTGGATTGTAGTTTGAGGTTTCTTGGGGCGTTGGTTTGACACCTTCACCAACCCCAACTCACTCACGTAGTCCGTGAGGAGCTTTGTCCAACGTTCTATTCACCTTCGATCATCATCCATGCGATCAGTTTGCAAGTTGTAGAAAGATGTCTTCACCCGGGAGGTCCTGGATGCTGCAGAATGGAGGTCGACTGAGCCCACTGCAACGACCATGATATATCATGTATGGTCATCTGACATCCGGGAATGCTGCGCTGACATCCACATCAGGGTTGATCATTCGGGAGATCTATGAATTCCACTCCCTTCCTTCCTTTCTCAATGATATTTTGTCCCATTCGTAGCGTAGATCCAGTTCCTTGTTCCTGCTGTTGCGGTAGTATGCCGTTTGGTTACTGCATTGCCTAATGTGAGACATGGAATAACCGATTGAGTGAGGAATACACGGTGGTGTCTGTCTACTCATTGCATTGGATAAGGTGTAACAGACGGGGACAGTATAAAGTTGGATAGTAATTCCCGGACATGGAAAGTATTGAATCTCATTGTAAAGATGAAACGAAGCGAAGCGACTTAATTGTTCATGCTCTGCCGGCCTGGGAGGCAAGAAGGAAGCTTCGAGAGCACGATCCTCAAGAGGATCATAGCCTGAGGCTTTTTAGGGTGTTGGTTTGACACCAACTGATACATAGTCCATCAGGAGCTATGTTCAAGCCCATTACGAGTATGGATGAACACATAGCAAATCATCCTATTATTTCTCTCAGACACAAGAACGAGATAATTGAATCGGTCGTGTTTATCTAATGGAGGAGGCACATAGGTAGTGTTGATGGCAAGAAAACAGAACCTGAACTTGTGCTGAGTCATTGGACACAAACAGTCGAAGAGCAGCTTGGACCATGCTACTCTGGAGCGCTTCGTGATTCGTTTCCGCCGTCTCTCATTTGGTGTTGTTTTCATGGTGTTGCATCAGTGAGGCCATTTGTTGAACGAACCTGATACTTCCTGCGAGACGAATACTATGTAGCAGGAGTGTGTATTCGCTGATAGCGTAGGGTGTAATTGCGTGTGAACTTGGGAAGGAAGGGTTGTTTTGGTCACAGGATAGTCTCAATGGAGTAGTTCGAAGTGGACAGGCGACAAAATAGAAGGAGAAGATCTTGTATATAAAGAAATTGTGATATTTTGAATAATTTTATATGTATAATCTTTTGAAGAATGAATATTTTTATTTATCTATATAATATTAATGTCTAGAAAACAGGTGTAACTGTAAGAATTATTATTAATAAATCTAATTGATTTAACTAATAATATTTTTAAATTATTAACAGTAACATTGTCCGGTATAAGTAAAAAATATTTTTAATATAAATTAATATAAACAAACTCTTTCGAGTGAATATAAAATAATCTATATAACATACAGGGTCAGGGGTCTAACAGCAGTGCACAACCACACTTAGTTCTCCATGCTTCCTATTTTATGCAGTAGGAACCATTCGATTGTGACTGATCCTAATAAGTGTGCGATTCTTCCGTTAATTCGACTGCTTGTCAGGCTGCCATCAAGTGCTTTTTCAACAGTTATCCTTCGTGTCCGTCTGGCCATCTTGTCGGCCCAGCAGTAGCCTGACGACTGCTTCGTGTCCACCTTCAGTCGCACAGGATAATGGTGTCCGACCCCAGTTAGCCTTGGAGTCCACCTTAACATCTTGCTGGTCCAGCAGTAATCTGACCACTGCTTCATGTCCGCGCCAGGCTGCATATAATAATGGTGTCCGACCCAAGTTATCCCTCGAGTCTGCCTCAACATCTGGTCGGCCCAGCAGTAGCCTGACTACTGCTTCATGTCCACCTCCAGCCGCAAAGGACAATGGTGTCTGACCCCAGTTAGCCTTCGAGTCTGCCTCAACGTCTTGTCGGTCCAGCAGTAACCTGACCACTGCTTCATGTCCGCGCCAGGCTGCATACAACAATGGTGTCCGACCCAAGTTATCCTTTGAGTCGGCCTCAACATCTTGTCGGTCCAGCAGTAGCCTGACCACCGCTCCATGCCCCGCTCCAGCTGCACAGGATATCGGAGTCAACCCGTCATTATCCTTTAGGTTCGCCTCAACATCTTGGTCCAGCAATAGCCTGACCACTGCTTCATGTCCGTGCCAGGCCGCATATAACAATGGTGTCCGACCCAGGTTATCCTTTGAGTCTGCTTCAACACCTTGATCCAGCAGTAACCTGACCACTGCTTCATATCCACTCCCAGCTGCATAGGATAATGGTGTCCGACCTAGGTTATCCTTTGAGTCTGCTTCAACATCTTGTCGGTCTAGCAGTAGCTTGACCGCCACTTCATATTTTTCAGCCGCATAAGATAACGGTGTCCGGCCACAATTATCCTTCGGGTCTGGCCTGATACTGCCGTTTGCGAGTAGTAGCTTCAGCAATTCGCCGTCCCTCGCGAGTAGATGTAGGATCGTCCTCCCTCCTTCATCCTGAAGCGTGGTATGGTGAAAAGTCAGGGACCGTACAAGCCCAGGAACTGCATATAAGAGAGAGAGCAGGTCAACAGGTGTAAGATATTCGGCGGCAAGCAGGGTAAGTTCGATAGGGAGCTGGGCTCCTACCCTAGACGCTCTCATGATATCGCTTTCGCGAACATACGGAAACAGTAAATACAATTCACACGCCCAACTAATCCTTAGCTGCAACCAAGTTAACTATCTGGATTCCGGTGACGTAGGGTGCTTCTTGATGATAGCTGGAGTTGAAAGTTGAGCGGTGACTAAACGGACTGTACATGTCTGACACTTGGCGGCTTGTTCCCCGCAGGAGCCCTTCTGCCTAAGGCTTCAAGAGCCCGTGAATGGTGTATTAGTAATCAAACAAGCCACCGTCACCCCAGGTCACATTGCTCGCGACAAATTTGGCGGTTTTTGCGTTGTGCTTGACAAACCATGCTTAAAACCGACGCTCTGGTCGCGTTGATTTCTTACGAAATTGCCATGAGATCAGCAGGCGGTCAATGATCGCCAGATTAGTCAGGGAGCTACTGCACACGAACATTAGGTTCTTTCTTAGTTAATCCATAGCATACATAGAGGCCCTGCCATCAACTAAGTAAGGAATCAGCTGTGAAATACTATATCTTTTCAATTACAGCCTGTGCGTAGTATAAAAGATTATAGTTAAGTCACTACTCTAATAAAATAGTTCTAAAATAGAAGAATATTCTTTACAGGTACTTTAGTAGTATTTCCTTCGATTTTTCTTGAATTAATATTGATACTTATATAGTATTTTGATAGGATCTACTTGTCAGGGTAGAAAGCCTGTCAACTAGATAAAGAATCAGTCACGAAGCATTATAGATTCATATAATAAAGACAACGGTAGGCTATATTCACAGAATAGACTGATCCTTGAGGGATCTGTAGCATATTGTAAGGCATCCCAATATTATACACCTTGGAAGGGGGTAGGATCACTGTCGATGACCTCAAACACCAAAACTCAACTCAACATCTCACCAACAAACAACAACAACAACCTCCACCATGCACCATCAATCCACGAGCAAGGATCCCCCCAGTTCATCTATCAGATCGCACCTGTCAGAAAAGGCCACTTTGCCCTTGCAGCCACCGTAGACTTGACCGCATCGACTGCTGCAGCGTGTTCCGTCCGTCCTGTGTCCCCGACAGGGATGGCAGCGCCACACGACAAACAAATGTCTCAGACGCGGAGAATTGCAGCGTGTCTGTGCCCAGTGACAGCTTGGCTAGCTTAAATGCAGAATTTGAGCCATCATTTTTCTCTGTTGCATTGGGGATTGTGCGTTTAATTAATCAGTATGTGGTGAGTTGTTTGTTTCGCTTGGGTGGCAATGGCAATGTGCATAGTAATGTGGGTATGTAGTAGATTCTTCGGGGCAAAATACCGAGGAATCCTGATTGTTCCACAATTGAGTTTAGGTGCGGTCCGTAGGATGGTATGTTATGTTTGTTTGTTTGTTGTCTAGGCTCTTTTTTTTTATGGGGTGGCATTTTTGCTTTTTGTATGGGGATGGGATGGGGAATGTCAAAGGGGGAGTGACGGAATTAAGGATCAAGTAGGGTGATAGTAATTTCATCATTAAACTGCCCCTTCTAGTGACTCCTGTTGTTGACATTCTTAATTCGAGACGCTTCATATTTTCTACAGACATTCTACACAAATCTCTCAAACAAATTATGTCTCAATATGTATATATTAAATCGCAATATAAAACATTACGAATTAACGTAATTAGCTAAATACAATCGAACGCAGGTATCATCATGCAAATATTACCGAGCCCATTTCTGGGCCGCCGGTAAAATGTATGTATGTATAGAAGAAGAAGAAGAATGAAATCACGCCACAACAGGCCACCCATCAGTCCAGGTGAGCGTGTTCCAGCCGAACTGGTAGTCATCGACAGCCAGGCCAATGTTCTTGTTGGCATAGTGGTAGTAGACGACAATACCGTGGCTGGTGGTGTTGATGATACCCCTGCAATTGATCATTGTTAGCATGCTTCCCCGTTTGATGTGCGTCAAGCCACAAAAGAAGACAGGGGCAAACTTACTGTCCACCAGGGCCGTAGACATAGTCGTGGCTGGCCAGAACGGTGGTTCCGCCGCTGTTCAGGCATGAAACACCATCCTTGTCGACCTGCAGGCGAAATTAGCATTCCCCCCCCTATTCCTTGAATGTTGATGATTGGCATATAGCACTTACAAAGTTACCCGTTCCAGTCTTGGACCGGCAAACGACAATGCGGTACTCATCGCCCTGGGCAGGCAGGGAGGTCGTGTACCCCTGAGCCTTGCCGGACGAGAAGGTGAGGTAGTAGTAGCCTCCGTACTCGTACAGGTAAGAAGCCTCGATAGCATGGTTCCCCGATGCGTTGTAGGCCAAGTTAGTGGGCGTGCTGCTGCTGGCGCTCAGGGAGTCGGTCATTTCCACCTGGTAGAGACCTTGCCAGTAGGAGCCGAATTGGAGATAGGGGGTGCTGCCAATGGTGATCCAGTTGGGGTCAATGGCGTTGTAAGGGGTGGACGAAGACGAGGTGACACCAATCTCGCCGTGGTCGGTCCAGGAGTCGGCTTCCAGGGTGGTGGAGGTTGCAACTCCAATGGTGGAATCCCGGCTGCCCAGGGTAGAGCTAGCATAGTACATGTAGTATGTGCCATCTACGTAGTGTACGTCCGGAGCCTGCGGGAATGTCAGAACTGCAGATGGCAAGGGTGATGTCCAGGGTTGTCAGTCTGTCTTACCCAAAGGTTGGAGGCATTTCCCACTGTAACGATGGATCCGTTAGGCAGTGCATACCCGAGATCAGTCCAGGGACCAGTGATGGCGCTGGCAGAGGAGATATGGACACCACCACCTGTCGAGAAACGAAAGTAGGTTCCATCCGACACACGGCGAATGACATTGGGGTCGTGTGCCCAGCAGGTTCCCGAGCATGCACCCGGGTCTGAGTAGGCGTTGACCAACGCTACACAAAGAAGCAAGACAAACGAAAGCATAGCGGATAAGGGGGTATCCTCCAGAGGGGAAAAGAAGAAAAGGGAAGAGGAGGGTAAAGGGGAATGGAGGAGGGGAAAAAAAACAAAGAATTGCTGTTTTCTATTCAGCCAGGGTACATTGTCAGTCGAGGGAAGGGCCCTTTATGTACAAATAGCTCGGCCGGTATACATCGGGCCTGTCAATACAATGCTTGCAGAAAAGGTAGCCTTGCAAGTAAGGGCCACGCTAGAGATCCAGCTGAGCTTACGCATGCATTGACCTTCGGGTCATTCTCGTAAATGAGGTAGACTAAAGTCGAGCGATAGTAGGTGTCGACTCCCTTGCTGCAGTGGCCAAGACCAATCACGCCTTCGGAAATAGCTTTAACTTTAGTCGAAGCGACTAGTTGTTAGTGACGACAGTGCTCCATGGGATGTGAGTATATGGCTCATTTCTAATGCCGATTGTTTGCATCGACGTGGAGCCCGTGGCTGAATGCCCGGATGGATCCAGGGCAGGGTTGAGAACCGGCCAGACCTAATCCGTCGGTTACGGGGAGGAAAATCAGGCAACGGAACAAAGCCACTATCAGAGAGAAGCAAAACACAACTGCATGATTTCCCCCGCGTTTGTCGTAGCGAGAGACAGAATAAGCAAAACCGAAATAATGCATAACAAAAAGAAGAAAATACCCAAAAAATAGAAGAAGTAAAAAAAGATTACTTGAAGAAAATATTACGGGCCAGGCAAAGTTTAGGGTATATCTTAATGTTAGGCACCTGATCGATCGGCTGGCCTTCATCACATTACCCTTTTGGGACCCCATGACTCCTCAGGCTCGCTGCATCCGAGAAGTGGTTGACCTCGGATTTCGGGTCTCGAAGAAGCAAGAATCTGCCTGGACCATTCAGGAGCGTCCCCTGGCAGAGTGGGTTGGTTGGTCCCAAGTAAACGAGGCAATAAATGGCCATACTATAAATTTTTGGGTACTGGTTATCCTCGGGCCGCCTCTCCCGTGTCAACTCTTAACATGGACAAGACTGTGTGGCTTTCAAGTACATTTACAAAGTACTATTACTATCAGCCTCCTAGTCTGCCCTGGCAGTGTTTACCCCCCTCTCCCCTTCCACCATCATAGCGTCATCCATTCATTTCCGGCCACATTCTCACCCCCACAAATGCTTGGCCTGACGTGTCAATCAAAGCGCGCTATAGACATGGTGGGTGTGTGTGTGTGTGTGCCAAAAGGCCACAACTTGGAGGTAAAGCAACCGGGCTCTCCGCACTCAGTGATTGGATGTCTGCATACAGATGACGGGCTGAAGGGGAGATTTGGTCGGGTTAGTCTTCTTAGTCTCGCCCAGAGCTCGGCCTAGTGGGCGCCTCCCAGGCATTTCGGAAGGCCATCGGTCGATCATGGACCTCCCCTGCCCAATGGGACTTGATCATCAAGTTGGAGTCCGTGAGCATGGGCGGAACCACCACGAAGCTTGCCATTTACATCGGGATGTCGTGATGGGGATCCCCAGATCTGATGATTCATGGGGAGTCGTCTAGTCCGCCGACTAACAACAGTAGCGTCTTGTCACTACTTCTCTACTAGACTATCTCGAGGATCCTCCGATCAATGTCTCCGCTTGCTAAAGACAACCGCAGTACGGAGTAGATGAAGAAGAATGAGTGCCGTTGGGGACGACAATGAGTGCTGCTACCACGTCGGGGCCAACTCTCCCCCTTGCATGCTATCATCACGATTACTCCGTACACTGCTTGGGTATTTCTGCATCTGTTGGATCGATCCGAAGTGAATTGCACAGCCCGTCGACTAAGATTTTGTCGCTCAAGTTTGCTGGAAATCTCGCAGCCTTGCTACCCCCATTATGTAATCCGGGGGTTTCCCCTCCTCTTGGTTCTCCTCCTCTTCCCGAATGCTGTCCCAGTGGTTGAAGTTGCCATGTGCCGAGACTGACCGGATTTTGAGATCAGACGGTACCATGATCGTCTCACGAGGAGAATGTGGGAGTTGTGGTGGTGCTCCTGAGATGTGCCAGTCGGTTGATGGTGCGACCTGCGCTAAGGATGTCGTGACTGGTCCAAGTCATGGCGGATGTGGGAAAATAGAGAGGAGAGAACGCGATAATAGCAAGCAACACGGAACCTGGTCTATATGCGCAAGAATTATTAATGTTTGCTGGTTTGACAGATTCGAACAAAGAATCAAGACTAGCTATGCGAATATTTTTATTTTTTTTATTTTTATTTTTTTTTATTTTTCCTTTTCTTCCTTTTTCTCTCTTTGGAGGATCCGCTCTCGTGTTTTGCTCCGTTAGTCGCTGCAAGGAGGCCCAGGAAGAAGTAATGATGACCGCATGCAGCTACGAAGATGACTACTGACGGAGGACATCTCACCGAATCTCACGGAGTCAGACCGGATTGCGGTGAACAACACATTGCGATACCTGATTATCTGCGTTGCGGAAATTACCCAAGTGCCTTAATGGTGGTGGCTATTCCCCATCGCGAGCAGAGTTGCAACGATAAGTACGGATTGCGTCTTCTGGAGGATCTCCCACTCGTTCCAGGGACGGCAGCGGATGGGACGGTTTTCCGCGGTGGATAATGGCCGTTCCTCCATTACATGCATGGATTTCTCATATGATAGTCTTGCGGTGGAGAAACTGTGGAGGGTGTTGGTTTTAGGTATTCTCCGAAAACAAACATGGGCGGTATGGCTGCTTATCGTGTTGCGTTTCCGGAAATTTCTCATTCAGGAGAAAGAAGAGGAGAAATCTGGAGAGAGGATCAAAGGGGTGAGTAAATGGCAGAAAAGAATTGGGTATGTTTTTGATTTGACTTTACAAGAGACTTTGCAGCGATCTTGTTTTTGGGGCGTCACAATCGATCGACGGGATCTGAGATGGCCGAGCCACGGTATTTCTTCTGCGTAACGCGACCACCCAGATTGGTGCCGGAGATAACTGGCACCCATGGCTATGTCCGCTGCTGGAGTAGAAAACGGCTCTCTCACCCGCAACCGTAGTGAAGTATACAAAAAGATATCAACTTTCTTTTATGCTGTTCGAATAGACTGCAACGTAACTATTCGAACTATTCCCCCACACATTCCTGAACAGCCATGGCGTCAGCCATCCGTCCTCCGTGGCCATACTAACATGTCACACGACACTACATCCAAGCAAGACAGATAGCCAGATCCAACAATCACAAGAAACAGAACATACAATGGAACAATTCTCAACCAATAACTAACTACAAACCACGAACCCTCCTGATCAACCATAACACACAACTTCCCCCATACTATCTATTTTAAGCACACAAGCACAGACTCCCAAGCAAGGGACACATCAATTACTCGAACTCAACTGTCACTTTCCACGAACCCCTATCAAACTATACCATATCAACACTCCGATTCACCACACAAAATCAAGAGGCAAGAATAGCATTCTACTACGTCCAAAGAAAAGAAAGACAAGTCTCATGCATCCTGCAGGGGCAAATGAGATGCCTCACCACCACAAAGAGCCAAGTAAAGTAAGTAATCTGCAGAGAGGTCGACACGCGTCCAGCACATGGTTGTGGCTCCTTCAAGCTTCTTTTACCCCTGACGATGAAAACTTTGAGGGAGGCGCGTTCCTGCAGTAGTTTTTTGGTCTGTGGCTGCTGTACGTACGTAAGAGGGACTAGATAGGAGAGATGGTACCTGGCAGGTAGGGTGGTGATGGGCAGTGGCGAATCTTGGTAGACCTGCTATATTGGACCGATATTATATTCCTTCGCCGTTTTAGAAGTAGCCTGATTAAGGGATCTGTCTGATAAAGGTATACACAATACTCCATACTCTCTAGTCTCTTGTTCCATGACCAAGGAGGGAGTATACATCTCCCCCTAAAGCAACCAAGCCCAATATCACCCCAATCGCCACTCCCAAAACACCCCACAAACACCCAATTTTCACAAAAGAATTCCTCAATACCCACCTCCAATGTAACCACTGCCTCTACTACCCTCATTTCCCTCATAGGCACTCCCAAAATCCATGAGGGTACTCCCCGATGCCAACCGGACCGCGATGACGCGTCCCCGGTCGACACATCACGAATCGGGTTCCCACAGCCAGAAATAAGCAAATATGATACGGGGATAAATATATCTTGCAGATGTAACCTTATAATTATAATTATAATCATGATTTGCTTGCCTGTTCCATGGTTTTTGTTTTTGCATAAGTATGTTCTTATGTTGTATTAGCTACTTGATGCTGGTTTGTATAGTTTTGGGTTGCCGGTTTCGGGTCGGAGTAATTATAACATTGATTTTATGTAGTGGAAAAGAACTATTGGGGAGTTGCATTTGTTAGTAGGCATACTGTAATAAGACTGTGTTCTACTGTAAGTTGTTTTTGATTGTGGTAATAGTGCGTGCTAACTGTAGTCTTTAAATTTGATAGATAGTTTGTGGATATTGTTGATAGTTTATGATGATGGATGCAGTATGTGCAAACCTGCAGATTAACAATGTAGTGATGATCACAAAAGAGGATAGTATGCTAATAGTCATTCAAGCTTACGGTGCTTACGTTGTGAATCATAAATTTTGCTGAGGAACCAATCGTTATATTGCTTTTATGCGGTCTTTTTTGGATGGATCCTGGTCATTTTTCATGAGTTTGGACAATCTAAATGTACAAATGGCCGGAGGGGCTTAATATGTACTCTAAATCATATAATATGACTTGATTAATGAAAGCGTCTTTCGAGCCTCTCAGATTGCTCTTACATACTACTCTTCCATTTTACATATTACAATTCCATTCAAACTTGACGCTACCCACACTCGCCAGCATACATTTCGTGCAGTCAACAGAGCAGACCTGTCTTCTAGACAATCCTCAGAATCTTCAAACTAGCCCGCGAATATATAACATATCTGCCAAACCGCTATTCAATATGTCCATTCCGATTTTATCGGACAGCATGCCTCGGCTGTCGAGTATGCAGCTATCCTCTTCACCGTCTCCCCATCTCCCCAAATACCGTACTCAACATTATTCACAGCTTCGAAAACAGGCCTTAGATAAGGCTGTCAAATAATTACGAACTGTCTACTTTCGGGGGCCCATCACGCCATATGTAACGCCGATCAACTCAGCTACCGTGATTGCATGTCCATGCATGCAGCTATGCATAATCAAATACTTACTCAGAAGTGGCATCTGTAGATAGAAAGCTCTCTTCTCATAATATAAACATTGCTTGCAATAAATCATCAAAAAAATAAAGTATCCCTGACCTCCCGCATAACTATCTCGATGGTGGATATCATCATAGAACGGCGGTGTCCAGAATGACGACATCCTCTTTCAGCATGAATATTGCAGTTATATTACACACTGCAAGAACTAAAGCAGCTCAAATGCCACATCGTAGGCAGCTCTCACTACCATCACCATTATAGCAACCCTTTTCGTATCCTCGTTGATAATTTCCCCATGCAGACCCGAAAGCGAATAGGCACCCGCGCTAACTGTAAACCTAGATCGACGGACCCGGAAGGGTTCTCGAAAGAAGTGGAAGATTACTAGACTCAGCAGCAAGTAGTATCCGCTAGTATTGTATCCTAACTATAAGTGGTTGGAAAAATACCCTTGTCCGCTTACTATCTATCGCTACCGCTGAAATATCCATACGTGTACATCTAGACCATTATCAAGATAATGGAGGAACGTGTACTCGACTGTTACGCAGAACTATATATGTCAGGGGACCAGTACTTACATAGATATTTCGAAAGGAAAACTCTGATTTACATCTGAGAGGTGCTTTCCTGCTTGCCTACCAGCATGTCAGTTACTGGCTAGGCGCCGCTTTGTAGGTCACTATTACTGGTAGGATAGCAACCTATGGAAATACTATTGTGTCTCGTACTCAACACACTAGAAGCTCTCTGAATCTTAGGAAGGGTTTACCAGGCCTGCCTGTTCTTCGATGTGCTCAAGTCACTGACGACTCCCAGTTGAAGGTGGTGTTAATTCTCTTCGGCAAATGCTAGTGTTGACTACTAGAGGTGCTGTTTTAACATCACATGGCTCTCCGGCTTGATGAATGAGTTTAGATGCCTCATATTCATTGCCGGATGGAATTGAGGAAACGATTATGTGCACTGATTGATATGTTACCTATGTCCTAAGACAAAGGGTGTCTGAATTATTCCCTAAATGTCAATCATAAGAACAAAAGAACAGTCTTCTCATTGAAAGTTCGTAACTGGTATGTTCCTCTATCTATTTATCCGGACCAATAATCGCCATTCGAGTCATCCGCGTCAGCCATTACCTCATTCATGATACAAAAGTTATAATCATAACCAGCAAAAAGCAAGAAACAGTCTCTATACGGAAGCCAACCATCTAACTAGCCTGATATACTTTGAAGCTTTTGAACTCCCAGTACGCCTGAGTGAAGTTGCCAGGGTTGCTGCGGACAAAACTTTCGCATGTACCCGGACAGTGATACTGTTCAGTATAGAATGCCTTGTTACCACCGAGCTGTCCGCAGAGATCGATGTTGGCAATTATACTTTGATTTTTGAAGTGAGAGGGTATATCGCAGTGAGTATTGGGAAAGTCAGCCAATGCAGTCCCCCATGTTGATGGGTCTGGAGTGCTGCTCGAGTTCGAAATGTCGTCGGGAATAGAATCGCGTGAGAAGAACCAAGCTCGGATTCCGGCATCCCGTAGCTCCAGAGCGTAAACCTATTGTCGTCAATATATGCACTGCATGACTCATATCTGTAATAAAGGATGACTTACCCCGCCGCCGTTCTCGTTCATTTCTTGACCGTACGTGCTTGGCGAGCCCTGTACACCACATCCGGCGTTGCTATGCGTGCTGTTGTCGCAGGTCACGTAATTTGGGGTACCGGTTTCCTTTCGCTTGACATTCATTTTACAACCGCTGGTTGTATGCAATGTAACGGCATTTCCCTCGGTGGCCAGGTTGTTCGTCTCAACCACGTCGATTTCTCCGTTTTCAGGCCAGTTGTAGGTATCGGTTAACCACAATGCTGGCCATAGGCCACAGCCATATGGCGTGTGGAGAATGTCGAAGATGAAGAGGCCGCTATCGTAACTTGTTTTTGACTCCAGACGCACAGACTGTCTTCCTTTTGTTGCATTCTTGTTGGATGTGTCCACCTTGAGCACAACGGAGTCTTCGCCAGCATAGGTCAGATTCAAGGAATTTGATGTTGACTGATTTACATATCTGTGTATCGTCAGTTAAGTCTAATACATTGAGGATTGGGATAGCCATACTGGACAAATCCATCAGTGGGATCCTCGCCAGAATAGTAGTTGAACCGGTCAAAGAACGAGTTGCCCGAATACGTGTCCACCAGCTTGTAATCAAGCTTGGAATAGTCGGGATACCCTTTCTTCTTCGTCCCTTCGACTGCACCAACAACGACTGCAATGATGATGACAATGATGACGGCTGCTACAATCAACTTTTTCCGTAGCGACCAGCCGCGAAGGTCGTACCAGGAATACTGAGCGACCGTCTGCTGCGGAGGTATAAATTGCCCGGATCCTGGCGGAGGGGGAGGCCCTGCATGACCGAGATCATCGTCTAATTTGGGAAGCTGACTGGTGGCGCCCCCATACCTGCTGTATTCAGTGCCGGGTGTATAGTACTGCTTATCGGCCATGATGGCCCAAGCTTATCAGATAGAAAGGACACAAGTGATATAATTATAGCAAGAACGAAGTGTATCCAACTATTTTCGCAGTAAACGAATGTATGTAGCTAGCAGAATTGACAATGAAAAGGTTGGGGAGGTGAAATTGAAGTCGCCGGGCGGGATGGTGTCATAAAGATCTGCGAGTCAGACTGGCGTTACCTTAACGATCATGGCCTGATTAGGCAATCAGCAGTCGCAACCGGGAAGTAATCTTTGAACAATTCTATATGCGGAGGTTGCTTCCACGACCGTGCAAAATGTTGGGAGCAAGACGGGACACTGGGAAGAGGCCCCAACGATGAGAAGACTAGTGGCTTGAGGAGATAACTCTGGCTGTCTCTGCTGCTTAATGCTGGATCATTGATAGGCAAGGATGTATTGCGCTGGCTGGGATGTTTCCAGAACAAGAAGCGTATGTTCTGTTTGCACGGTCCCTGACAACGCTTGTCTCAGTTGGGAAGGTGACCCCTGGACCCTGTTCCAGTGCATTAGTCATCGCCATTGATCATTACAGAATATCTTCAAGGTGTTGTTTCGAATAATAGCAGCTGTAGAAAGGAATGCCATTCTGGCTGAAATAATGATATTAATGTTGCTTTAGATCATAAACTGAAAGTTCCATGGCGACCTGTTATCTGTTCTAAATTTAGTGACACGGGCGGCCCCAGCAGTGAACCGAGACAGAAGGGCAGCCAATATGAGGGGAATCCGAAACAAGCCTTCTGTGGGCGAGACACAAAGACTATTGTGGGGTGATATAGCCAAAGCGAGGGGATCATGCAATCTATATGATATTTGTACTCAGTAGAAACAACAAATAATCGATCACTGTAATCTTCAATCGGAGCCAAAATTTGAATCTTCATATTTTCCGACCCCAAAAAAGCACATATGACAATAGCGCGCCCGTGCTGTCAGCCTGACTAGACTAGCCCCAACATGTTGATCAAAGCCCAACATCGCACATTAAATAAGAACATCATCTCCCAAGGCCATTCAGCTACGCCTAAATTGCCAAGCGAACCTGCACCTCAATAGCGCCATGCAGCCTAATCTAGCGTTCAAAAAGGCCAAGCATAGTGCGAAATGACTAACAGCAGCGCTAGTGCCTCTGGGAAATACACCTTGAACCGGCGTGGACTCCAACCTTCATCGTACGGCAGACGCTCTTCGCCAAAGACCGCACGCACATAGTCATCCGGAATACCCTTCGTGACGCCCTTGCCAAAGACACTTCGCAGAGCTGCCACTTCAGAACACGCAACGTAGTGTTCGAATTTTCCAAACTGCAGGTGTGGATTGTCCCTCTGCTGTTCATCAAATCGTACCTTTCGATACCTTCCCATGACTGTGCTGTGAAACTTCCCTTCCTTCGCAGTCCGAAGAAACCGTTTGTATAGGTCAGGGTCTAGGTGGATGCAGTCGCCCAACGCGCGGTCTTGTCGGGTGATTGAGACATCGTGTTCCAAAGCATGAGGACGGCCGACTTGATCGAGGTTGAGCACTGGAATCCCGTCTCTGTTCACTTGTCCCGGGTCGCGTAGTCCAACTTGGGAGCTTCCTGGTGGTCCGTGTTTCGGGTCGTCGGAGTGGATTTGAAAGACACGGCTTACGAGAACAGAGGCTATGTCCAGGCCTAACCCGACATATCGAATGGCCGATTTCAGCTCAGCAGCGGTGATGGACTTTCCGTCGCGCGCGATATAGCCATGGTTGGCGAGTGAGTTGAGTACAGGACATGGAGAACGTAAGTCGTCTGCTCCTGCGGGATGGTACTGGCCCTTCTGGAGCTCCATTCTGCAAGGATACGGAGAGAAAGATGGGGGGAGGGGGGAAATTAGACAGGGTGTGCTTGCTCTCTATATGCATTATGATGGCGGGAGGGGCCTGGAATGGTCAGCCTAGACTTGGGAACGGGTGACTGCGGCGCCTCGATCACGAGCATCGCAGCCCCCTGGAATACGACATCCTTCAAGCCCGGTTTTGATTCACGCATCAACCCTGTCCGTCCAGTCAAGGTCAGCTGGGTCTATCGTACACTCATCTATGATAAATCCTGTTGAGGAACCCCAGCAGGTATCTTTCAGGTGCATCTATCCACAAACTCTTCAAGCATCTTGTTCAGCTCGTGCTCCCTCTCCCAGCCCAGCATATGGCCGCTGCCTTCAAAGACCTTCCATTGGATTCCGTCACCGATCTCCTCGCGTATTATTTCCCCATGGAGGAAGGTCAGCATCAAGTCTCTGGTGCCGTGGCACACGAAGATCCGCTCCCTCCCCACTTGATCTCCCAAAGATTTGAGCTGCTCCGCTGACTTGTGATGGAAATAGCAGGCCAACACCTGCATCATGAATCCTTTCTTCGTATGCGCTTCGGTGTCAGCCCGCTTATGCAACATACCAGCAGCAAACCGATCACGCTTGGTGGGAAAGTTCATCGCCGGGTCCTCGTACTCCGTGTCTGGTTCGGCGAGGAAGTCCTCGGGGAAGAGACTCCTTGCCATCCTCTCGAGCTCGATATCGACATGGCGGGGAATGAACATGCCTGCCCGTTCGCGCAAGTTCTCGAAGAATGGACCTGTCCGAACCAGGCGCGGAGCGGTACAGCAGAGGGTCAGGCTCAATAGGCGATCCGGAATGAGCATTCCAATCTCTTGAGCGATCATGCCACCCATACTAGCACCGATGACATGGATCGATCGTTCAGGAGGAGCAGCAAGGTCGACCCAGCCCAGCGAGGCGACCAGGTCTACTACATCTCGAGCCATCTCGGACGTGGAGTAGTAAGAGATCGGCTTGTCCGACCGGCCGACTCCACGATTGTCAAAAACCAGGCAAGAATATTTGGAAGCATGCTGGTGACCAAAGTATTTGGTCTGACGCCTCCAGTCCTTGAGACTTGCATTGAGACCCATTACCCACTGCGACCCATGTCAGTACCATCGCACAGAGAGGTCATGAAATAGTTCATACTTACCACGAGCTTCACTGGGCCAGAGCCATGGATCTCATAGTGAATGTTCAGGGGCCCTCCTCGCCTGTTTTGCGCCACAGTACATGATCCGGACGTTGTGGCAGGGAGGTTATAATTGACGGTACTGTATGCGGAATGTTTGATGACTTCCTCGGCAAGGAGTGGTGCCATGTCTTCTAATTCTATCTGCGGTCTAAACTTGGAGGGTTGTGATCAAGAAAAGGATTCCAGAGGATATGGGCGTGGACCATGTCAGAACTGGGCAGCTCCTCACATGTCCCGTTTTCTTTTTCTTGGCAGGAGTCATCCGAGGCCGCCGTGTGATCCATCTGTTCCTGTCGATGATCTCACTTCCCGCTTTCGTGTTGCTTGTGTTACCCACCAGCTGACTGAGCGCAGGCGGCGTCATATTATTCATATGCAATAGAGAATTGTGCGGGGATTTCTCTATGAATTACAATAGATACAACTTCAATCCGTTGCATCTGTATGGCTAGATACCGATAATCTGCGACCATGGCAGAGCGCTTTTGTGGCATTGACATGCAATCTATCGCTCAATAGTAAATTGCACTCAATTTATGCCTGGCTCCCAACACATAAGTTTTATACAGTGATGACCAATACCTCGACTTGAGCTTCGTCATGGAGCTCTTCTGTGGCGTTTCAAACTTGACGCGCCCGATACTCTTCTAAACATGCCAACCAAGGAATAGTCTATGAAATTAAATAAACATCTTTAACAACTACGTGAAGCCTCTTCGCATCCATTTCGGCTAAGCATTGTAGTAATGAGTAAATAGGTAGACAGTGCAGCGGAGATCTTTAGATTTCGTAACGTTATCACTGCTTATCGGTCCAACTTGACTCCAACACCATGCGGGGTGTCGCTGACCCACCATCTCCAACTCGACAATTGCATAACATCCCCTCTGCTCCCTACTATCCCCACGAGGCAGAGAGTGATACTCAGGTTTATATTTAAATCACAATGGCATCAATTCGCCGCGTCGCCGTCATTCAATGGAACATCAAGGTACGCAATGCCTCCTCCCCCACCCAAATTTCCAATCTTCTGCACAGCCAATCTAATAATTCCAGGACCTCGCCATCGACGAGAACCACCGAGAAGCATGCGCCTACATCCGTGATGCCGCATCCCAGGGTGCCGAACTTGCCGTTCTCCCAGAGTACTACACCCTCTTCCCCCCTCCTCAACCCTACACTCACTAACGAATCTCCAAAACATAGATACCACTTAACCGGCTGGGCCCCCTCCGACCCATCCTGGACTGCTCTCGCCTCTAAAACGACCCCCTACCTCGAAGCCTACCAGTCTCTTGCCCGCGAGCTCAGTATCTGCATTGTCCCCGGCACTATCGTCGAACACCATGGCCCCTCCCCGAACGAACAACAACAACCAGTCCTCTACAACACCGCCTACTTCATCTCCAACGACGGGAGTATCCTAGGCCACTACCGCAAGAAAAATATCTGGCACCCTGAACGTCCCTACCTTACCTCTTCCGGACATGATCCTCATGAAGTGTTCGATACGCCTATCGGAAAGGTGGGGTTGCTTATCTGCTGGGATCTGGCGTTTCCGGAGGCGTTCCGGGAATTGATCTGTAAGGGGGCGGAGATTGTGGTTATACCTACTTATTGTAAGATGCAGCTTTTGTTTTATTGTATTGAGCATATGCTAAATATACTACTTGTGAAAACAGGGAGCAAATACGACGCCTCTCCAGCTGCACTCCAACACAATCCCAATTCTGAAGCTCTCTTCCTTGAGACGACGCTCACGGCGCGATGCTTCGAGAATACCTGCGGAATTATCTTTGCCAATGTGGCGAGGGGAAAGCAAGACGAAAGTGATCGATTCTTGGGTCTTTCGAGGGTATGTCTGCCCATTGTGGGGACTGTGGGTGCCATGGGGGATGAGGAGGGCGTGATGGTGGTGGATATGGATATGGGGGTGGTGAAGATTGCAGAGGAAAATTACCGTGTCAGGGAGGATCTGGCAGGGGAAGGGTGGTATTATACGTATCGGCATCAGAGGTGATTCAAGTGAGTTATCATGACTGTACAATGCTATACAAAATCAATATATAGACAGAGATGAAACCAAGTTTATCTCTCAAGATACAGCGTCCTTTTTCCTTGCTTCCATTCTTGCTCCTCCTGGCGAAGTCATTTTTCTGGAGCTTTTCATTATCCCCCGTGACCCCTTCATTGATCTTCGCCTTGAGAGAATAATGCGCGGTGATCATCTCTCCTAGCAGTCAAGATCCATAGAAGCGTCTAAGATGATCACACAACCATCCTTGATGTCCGCTTCGTGGCACACTGAAGCCAAGCACAACAGCGGGAGGTTCTCGAAAGTAGCAGGATAGAAAAACACCATAGGTGGTAGCAGATAGAACCAGATGGTCCATTCTTCCTGATCCAGACGCCGCCACGTCTTTCTCACTTTCTTCCTTTCTTCTCTTCCATAGTTGCTGCCACTCATCGAATGTCTCGCGCTACTATCTAGCCTATACTTAGCAGTTAGCCGAGTCCAACTCTGTACTCTCACTAGAAATGAGAACGGGGTATAGTGAGTTGGGAGGGAGATGGCTGGCTTACCTGGTCTCCATCTCCAGTATAGTGGCAAGATAGTAGACCTAATAGGGAACATTCAGTCTCCCATTTTCTTTTCCCACCCCAGCCACATCAAAACGTGTGCGCTTCTTCGGTAACCCGATAATTGCACACCGGTTGCTAGAACTTCACGCCCCGGAGGAAGATCATCTTGATTTGGGATTTTTCTTCACTCGAGAGTGGGTTATATGCATGTAGAAGATGAAGTCGAAGAGAATATCAGAGAAGGATATTCTCGAGCCTGAATGGTGAGAGGAAAGATGCTGCATACTTGAAGATGTCGAATATGAAATAGAAGATGAAGTCCTTGACTTCCACGAGAGCAGAATCGAGGATTATATATATACCCATCCCACCCCGGTGGGTTTCCAGTGACCCTTCCATCATCTCATTCACATTTTATCTGTCCCATTCGTCACTCACAAGGCCATCATAGTGCATCGTATGCTAGAATAGTTCCAGAGCATATCGGTAACTAGTACGATGCTTGACTTGCTGATACTTCACCAACTGGGCATCACCAAGGTATATTATTTATAGCAGCTTTGCGACGGGTTCATCCTCTTATCATTTAGTCGGTAAAAATCCAATCACTTGATGGCTACCTTCTTGCTCAAGCAGGTGCCAGTGGCAATTCCCGGACATGTCTCTCTCCTATGCGGGGAATGCCCATGTAACAGTAATCTTATTCACCTCCCACTAGACATCACAAATGTACAGAAGATGAGTTGTATGATGGGTGAAGAATTAACAACGCTGATTGGTTGTTCAACAATGTAATTAGCTGTGAATAGTAATACTACTAGTATCCACTTGACACACTAATAGCTGATTTGGTATAGCGTCTCCAGTAATGATCTGTGGCGGGTTGTTATCAGGATCACATTAATCAAATTGTGTCAATGAGGTGAAAGGGGCGGGTTAGGTACTTGGATATTCATTACATTCTTTATCGATATTCACTTTATACATCATTCGGCGATACAATTCAAGGGGTCTTAATTTCAGTGACTACTCTATTGATTCATTGTACTAAAGCACCGCCGTACAGCACTACTATACATCATGGCACTGACTGCTAAGCTGCAACCGTCTGAATTCTAAAGGGGGAGAAGAAGAGAAAAAACCACAATCATCCACAATCATTAGGCGATACAAAGTCGTGAAAATCTTGGCCAAACCTGTCGTCCAGTCTTACCACATGCGGCCGTGGAACCCTGGCATCAGAAGAAAGTATAAACATAAGGCATAAACTCCTCCGAGACAGAACCCCCATAACACGGGCCCCAGCATGATATCACTGAACGGGAACGCAACCGGGTGTATAGATCAAAACTAACCATCCAACAACTCCGTCCCTTATTGAACCTGGCTGACGATCTCGCTGGCCCGGGAAAGGCTCTCCACCATCTGCTGGCACTCTTTCCGCCGGCGGACCGTGTAGTCGCTTTCCTTCAGCAGGTCGTCCAGCTCGCTGTTGCGGTACATGTTCTCGAGGAGCTCGCGCTGCATCTCGTCCTTGGTGAACCTGAAACAGGGTTAGTGGTGGATATGTGGGCAAGGCGTAGGATACATACTGGACGAGAGTGTACATGATGGCCTTGGGCACCATGTCAATCATAGTCCGCTTCACAATGTTGAAGTAAGAGGTAATCAGGAGCTCTGTTGATTCGTTAGTATCCAACCTCTCCATCAAGCAGTTCCGCTGCACTTACTGACGACCTCAACCTCCACGCTCTCCCGCTCCGACAAAGAGGCAGACGCCTTCAGGGTCGGCGGTGGCGGCTCCATGGCAGCCATCTTCTTCTTGTTCTTCGAAGCCCAGAAGCTGCCGAAGAATCCACCGGAGTTGTTGTTGTCCACAGGAACCTCAACCGACGGGCTGTTCGCTCGCGGGGGCAGAGGCTTGCCAGTCTTAGGGTCCACTTGAGTAGGCTTGCCTGCGGTTTGACGCTCATTGACGATAGTCATAGCCTATTCAATCAGTACACTGTAGGTATCGTAGAATGTCAGTGGCACTTACGCGGTGTCCGTTCAGGAAATCAGGGTGACCCGTGTTGATGTAGCATGCCTCCATATTGACCAAGTCGCGCACAAGCTTGTTGGTCGGCTCCATGGACTTCTTGAAGAAGCCAATAACGACCGCGTGGAACTTCTCCTTCAGCATAGGGTACCGCCGGAACAGCGACTTGTTCAGGAGCTGACCCAGGATGCGGACCAGTTCGTCGTAGACCAGCGAGATACACTTCAAGCTGGGGTCCTCCAAGCGCTTGATTTGCTGCTTCACGATGAGTTCGAAAGCAGTGGTGCCCACAAACAGTGCTGGTGAGGGACCAGAGGAGTTGTAGAGGATGGTGCGAATATCAATGTCCTTCACATGGTCGAATGGGTCGACGGCCTTAATACCATTGGAGTAGAGCTCATGGAAGACGAAGCTGATACGAGCACCACCGGACAGCTCGATACTGGACAGCTCCTGGTTGCTTCCCTCCAACACCGTGCGGTACTCGTTGCTGAACTCCGTGATGATGTTGAGGACGATATTGGCACTGTTTCCGAGCATCGAGTCACCGAGCTGTGACAGTTCCGAGGAATACTTCTGAAGGGAGGACGAAATGCGCGCTTTAATATCGGGAAGGGTTTGCTTAATGTGCATCATAAGGATCTACCAACGTCAGTTCGAGTTCTCAGACCACATTGTCAAAGAAACGTACAAGGTTCAGTTTCCGGGCGAGATAAGGAGTTCCGCAGTACGAGGACTTGTTGCGATAAGCCTTGTGACCCTCGAAGAAGTTCTTCTCGTGCTCCAGGGCATATGCGATAGGCCGCTTGTTCTCAATATCACGCTGACCACGGTTGACGACCGGAACATAACCCAGACGCAGAGGGATAATCCTGCCCGCAAGAATATCCACAACATCGGTACCCTCGTCCATCAAATCGACCTTGGTCAACACACCGATCGTGCGTTGACCCTCCGGGTCGACCTCCCGCGCCAGTTTCAGACCATCCGAGTTTGCCAGATCCTGGTTGGCGGAAGTGACAGCCAAGATGATAGCGTTCGGCTTGCTGATGTACTTCAAAACCATGTCACGGATCTGACGCTCGATATCCTTGGGCTGATCTCCCACGGGGACCTTGGTCAGACCGGGCAAGTCGACGAGTGTGAGGGTCAAGACATTAGGCGAGTAGATTCGCAAGTTGATAGGAGCGGGCGAGATACCGGCATTGCGACCGACCTTGGACTCGGTTTCGCGCACAATCTCCTCGCGGATCTTGTTGAAATCGTAGAACTTTTGGCCGGGGATGTGAAGAAACTCGCCGTACTCGTCTATGTTGGCCTCCTTATCCGTCGTCTCCAGGGCCTCCTCCTTCACACCGTTTGTTTGCGAACCAGCGGGCCTGTTGATAAGTTGCAGTACGAGGGGTCTCCGAGTGACAATTCCAGAACCACGAGGCAGGCTAGGCAACGACAAGAACGCCGGTTAGACTGCTGCGACCAGACAAGGAACGAAGGGAGCATGTAGACCACTTACAAATCCCGGCCAACAATGTTCTCTAGGACGGAACTCTTTCCACTTGACTGCGAACCGACGACGGCAATCTGGGGCAGATCGATGGGGTTCTGAACCTAAACGGAACAGGCGGTGTCAGTTCGGCGGAGGGGCTGCGATGCAGGAGAGCTCCACGGGAGGGGATGACTTACTCCAACCGTCGCAAAGACATCCTGCAGCTTGTTCACCAGCGAGATCAAGCTGGGGTCGTTGACATTTATCCTGCGGGCACGATGAGGTCAGTCAGGCGAATCGGAGGTACAAGCATGAGGGACCAGGGGGTTGCGCACGAGAAGCCAGTAGTCGGGCTTGCCATGGCTGGCAACGAGGAATAGGGGATGGACGCTCCAAATTAATAAAAGCAGTAAATATAAGAGAAAGAAAGCAACAGTCTAGACAATGTCCGGGGAGCGATTGTCCGTTCAAGGGGGGGGGGGATGTAGACCAGAATGCGTGGAGGATGTTTGGGGGGGGTGGATTGAAAGGGAAGAGAGCGAGCGAAGGCGGGAAGGGCCAAGTGGAGAGTTTCGCTTCGGTCCAGATCAGAGCAATCGATAGCAGCGATACGGCGGCCTGCACTGCCTGTCTGCCTGCCAAACGATCAGTAGTAGACGTCTACCCACCGAACCGGGACCCTGACAGTGGCAAATGGAAGTGCGACAAACGGGCTTCCCGACTGTGGATGGAGGTACCCGATGGACCACACATTGGGAATCCCTACAGTGAGAGCGAATTGGCAAGGCCGCGTCATGTGGATTTGGCCACCCGAAAGCGGCCAGACAATGACTACTTCCAGCAAATGACTGAATGATGCTGCCTGACTGACTCACGCACAACACGACTCCTAACTACTTGATTCTTGCTTTCGATATAGTGGAAGCTTCTCGAAACTGAATTCTTCTTCAAGGCAACGGCAATAACTACATATACTTGGGAATTTGCTATGCTACAAGCTCGGGAAAATAAAATAGACAGCACGCCTCCCCGGGCTACCCCGGTGAATATGTCCTCCTCTACTCATCCGACACCGAAGCAAACCGCTCCGACATTTGCTGGAGGATCTTCTCGTACTGCAAACAGAGTTAGAACACAGAATAGCTAAGAGCGGTGGCATCTGGCTTACCTTCTCGGAAACTTCCGCTTCGTTGCTCGGCACCTCGAACTTCATACCCCGGAGCGCGCTCTGAATGTCGGTAGTGGCGTCGCGAACCTTGGACCAGTTCTGGCCCTGGGCAACAGCCTTCTGGGCTTCATCGTGGTAGCCCATGAACGCCTTCATCATGTACTCGGTCTTCCACAGCGGGCAGAACTGATCGTAGTCACTGTAACCGTTCTGCTGCAGGAAGTCATCCTTGACCATGGCCGCCACATCCAGAGTAATCTTGTCAGAGTCACCCAGAGCTGCCTTACCAACCAGCTGCACGACCTGGTCCAGATCCTCCGACTTGGTCAGAAGCTCTCTGACCTGGTCACGCAGGCGAGGGAACTCGGGATGATGCTTCTCGTAGTACCGGTCCAGAACCGTCGTGTACTTGCTGTAAGAGATCGATGTGTTGATCGACGGGAAATGTTTACGTTGAGCCAACTTCTTGTCCAGACCCCAGAACACCTGGACGATACCCAGGGTACTACTGGTGACGGGATCAGAGAAGTCACCACCCGGAGGGCTGACGGCAGCTACAATACTGACACTACCAATTCTCTCGGGGCTACCCAAGGCGTTACTCTTACCGGCACGCTCGTAGAAGGAAGCCAGCTTGGCACCCAGGTAGGCAGGGAAACCCTGATCAGCCGGCATCTCTCCCAGACGACCGGAAATTTCACGAAGAGCCTCAGCCCAGCGGGAACTGGAGTCCGCCATCATAGCCACGTTCTTGCCCTGGTCACGGAAGTATTCGGCGATCGTGATACCGGTGTAGATGGACGCCTCACGGGCGGCGACAGGCATGTTGGAGGTGTTGGCGATCAAGCAGGTACGCTTCATGATGGGTTCTTTGCGGCCATCGACGTCGATAGAAAGCTATTAATATTGCGTTCGCTCGTTAGTCATGAAGATTTACTGTAGGACGGGGCACTAACTTCGGGGAAATCCATCAACACTTCAGCCATCTCGTTACCACGCTCACCACAACCGACGTAGACAATGATATCACTGTTGGAGAATTTGGAGACACTCTGCGAAATGACAGTCTTTCCACATCCGAAGGCACCGGGGATACAGACAGTACCACCCTGGACACTGGGGAAGAGAGAGTCCAGCACACGTTGACCGACGATGAAAGGAGCGTCCGACGAGAGCTTCTCGTTGACCGGTCTGGGCACACGGACAGGCCAGGTGTGCATCATACTGTGTTCCGTCTTCACTCCATTGAACTCGATTTCCAGCAGCTTCTCCTCAACAGTGTAGCTTCCAGCTTCGGCTATGCGGGTGATGGTACCCCTCGCGCGGGGAGGGAGGATGATCTTGTGGTCGTTCACCAAGCTGTTCTCGAAAACGGTACCCCAGATGTCACCACCGGTGATGTGATCGCCGACCTTGTACTTGCCGGGCGTGAAGTCCCACTTCTTCTCACGGTCCAAGGCGTTGACCGCAATACCACGTGGGATGTAGATACCCTTGGACTGGTCGGAAATCGCCTTCAGGGGCCGCTGAATACCATCGTAGATCGTTTCCATCAAACCGGGGCCCAGCTCGACCGAAAGGGGCTTTCCTGTCCGTGTAACGGGGTCGCCGACCGTCAAACCAGCTAAAGAGAGTTGCAGTTAGACGAGGGTGTTGTGGAAAGACAGGACGAGTTGGTGGGTGTACCTGTCTCCTCGTATACCTGAATAGTGGCCTTATCGCCATCGATCCGAATAACTTCTCCGACCAGCTGGTCATGACCAACACGGCACTACAGTCGATGCCCGGAGTTAGCGATCGGTATTTGCAGATGCGTAAACCTAGAAGCGCAGTATATATCGACGAAGAAACACATGGAAGCATACCAGCTCGTACATGGCACAGCCGATCATATGCTCGGCCACGACGACGGGACCGGAGACGGAGAAGACGGAACCATGCTGGCTCTCGCCAGCATCAGCGGAGGGGGCCATGGTGCGTGAAGCAGGGAGGTGAATGACAGGAGTGGACAGCGCGGGGGAGGGGGAGGGATGGATGGGGGAAGGAGGAGAAGAGGAGGAGAAGGAGCTGTCGCTGCAGGATGATGAAGTGGGCGACACGGGGAGCGGTGGCAGTTGCGGGCTGTCTAGTCCAGGCGGTGATGACGACCTCGAACCGACTGGCTGTTCGTCTCCTTCGTGATGTGCAATTAAATCAAGCAGCGAGGGGCGTGCTTTGAGTCGTCGCACGCCTAATCCTAGCATTCGCTCAGAGAATCATAATATTAATACAATATCTAGAAGATTGACAATCTGGAAGCATCAACTAGTGGCCCCTGATGGGCGATTGCCCGTGTGGTCCTTGCGGTGTTGCCTGTGTTTACTCAGCCCGCCTTATCGAAACGGTGCCGCCTGCTTTTTGGTCTCTCCACATTTAATGTTGAGCAACCGGCATCATCATCATCATATCCACCTCTCTACTAAGTTTGGTGGGAAGCCCATTGTAACAGTTTTTGGAGACATTTCAGTGGTTGTAGGACTTTGTTGAACCAACAAGAGGATGCTTCCCACCCAGAATAGCTTCTGACAATGGGGATCATCAAACCCATCCCTAAAACGCTACACCAAACGCCCAAGTTGCCCATCCCAAGGCCTTGCTACGCTCTGGAAGTGAGCTCCCCGTATGATCATGCTCCTTTATCAATGTTCAACTACTCCGCATACTGCCCCTCGCGAATTCCAAGCCTCTTACGTTGTCTGCTTGCCTGACGGGCCCTTGACAGGTTTCCGTATTGATCCCATGGAAACTTCGCCCTATGGACCAGCTCATTCGCCCGGGAACCATTTCATCAAAAGACCGAAGATTTCGTCGTCTGGTCAAGGAACCCCCTGATACAAGTAGAAGACAAGTGACGTGATGGCCACTCCGCCAGATGTAGATAAAAGATTCAAAGGCACGCATGCTCAACCATCCAACTTTTCTTGGGGCCCATTTGTTGGCCCTTTTATGAAGGTACATGTATAAATATCATCAGAAATGGACTCATCAAAAATTTACAGCTATTGGGACCATACTTTTGCATGGACGCCCCTTCACCAGACGAGGGAACAGTTACGATCGAAGAGGCTCACCTATGACAGGCTTGGGGATGAATGTATCAAACAGCTCAATGCTATCGGCCGTCATTTAGTTACACAAGACAGGGTAAACGATCCAGACAGGAAGTTACCGGACCCGGACGTGTACATCCTGCTGAAGGAACACGCAAGAGATGATCCGAAGCTTGGTGAACTCTGGGCACAAGTCAACACAGTGCCGGATTGGGTCGATTGGCAGCAAATTAAACGGGGACAAGAGGTGTTCTTCCGTTACGGTCTTCCCATTCTGAACGTGGTAAGTCCAGCAAACAAGAACTCCAGGTATGAGCACTGAGAAATGCCAGCTGAACTTCGAAAGCCTCTTGGGCGGCATGTTAGTCTCTCTGCAAAAGGTCCTCCCCCAGCTTCAGCTTATTCCTACTTAGGGGCTCACCAAGTGTCGTTACGGCCTTGGCCAGATGTGGAGGCTTCAACAATATATACGTTGTGCGGAAGCGACTATTGGAGACCCTACAGTTTATCCTCCAGATCTCTGAATCTGTTGACGCAATGAAGCCAGGTGGGGTTGGTAATATCTCATCCATCCGCGTTCGGCTGCTGCATGCATATCTTCGTACCTTAATTTGTACTCGGGAAAGATATGACACTGGGAGATACGGAGTCCCTATAAACGACCTTGACAGTGCTGCAACGATTAGCAGTTTCTCATCCGTCATCATCTGGCTCGGCCTCCCCCGGCAAGGTATCTGGCTCCGCAAGCAGGAGATAGACGATTACTTAGCTCTCTGGAGACTGGTAGCCTACTACTTGGGAGTTCCAGACGAGCCTTTTGCTAGCCAGCAAACCGCGCGAGCGCTGATGGAGTCTCTCCTTGTATCGGAACTAGATCCTACCAACACTGGTAGATTCCTAGCTCGTAACATACTCAACGGCTTGGAGAACAGAGCCCCAGCGCATGCTTCAATGGGGTTTATGGAGGCTATGGTTCGACAACTAAATGGGAAACAACTCTCTGACGGCCTTCATATTCCTCAGCCCAAACTGTACTATCGGGTTCTGATATACGGGTACTGCTTCTTTGTCATGGCTTTAGCGTATGGCACCCGGTGGTTTCCGAAGCTCGATCAAAGGTTTATCGCGGTACGTCTGTATTCTCGTGGTGTGATCCTTAGCGCCTTGTGCACTGACTTAGACCAGTATCGTCGTCGATACTATTACACCATGATAACCGACCGAGAGAAAGGGCTTGGGGGCGAGTCATTTTTTGACTTCGTATACAAGCCATCTTATGCAGGGCCGCTCTATAAAGCAGTGACGGTCAAGGAGGAAGAAACAATCCCGAAAACATCGCGACGCGGCATTGAAGCACTAGCCCGGCTGGGTCTTGTGGCTGCATTTATTACTGCTGTGACTCTGCTCAGTGGGAGTATTTATGTGTTTCGTATGGTCATGCGAGTATTCTTTTCACAAATATGAAATCAATAGGATTAGGATGTGTACAGTATCCCTGTGCGTTGTATATGTATAGACCCGACCCGTTATCGTACCTCATCGCCCCACTATGACGTTATTGACCCCAGAGAACTGAAAGACCTCGGGCAACATCAGTTGCACACTTACTACCAGTTACATCGAAACACAGCATACTAAGTGATGCAGTGTTCCTTACGCAGCAAGGTAAAGGTATGTGAAACACCAAAGTACTCCTACCCCTTACTATCACCGCTACAACATACCCGACACTACAATATGCACTAGTTCTACCCCCAGCGCAAGAACAACTCGGTTCATATATGTTCAGTTCATTTCAATTCATAATAGCATCCACAACATTATCACCTATACCTCCATCCTCAAATAACTTCACTCGGGAAGTCGGTAAAAAGGTAGGCATCGAAAATCAATTTACTTCTATACACACATACCACCGTTAGCATTCCACCCCACAAAATACAAACAAATGATAGGAATAACCACATACCCCACACTCCTTGCAAGTGCAAGACTGTCCACAAGTGCAGGAACTCGGTCCGCTGCAACCGCAAGTGTTTCCGGATCCGCAACCACAGCCCATATTGAAGATTAGGTTTGGATAAAGTAGGAGGAGAGGGACAAAAGTGTAGCTAGTGATTGGTAGTCTTGGATGGTGCAATATCTTTGTCTTCTGAATGGTTGAATAAGACGAGATGAGAACCTTGGGGGTGAGCAGTCCCAGCTATATATAGCTTTGCTCTGGATGGCGGGGGAGGAGGGGAAGTCCTCGGATGAGCGATAAAGTCATCATGAGGTCAGGTGCAGGGGAGCGGAGCGGATCGGGTCGGTTATGTCATTATGAGATTGGGGGACTGGACTGTTAGTCATTGGATGATGGAGACTATTGGTATTATTTATCGGATAAGATTTGCAGGTTTACTAAGTATCTGTGAGGTTTAAGAGGTTTGAGGGGGTGTAGATGGATCTTTGGATACTATACTTTGATATTTGGTGGGTTGTGTTGAGTAAGTAGTAGTAGTATATGTACAATATGTGGAATTGGGCAAGAGAATCCACTAAATTGGATGCTTCCACTAGAGACTTACGATAGATGTATATCCAGGATAAAGCAGTGCACTTACTGCTTGTCTGTCTCCGTCTGTCCCTCTGCGTGACATCCTGTTTCGATGGTTATTGTGGCTGGTCTAGACTGTTGCTGGTTTCGGTTGCTTGTCTGACTGTCACGGATTCTGTTCCCGGTCCATTGCAGTGAAGCTAAGGGTCTAAGCTTATTCATGTCTCTACTTACTGTGGAGGTTAAAGTGATTTTGCAGGGCTTCCAATCTGGCGCCTTTAATTCCTTTGTTGTTAGCCTACGGTATCCCGACGTTTCAGTTGCTATATAATGGGAGATCTACCAATTGTCCGACATCCTCATCTTTACTGCACGACTCCACTGTCTGGTCCCCACTAGACCAAGCGCTCCTGTCTGGATACTCTGAGTTCAGATAGTGTGAACCGATCCTAGGGATTCATTTGCTCTGCAGAATATGGGCCCCTAAATAACAAGAAGAACTTTGAACGATGTAAACCCTGGCCCGCGAATTCGACGCCGGCCCACAAATTCATACTTTCTTCGGAGTAAATCATAGAAACCCAAACTCCTGGCTAGATCCATCCACTGTTCGTAGACGCCATGTATGGTGAATAATGAACTATAATCCTCTAACATAGGGATAAGTGAAGGCTGGGTTAACCGCCATGAACATGCGATAATCAGTTACTAGTGCGGAAATTAAGCGCCACATGGAAACACTCAGCGTTGGGCGGGCTTCAGCAGCAGGCAGGATGCGGCAAGATTACCCCTGAATTCCTTGTAAGTCATGTCTTTCGGCTAGAATACATACGTACGAGACCCGAAGATGCATTAATACTTGACTGAAGCCGACACTTCTTGGAAAGCAGCGGTGAAGAACGCCGGGCACCTGTAGTGAGCCTAGCGAAGTATGGCATCTGGCACCGTTTCAGGTACTAGTAGCATCCACCAATCTGAGTGACCCCCGAGAGCTTAAGGAAGCTCCTTCTGCCCAAGCTTGGTTAGTTCAGAGAGACATGAAGACAAATGTACCAAGAGATGCTCATGCAACTGCGGGGGAACCTGGCCCACAATCAAATAAATCATGTATTTGGCTGCTAGATCCCCCTACCCTAAGCTTCCTATCCCGGGTGACTGCAGGCTTTAATTGTAGGTTCTGAAAATGCAGTGCTAGAATTACGTCTGGAACATGTCGCACGGCCCTAGAGGCATTTATCTGGAACACGATGATGTGCAAGGGAATAGCATCCGATGGAGTCTAATGAGGTCTGGGGCCTCCACATCCGCCAACAGCGTCTAATCGACATACCCACTTGAGTCTTTGCCAGTGGTACCAAATGGCATGCCTCCACAGTGGGTTGCTTACTTAGTTGGGGTTGGGTACATGTCTTAGTAGGCTGTGGCGTTATTGGGCTGCATGGCATACCGTGCTGTTTGCGAAGTCCGTGCCTCTATGGGGAGATGATCCGAGTATGGGAGGAGATAAGGAGGTCTTAAGGGAAGAGAATTATAAGGCCCCTAAGCTTGGAGCGTCCCTGACACTGACATGGGAACAGCTCATTTGATGTGTTCCGAGAGGAATGTGCAGGTGATATAGACTAGATTAGGTGGCAGTGATGATCTGGGATCCAGTCCCGCCAACCGTTGGGCCATGCCCCTTGGATAACCGCTGCTCAGTGCTGATAATCGGTGATGGTGTCATATCGGAATCCCCCCTTGTCAGCTGCTCTGGAACCGATGGGGGAAGAACTCCCGTTCAGGTGATGTGCTTGTATCAGATCAACCGGGTTTGGGGGGGCACCCCATCTGTTCTACGATGTGCACTCGAAGGCTTAGAGAGTCCAGGGGGAGGAAAGATCATCGCGGGAGGAGACAAGAAAAAGAAATATAAAAACTTAAGAAGCGAGAAAAAGGAACAGACAGAAAGAGAACACAATCACAGCTGGAAAAGAACCCAAAGAGGATGAGTGCAGGAAAGCCACGGTTTTCTTCTTTTCTGATAACCTTTGGTCAGTATCGTCATACGGTATTGTATCATCGTCATCACTAATCGTCAGGGTCAATAATCGCCTCGACTCATCATCAATGTAGGTAGACGCCTGTAAAGACTGTAATTATCCCTGTTCTGTACTGCAGACTATCGCGCTATTTAGACAAGGATCCAAAGGACACAGTAGAATCACCGATCGACACAGTAGGGCTCGGGCAGGGCGTGGTTGGAAGGGCGAAACTGGCGCAGTAGGAATCGATGGGGGGAGAGGATTGGATTGTCGGGACTGCTTGCTTGGCCCCACGGCCACAGGAAGAGTAAGACCAGCCGCCGATGTTGCTTCGACCTCAACTGAACTTCCGTTCCTCCAGCTTCTTGCTATCTACCATCTACTCTTTCCCCCCGCCTGAATTACCGGCCATACGCCCTCGGTTGATTCCGTTACTTCAAGTTCCCCTTCGACGCTACTTCGCTCATTTCCATCTGCTCTTGAACACGGTTTGTACCGCTTATCCTACTCCTTGTCGTTTATCCCCGACACTCGGTCGTCTTTCCCCGGATCTGATCCTAGTCCGATAAGACCTCCGCCCGTCGACTGCACGAACTATTTAATCCCTCCATTTCACAGTGCATGAGCTGACCAAGGTCTGATACCTCAGAACCTCCACCGATATCCTTTCACCCCAAGCCCAGCACATTGATCGACCACCCAGTTGCTCAACGAGCTCCACCCCCCGTGAAACGAGCCTCGGCGAGTATCAGTGACCCGCCGCTGATATAGGTCTGCTCTCCTGGTTCTCCTACAGAGCCAGGCGGAAGGGCAGATCTGAACGTTTTCGAACTGGCAGACAATCATCCCTTCTATATACCCTCCTCCGCCGCTCCCGACCACCCTGACCCTCCTATCCCCCGCCAATCTACATCGTCCCGTCCACTCACTTCCGCTCCGGGCGGCCCTTCCCCGTTTTTCCTCCAAAGACCAACAGCCAACTACAAATACGGTACAGCGGGCTCTCTCGGAAACCCGTATTCATCCTCTTCTCGTCGACGGCGCCGTAGTAGTACACCGGATACGCCTGAACACACCCTCGAGGGAACAGGAGGTTTCGTGGAGGATCGCACGGCAAGCGAGGCCAGGTCTCGAACATCCAGCAGTATTCAGTCACGCGTCCCATCAGAGGGCCCCGAACCGTACCCCAAGCGCAGGCGCCTGGCAAATATGCGCCCGGATGGCATTTCCAGTACGAACGGCTCCTCCCACACGTTAAATGGCTCAAATGCATCCCCGTCCCAGAAGACAGCTTTCGCCCACTCTCTGAACGGCCAAACGAGTTTCACAGCCTCCAACGGAGATGTACGCACGAATGGATCTCAAAAGGCATCAGTCGGCCCTCCGTCATACTATGGTCATGACCGAGAAGAAGTTACCCGAATCTTGATTCAAGCCCTGTTTGACCTTGGCTATGATGGGGCCGCGACGCTTCTAAGCAAAGAGAGTGGATACCAATTGGAGAGCCCAGCGGTTGCTACGTTTAGGAATGCGGTGTTGGAGGGGCGTTGGACCGAGGCGGAACATATACTGGTGCAGTCATTCTATCCAGATCGAGGTGGTTGGAGAAGTAATACCGGCGACCAAGCGTCAAATAGGGAGAAGCTGGTTTTGGTGGAAGATGCTCAGAAGAACGAAATGCTTTTTTACCTGCGACAGCAAAAATTCCTCGAATTGTTGGAAGCCCGCGATTTGGCGGCGGCCCTAATAGTTCTGAGACATGAACTGACACCTCTAAATTATGACATAGGACGGTTACACGCCCTGTCCAGGTGAGCACACAATGCTGACAAGCTCTCAGCGGTCCCACGATGAGTGAAACTGACTTCAGTGCTAGTCTACTCATGTGTCCCCCAGAACACCTCCACGACCAGGCCGGCTGGGACGGTCCCATAAGCTCTTCTCGAGAACGTTTGTTATCGGAATTGTCTAGTGAGTTCCTGAACCCAGGACTCGGAGCTGTAACAGTGCACACCGCTAACAACGTCGCAGGGTCAATATCGCCCTCTGTTATGATTCCGGACAATCGTCTTGCTATTCTGCTGGATCACGTCAAGCAAACACAGATCAACCAGTGCTTATACCACAATTCTGCATCACCTCCTTCGTTATATTCAGATCACATGTGTGATCGGAAAGACTTTCCTTTGCGAACCGGGATTGAGTTGAACCAACATTCCGACGAGGTATGGTGGTGCCAGTTCTCGAACGACGGGACGAAACTGGTCACTGCCAGCAAAGATCAGACTGTAATCATTTACGAGACCAGCACCTTCTCTGTGATACAGAAGCTGTTAGGCCATGAGGATGGTGTTGCACAGTGTGCATGGAGCCCGGATGACTCGAAGATCATTACCTGTTCGCAGGACAAGACCGCCCGCGTATGGAGCGTTGAGGTACAGTGACCCCTTCTCAAGTTGGAGGACGGTGTTTGTGCTGACAGTTGGCAAAGACTGGTCGTTGCCTTCTGACCATCAACCACCACCGTCATCCTGTGACAGCTGCAGCGTGGGCTCCAGATGGAGAGTCTTTTGTAACAGCCGCTCTCGACGTGAGCTCGCAACTCTGCCATTGGGGCATGCGTGGACAGACCCTATACATGTGGCCCGAAGGCTTCCGCGTTCAGGATTGTGCTATCACGCCCGATGGCCGGAGACTTATCGCGGCAGACCTTGATCAAAAGGTCCACGTCTACAACCTTGCGACCCGCGATGAAGAATACTGCCTAGCCTTGAAAAGCAAGCCAACCTCTGTTGCTGTTAGCAGGGATTCCCGCCACATGCTAATCAACTCTGCCGACGGACAAATACAGCTTGTTGACATCAACACAACAGACGTTGTTCGCCGATTCTCAGGGCAGAAACAAGGGCATTTCGTCATTCGCAGTGTCTTTGGTGGTGCGGCGGAGAACTTCATTGTTAGTGGAAGTGAAGGTGAGCATTATCTGAACACATACCCACCTTCTTTGGCTAACTGTACTAGATTCTCGTGTTTATATCTTTCACAAAGAAGCCGGCACACTTGTGGAGGCTTTAGAGGGGCATGTACGAGGATGTGTAAATTCCATGTCCTGGAATCCCCGAGACCCAGGAATGTTTGCTTCTGCTGGCGACGACTGCTTGGTTAGAATGTGAGCAACCGCCCATTCAAAACACTCCCTCCACCCAGATAGTCTTTTGACTGACGTATCTCCAGTTGGACACGTGAACGTGACATACGACCAAATGTTTCAGCGAGCAAGCACAGGGCAGTATCGACAAGTGGATTCACTCGCACCAGCGCTCTGCGTTCAACATCAAGCTTCAATTAGTGCTCCGGTTTTAGGAGTAGCAAACAGTCCCATATAGTTTTACATACTTGGAACCAGCTCCAGCTTTAAACATCTCTCGCATTCACTCCGTCCGCTTCCTCCCTCGTCCCTATCCCGAACCTCACTGCTCCCGTTTATTCACTCCACCCTGCATATACGCATTTTTTCTGGGCCATCATCAGTGATCCATTTAATACAGGTTGCAGGCGCCACTGCTTTTGGTACAGATCAATATATGCTTTGCATCAATTTTACTTTCCCTCATTCTTTCATCACCACCGGCGCCTGCCAGCAGTGCCGTAATGAGCCACTGCACCATGCCATGGCGTCCTTATTCATTATAACATATCGCACCCTTCCCAATATTCTACATACTATAAAGACTTCAACGTTTACGGTTAATGGTTTGTTATTATCGTTAGTGTCCATGGACCCTGTGGGTTGGTGAATCAGGCAAGGTTTTCAGGGTTTCTTCAGGAGTGTGAGTGTGCTTTGGTTCGTCTCCGCTTTGTTTTAGTGCGTGAAATGAATTGTGGATCGGAGTCCTCTTTGCCGTTGTTCTCTTTCTTCTCCCCAAGAGGCGTTCGAGTTCATGTTTGCTTCTTGCTACCGCTACTTCGCTTGATCTGTGGCTGCTTGCTTGCTTTCTTTCTCCTTTTCCTGTGTCACTGAGGTTGGAAAGTTGGCTGGTAGTGGTAGTAGAGTATGCATCAAATAATCGAATATTCGCTTGGGTACTACCGAATGATTGATCTACTCGTGTGTGGGTGGGTAGGAAGGGAAGAGGGAGTGTAGACTAAACGGGCAGCTGGTAGTGGATAATGCTTGCTAGTGTGGAATAAAGTGGATGATCCAATGTACTTTTAGTGGATGAAAGGATGGCCAGTCAGACTAGTATAGACAGACCACACAGAACTCTTGAATGTTGATAATTCCACTCGATCGTAACAATAATAGTAACTCCAAACATGGCATATAAACCCCGGAACAAATCAAACGCCAGAAGAAATATTCGAAAGTAAATAAAGTAAGAAGTGGAATGACAATCGATGATATATCCTGACTGGACCAACGCCACTTAATTGATTGGCGTTAGCGCCGTAGACAAATCACCTACTCGGACAACACTGGAAGGGCGTCAGATCCGGGGTTGTAAACTGTAGTATTGTGACGAGTGAACTAACCAATTTGATAATTTTCCCATTTCCTCCACGCGATTTTCCGCCCCTTCATAGTGCACCAATATGGTGTTTTGGCCCTTTCGTTCACCTTGTTCATTTGTATAGGCAGGGAGCGAGGTAATGAGACTGTTAGGATGCGCGAGTCTGATGCCATCAGATGATGTAGGCGACCTCTTTTTGGATATATTGGTCGATACGCTAGGTATAAAACAGATTGCTTATGACAGAAGATCGGCAACTGGAAAAATGGGTTAGTTATATCCGGTCTTGGTGATATAGATGGTGTCAACATACCATTCATGGGCATCTCATCAATCTGAGTGGAGTAGTAGAGTTCAATGTCGCGGAGGATGCGCACGTCATCGCTGGTGACGAAGTTGATGGCAACACCCTTGCGACCGAAACGACCACTACGACCGATACGGTGGATGTAGTTTTCACGGTTAGTGGGCAGATCGTAGTTGATGACGAGGGACACCTGCTGCACATCGATACCACGAGCCCAGACATCAGTGGAGATAAGCACACGGGAATTACCCTGGCGGAAATCCTGCATAATGCTGTCACGCTCCTTCTGGGGCATTTCACCGTGCATACTGGACACAGTAAAGTTGGCTTCGCGCATCTTGTCGGTAAGCCAGTCGACCTTGCGACGGGTGTTGCAGAAGATGACCGCCTGGGTGATAGTCAAGGTATCGTAAAGGTCGCAAAGGGTATCGAACTTCCACTCTTCCTTCTCCACCGCGATGAAGTACTGCTTGATGCCTTCGAGGGTCAACTCGTCACGCTTGACCAGGACACGCACGGGGTCTGTCATGAACTTGGTGGTCATGTCAAGCACATCATAGGGGAGAGTAGCGGAAACGACAACGACTTGCGTGGCAGGAGGAAGGTAGCGGTAGACATCGTAAATCTGTTCACGGAATCCACGGTTGAGTAGTTCATCGGCTTCATCAAGAACCAGCATCTTGATGTGACGGGTGCGCAGATGACGTCTGCGAATCATATCGGCGACTCTGCCCGGTGTGCCCGAAACGACATGCTGGCCGTAGTCAAGCTTCCTAATATCCTCTCCAATATTTGTGCCTCCAATACAAGCATGGCACTGAACGTTCATGTAATCACCGAGGGCCATAATAACGGACTGAATCTGGGTGGCAAGTTCACGAGTGGGGGAAAGGACGAGGGCTATCAGATGTGAGATTACCACCAACAAAATGCAATTGAGCGCATATTACATACCCTGAGATTCGCGGACGACGGTATCGATGACCTGGAGGATACTAATCGAGAATGTAGCGGTCTTACCAGTACCGGATTGCGCCTGAGCAATGGTATCGCGACCTTTGCAGATCTGGACAATGGCACGGGACTGGACTGCAGACGGAGATTCGTAGCCATAAGCGTAGATACCACGGAGAAGGCTCTCCTTCAAGTGCATGTCCTCGAAGGTAGGAGCAACAGTGACCTCCTTCGAGGTATTGAACTCCATGCGGTCTAGTTTTGCGCAGTCAGTATACCGACCTGAATAACTGTTGGGGACTTTTGGAGGTCCTACCATCAGCGCGTCTGTCAATTCCGTCCGCCATGTTGAGTACACCAGGTCTGTAAATCGAAGTAAAAGGGTGAAAGAAAAGAGAATCAAGTCAGTGGAGGAGGGGAGCTGGCCTGGTGGAGTAGCAGAAGAATCGCCCAGCTTCTGCGGCGCGACTTTTCGTTGCGACCGAGGTCTCACCGCCCGCTTCACGTGACGATAGCTCGCCGCAAAGCTCTCTTGGATGGCGTCGAGATGCCCGCTTTCAACCCCGATCTCCAGAAGCGCTTTATCTGCGAAAGACAGGTAGAGCCTTGTGCGCGCAGCAAAGATGATTTTCGAGGAGCAACGGTTTATCCACGAGGACCTTGAGCGCCTAGAGCAGGCGATTGCCGACCGCGTTGCCGAAGAGCCTCGTAATGTAAGTAACTCTGCAGTCTCTATCTCGTCGCTCTCTGCTAACTCACTCCTTTACTTTCAGATTCGGGATCGCTTGGCTCGCGATCATGAAGTCGCACATTTCTTAAAGCGTATAGAAGACCAGTCCAAGAGGTTGCTCGACATCTACAAGGATGCAGACGGCGCGCGTGAGAAGGAAATCCAAACCATCTCAACCGGCGATCAATTCGAGGAGTTCTACAAGCAACTGGATGAGATCAAGGACTTCCATAAGCGCTACCCTAATGAGCCAGTGGAAAACCTTGAACGGGCTTATAAGCGTCGTCAGCCCGGAGAGGGTGAAGTAACGGGCATGGAGATCGACAATCTATTCACCGGTGAAGAGGGTTATGGACAGTTTCTGGACCTCACAACACTGCACGAAGACTACCTCAATTTGCCTGGGGTCAAACGGCTCTCATATGTGCAATACCTCGACATATTCGATGCGTTTACTCCTCCGCAACTTCCGATTAAGCGAAACAACAAACTTTCCGATCGGTATTTCAAGTATGTCGGCGAACTTGCAAACTACTTGGAAAGCTTCATCAAGAAAGTGAAGCCGTTACAAGATCTGGACAAACTTTTTGCTAGCTTTGATGAGGAGTTCGAGAAGCAATGGACGGCGAATCAGGTACCTGGTTGGACGGAGGAGGTTGCTGAAAATGGTAACCAAGGTCCGAAGACCGAGGGCTCCGGAGAAGGCATCTGGTGTGCTGACTGCGAGAGGGAATTCAAGAATGAGAATGTCTATAAGAATCACTTGACAGGCAAAAAGCACATCCGGGCCGCTGAAGCTCGCAAAGCTGCCGGGGATACTGGCGCGAAACCGGCAGCCCCTGCGACGAACGGCGCATCATCCGTGGCTCATCGTCTTAAGGAACGTGCAGTCGCAGAGAGGGAACATCGGGTGCGTTCTCTGACGCAGGTACTGCAGCCCGAGCGTGTAGCGACGAGGATGAACGTGGAGCGGAGACAGGGTATGACTGAACGGGAGCGCCAAATGGAACTTGAAGCTCTGCTTAATGAGTCTGAGAACCCTGGCGGTGATCGTGCTGGCGATCAATCTGACGAGGACGACGAAGACCGAATCTACAATCCCCTCAAACTGCCACTTGCTTGGGACGGCAAGCCAATTCCCTACTGGCTTTACAAGCTGCATGGCCTGGGGGTAGAGTATCCTTGCGAGATCTGCGGTAACTTTGTGTATATGGGCCGTCGAGCTTTTGACAAGCATTTCTCAGAGGCCCTACATATCTTTGGTTTGAAGTGTCTTGGTATCACTTCTAATACCAACCTTTTCCGTGAAATCACTCGGATTGAGGATGCAATCAGGCTTTGGGAGAAATTAGAGCAGGACCGCAAGAAGGATAGAGATAATCGCGACAATGTGGTACAGATGGAGGACGCCGAAGGCAATGTGATGCCGGAGAGGATCTACCTTGAGTACGTGCCCCCAACAGTTCCGCGGCCTAATGGAACCTTTACTAATGTTTACCAGTCTGCAAAAGCAAGGTATACTGTAATCGGCGACCCCCGATCAGCCTTTCTTCATGTTCTTTGCATTGCCTTTCGCTATATTTCTTATTTGAAAAGCCTGGAGTTTGGTGGGTGTCTTTTCTCGAATTTCCTTACTGCTGCGTGGTCACTGGGATAGTGTTGGTTGGGAACGGCTATATCAAAGCAAAGTCAACCTTAGACAGCTTTGCTTTTCATGTATTCTACACCACAAGAATATTTCGATATCATCTTCGGGAGCAATTCAAAGCCAAAAGTATCAATTTGATCTCAACTTTGGCTCGTATCACGTGGTTTCGCGTCCCGTTCGCGTAGCTTCCATCCCAATTTTGTTCCCCGCGTCTTCCCTCATCTTCACTTCCTTCTTTGTTGTCATCTCTGGATTGTGCATTCCTGAGTACTAGTAGCCTCATGGCATAGGCTGTGCTTCGCTTAGCTGTCATGTTTCAGGCAGTTACTGGGCTGTTTTGGATGCCTGCCACCGATACTGACACTTGAGTCGCGCCCGTCGCGGCTACTACCACTATATGGGGTTCAAATTTGCTCGCTTGTGCGACTTACTATCAGCCCTCGAAGATAACAGGATCCTGAAAGCTGCCCATGAGGCCAAAGTTGTGAATCCTGACATTCGGGCCGTATCACGATGGTTCGCCCAAAATGACAAGCAAATTCACGACAAAGATACCGACCAGTTGGCCCTCCTTTCCTGCATATTTCCTGAGAAACGAACAGATCGTGTCTACTGGCTACAGGATACATCCCTGGCCAAGATTATAGCACGGTGTCTGCTCCTGGGCTGTTCACGGCGGCAGGAGCTGGAGCGTTGGCGTGTCTCCGGGGGCGTAGACCTGGGACAATGCGTGGAGAATGTCATGCGGCAGGCTGAAAACCATGTCACCAACGGCCAAGATGTCACTGTGGAGGAGATAGACAAAGCTCTAGCTGAAATCGCCTCTCGTTGCAAGTTTTCTGGCCCTCGGGTGCGAAGGCAGCGTACGGCAGTCAAGGTCGATCAGACGCTGTCCTCATTATATCGACGACTAAGTAGCAGAGATGCGAAATGGCTTACACGGATGATACTAAAAAGTTATTCTCCTGTTTCTCTACGACAAACATGATCTTGAAACGCTTCCATTTCCTTCTTCCACATCTGCTTCTCTTTCAGGACTCTTTCGAACACGCTTTAAGCGTGCTGGGTACTAGCCCAATAAGACACTTCCCGCCTCAACCAGAGCCTGCATTAGCCAAAGACCTGGGGTCCATCGCGCTAGGGCATCTCAGTCCTGCTGTGGGAGTCAAGATAGGACGACCCGAGTACTATAAGGCTAGGAGCATCAAGCATTGCTGTCGCATGGTCGGCAACCGTCGTATGAGTATCGAAAGGAAGTATGATGGTGAATATTGCCAGATACATATCGATCTCTCCAAGGACTCCAACTGGATTCAAATATTTTCTAAAAGCGGTAAAGATTCAACAGCAGACCGCGCCGGTATCCATCAAGTCATCAACGAGTCTTTGAACCTAAGACGGCCAGGTTGCAAGGTTTCCCGGCGATGCATTCTGGAGGGCGAACTGCTTGTTTGGAGTGATAAGCATGGCAAGATCGCAGATTTTCATAAGTTGCGTAAGTTCATATCGCGTTCAGGCACTTTCATTGGAACTGAAAGCGACTCCCCGTAAGTGGCACGGCATGTAGTTTCCAGCGCTGTCTTCTGACTCTGCAAATAGCCCACAACCTTATGAGCATCTGATGATAGTATTTTTTGACATCCTGCTCATCGATGACAATGTTTGTCTGAGGCTCCCACACCGGGAGCGGAGATTGCTTCTGAAAGACATTATAGAGCCAATCCCAGGACGTGCGGATATATCTGAGCAGTGGGTTGTTGACTTTTCCCATCATGGCGGTCAATCTCGACTAGAAAGTGTCTTCCACAAAGGCATCGATGAGCGATGGGAAGGATTTGTCCTAAAAGCATGTGAAGATCCTTACTTTACAATATTTTCTGATGACAAGGACAATCCCTCCTTCGGTCGCTGGATCAAGCTAAAGAAGGATTATATACCCGGACTGGGTGATACCGTCGACCTCGCAATCATCGGCGCGAGGTATAACTCTCGGGATGCTATGGCAATCAAGCAAGTCAAAAAGCTATTATGGACTGAATTCTTCATTGGATGCCTCGTCAATAAAGAGATGGTTGTTCAATGTGGAGCCATACCAAAATTTCGGGTGCTGGATGTTATCAACCACAAATGCATGCATGTCAGATTCATGCAGTTCTTAAACCAATACGGCGAATTCTGCGCGCGCAGTCCAGACTCCGAACACGGATTCAATATTGAATACGGAGAGAGTGTAGTCAGCCCTATGGACGTCGTCTTCAAAACACCCTTTGTCGTTGAGATGTTAGGCAGTGGCTTCGAAAAGCCGTCTGGCGCCAGATACTATACACTGCGTTTCCCTAGGATCTTGAAGGTCCTTTCTGACCGATCATTTGAGGACGCTGCGTCATATAGAGAGTTGCAGTTATTAGCAGAAACCGCTCGAACCGTCCTTGATGAGGATCCAGGGACTCACGAGTATGAAGCCGCCAAACGGATGAAGTTGCGAGATTGCACGGAGTGTACACCGGAGGGATCACAAAGTTTTCAGACAACACAGAGCCCTTGTCTCCAGTCTTCAACTACTGCAAAAGATGACTCAAGTAACGGAGCATTCGTGTCTCTCCCGAACAAAGCATCAAACGCCCCAGACGCGTTACCTGGCTCAACGAGGCAAACCAAACGACGTCGCGAGAGCTGCGCTATGCAACGTACCATTCCCATCCATGTGGATCTCAATAGAGACCCCTCCCCACCTGTAGGGCACAGTGTATGCGGCAATTACCTGACAGACAATGAAAATCTGTCTTCGCATGCAGCCGGACAGAGGAAGAACTCAACCCAACCAACCGATTCTTCTGATGCAGAGAAAGCCTCCCGCTCCTGTCGAATGCCTAGTCCATTAACTAGCCTAGACAAGCTGCAAAAGCACTCATTACCTGTTTATACACCGCTACACTGCCATATTGGATCAAACGTAAGCCAGGAAATTTGCAATCGCCATCGACTTGGTGATGAAGTCGTGACTGCCCACCTCGGCCAGAAACCAATCCGGCGCATTCTATCACCATTGCTCCACAGACTTATATACGTTCACCATGGCATATCATCCGATCACATGGCAGTGTCTCAATCCATACCAAATGCATTGAATATAGCACCCACCCTCAAAGAGTTTGTCTGCTCATTAACACGCCTAGAGTCACGAACCCACCCCAGGACATCCAACCCTCACGCAGTCTCGCACTACACAGCTTGCGGACTGGCCATGATACCTGGCAAGGAAGATGCGCTATGTACGGTTCTTCCCGATCTAATAAAAAGCATAGGAAATGCTTTCCAGTCTCACAAATCCAACAGCCACCACCATGGCGGAAAAGTCTTTATTCTCGATTCGAGCTTTCTCAAACTCAAGATCAGTAATTATGACACGGCAATTTTCCCCGGCCAGACATGGGAAGACATTAGCAAGGTGTTTTTCTATGCCTGCGTGAGCTGGACGTTCAACGGGACTACAGGTTGTGGCACGTTTGAGAAGTACCAAGTCGGAGAATGTGACGCGCTCTACACGAGGCCTAAGATCACGGTTAGCTTCGATAGACGTGAGTTGGGTCGGTTGGAGGAAATATTCCGCTCTGAGACACCGAACACTTATCCTATTTGAGATACACTGGCTTCCCTCTCTCTCTTGTCTGCGTCTGTATACAGCTTTATCACTAGCCATTAATAGATATACCAGTAACCACCTAAAGGAACATTTTATATGAAAACATTTCATAATGACTCTCTCCCAAACGCCTCGCTAGTAGTAGCCCCGAGGAAATGCAGGAAGGTCGTAAGAGACGGAGTACAAAATCCCCAACCTATGACAACAATAACAACGATCACTCATCCCCTTCTCTCCGCGCGCGAACATCCCTCATCAAAGCCTTCGCCTCTTCAACCTCAACCCCATCTTGACACAACTCACCAGCCAGCTGATCTGCACGCTCAAGGTCCCCATTACGCAGAGACCACCGCGCAAGCCACAACCTAGCCTTGGAAGTAGTAGCTGTGACGCCCGTTCCATGCCAAGTGTCATCCTCATCCTCATTCTGCTGAGTCGACGACTTGCGCATCCGTCTTGAGCTAGACTGCCCCTCCGTCCCAGATTGGTTGTCGTCGTCATCATTATCAGATGAGATGTCTTCATCTTCCTGGATCACTTGGCCTGACTCTTGCTGAAGCGTGAGTTCCATGTACGAGGCCGCTTCTTCGTCATCGCCAAGACGTTCGTACAGCGTGGCGATCTGGTGGAGGGTTTCGGGGTCGAGTATCTTCCGCTCTGGTCCTCCTCCTCCTACTTGGGAGGAGTCATCGGCGTAGTAGGAGCCAGCGACGAGGGCTCGTTTGAGCGCTTTGATGCTCTGTTCGATGCGGCCCATTTTGGCGTAGCAGGATCCTACGGCTTGCCACATTTTGGGGTCGTAGGGGCGTAGCGCTGCGGCTCGTTGGTAGTAGAATAGGGCGTAGAAGGACATGTCGAGTACTTCGTAGGCTTGGCCTAGACCGTACCAGGCGCGGTAGTCTTTGCGGTTGACGTCGACTGCCCGACGGTAGGATTCGATTGCGGCGTGGGTGTTTTTCATTTCGATGTATTCGTGGCCCATGAGGGTCCAGGCTGAGAGGAAGTTTCGGTCCAGGGTCAAGGCGCGGCGGAAATACATGACGGCTTTTTCGTGCTCGGATTTGAGCGAGTAGTAGTTTCCTACTACACAGCATGTTTCGGGGCGGAATTTGTCCGTTGCGGTCGCGATTTGGGCGACAAATGCGAGCTGCGGGCGCGCGCCCATCACGTATAGGATGTTGGAGTAGTGGTCGAGACTGTCGAGACGGTGGGGAGATGAAACGAGGATGTCTGTGAAGATACTGGAGGCTTCTTCAAAGTCTATAGGAAAGGTTAGCTTGTCTATGCAATGTGTGTTTGTAGTGCAGCCGTACCTTTTGAGTGGTAGTATAACAATGCTCTTTGGGTCTTGAGGAAAGCACTCGTGGGGAAGATTGTTTCCAGTTCAGATAGTGACTGGTAGGTATCCTCGGTGGCCTGATACAGCTCCTGGCTGCAGTATACGCGGAATATGAGGGTCATGATATTCAAGGGCAGAAGATTGACCACTTGGTTCAACTGCGAGAACGATCAGCAACCTGCGACTGCGAGAATATTTAACGGGACGTACGTCTTCTGTGCTTGCAAGCAAGTCGTTTAGTTCTTGCCAGGCGCCCCAGTGAAATGGGTTCAGATGAACACTCCGGATAAGCCACTTCTTGGCCTCGTCTTCATTTCGTCCCTTAAGAAGTATAACACCATACAGATACTCCAACCATCCCTGGCTGCGCTCTTCCAGTCCCTTGTCTTGCCGCTCAGTAAACCATCCTTCTAATCCTCGCGCCAAATCTGGTAATTCTTTGTTGACAGTCGAACCTCCGTCTGCCGGTCCCAACACCATTTCGGTCTCTTCATCCTTGCGCTTCTCGCCCGCCAGATACTTAGCATACAACGCGAGAAACAGCGATTTCTGACTGAGCTTTGGGTATGGATTCCTGGTTACACTATTATCTTTGACACCACTATATGCTGAGGCCTTCGATTTCCCTTTCTGCGGAGTCAACGACTGTCTAGACTTCGGAATCGGCGGCGTTGAAGTAAGGGGAACGGGGGAGATGGTCGGAGGGAGGAAGACTGAGGCGCAGCGATCATATTCGCGGGTGTCAAAGTAAGATTTCGCAAGGAGGTACTTGTATGACTCTTGCGCTTCGAGAGCGGCCTCGAGCGGATCTTGTGTTCGGAGATAAGGGTTCTGGGGGTTCGAAGGAGCGTCGGGGTAGTCCATGGGGGAGTCTGGATCGGTGTCGTATTGCTCAATTGGTACGATTGAATCTAGCATTTCAGCTGCCCTGACCCACAAGGTTAGTGACTGCTCATGGAGGTGAGCCGGGGTGATGCCTGTAACGGTACCATTTGGCGGATTGGTATAAACAACGCTCGGAGCATTTGATCGCCGCATCTTCAAGCCGGAACCTGAGCTCTTTGATATTCTCGTCTGTGAATTGAGCAGCCATGGTAGCGAAGTTGTTTGCGCGCGTTAATGCGCACGCGTTTAGCAAAGAAAGGGCTGCGGAGCTCTTCTGAGTTGACTGTAAGTAACTATAGTTAGTGACGCGCCAGGAGCATTGCTGCTTGGTGGATCTTGCGCGCTCCAGATACGGTGGAGACAGGTGATGTCAGGAGAACCTGAGACAACGGGAGTCAACTAATTAGAGCGCATAAGCAGCGCCAAGAGAGCAGGCAGAAAACAATGTCCAAAAAAGAGGCAGGAGACGCGGCGAAGAGCATCGCATCGCCAAAAGATTCCGGGGAATCTCGAATGGCCTTCCTTTTTGGGCGGTGACGGCGCAAACAGAACAAACAGCGGGGTTTTCCTAATTGGGCTGGCCGGCCACTAACTGGACGAATTGGGACGATCATCACCATCTGGATCCCCTCCTTTCGTGCCTATTGTTCTTCTCCATTCTTCTTCTTCTTCTTCTTCTTTTTCTCCTCGCCGCTCTTCCTTTCACCTTCACTCTTTTCCTCCTCCAATTTTCCCCCTCCTTAGTACTGCCGTGCAACCATGTCCACCACTGCCCGTGCCGATTTCGAGGCCGTCTTCCCCTCTTTGCGGGAAGACCTTCTGAACTATGCGAAGCAGTACAAGCTGCCCCAGAACGCTCTCGAGTGGTTCGAGAAGGTATGTGCCGACCTCCCTAAGTTTTCGCCCCCAAAGTCAATCTCTAATCCTTATTTCTCTTCAATAGGCCCTCAATGTCAACGTCCCCGGTGGAAAGCTCAACCGTGGTCTCTCCGTCCCCGACACCGGTCTCGCTCTCCTGAAGAAGCCCCTGACCGATGAGCAATTCAAGCACCTCAGTCTGCTGGGCTGGCTCACCGAGCTGCTCCAGGCCTTCTTCCTGGTTAGCGACGACATCATGGACGGCTCCATCACCCGTCGCGGCCAGCCCTGCTGGTACAAGCACGAAGGAGTCGGACTGATCGCTATCAACGACGCCTTCCTGCTCGAGTCTGGCATCTACATTATCCTGAAGAAGTACTTCCGCTCTCACCCCGCCTACATCGACCTCGTCGAGCTCTTCCACGAGACCACCTACCAGACCGAGCTGGGCCAGCTGTGTGACCTGATCACCGCCCCCGAGGACAACGTCAACCTCGACAACTTCTCCATGGAGAAGTACATGTTCATCGTCACCTACAAGACCGCCTACTACAGCTTCTACCTCCCCGTTGCTCTGGCCCTGCACTACCTCCAGCTCGCTACCCCCGAGAACCTGCGTCAGGCCCACGACATCCTCATCCCCCTGGGTCAGTACTTCCAGGTCCAGGATGACTACCTTGATGCCTACGGTGACCCCGCCTTCATTGGCAAGATTGGTACCGATATCCAGGATAACAAGTGCTCGTGGTTGGTCAACCAGGCTCTGCAGCGTTGCAACGCTGAGCAGCGCAAGGTCCTTGACACTGCTTACGGTCGTAAGGACGCTGAGCTGGAGGCCAAGGTCAAGGCCCTGTACAAGGAGCTCGACTTGGAGAAGATCTACAAGGAACACGAGGAGAGCGTTGTTGGTGAAATCCGCACCAAGATCAACAGCATCAACGAGTCGGAGGGTCTGAAGAAGGAGGTCTTCGAGGCCTTCCTCGCGAAGATCTACAAGCGCACTAAATAAGCAAAGACTTTCGGCGATTCTTTTCGGAGGAACTATATACCCGCCTACCCTTCTCCGCCGTATCTTCTTGTCTCTACATAATAATTTCCCCGTACATTGTGCCTACATACCCCTATCGAGATAGATTAGCTGAACTATTGAGACGTACATTGCATACGCAACTGTCCCCTATCGATTTACGAATGTTGACCGTACAGTAGTCGCATCCTGATCCTACAGCATCTGCCCAAACCCCTCAGCACGAACATTCCATTTGGCCGGAAACCCGGGCGCAAAGTCCTGCTGACTGCTGTTAGTTGCAGCATCCCAACCCCCAGCCATCATCGCAACAGCCAACAAGAGGGCCGAACTTCCAGGAAAATAAGGGGTCGGTGCCTTGGTCCCCACTGGCATACCCACGTCGTCAAATTCAGAATTCGGGTGCACCAAATACCGCACTGCGGCGTCTACGTCTCCCAGCCTTGCTGCATTCATCGCCAGCATGGGAAAGTCCCAGCCCCAGCAGGTTGTAAAGTTCCAATCACTGGCGACTTGGGCCGCGGTCGCCGATACGAGTGTTTGGTTCACCGCTGCCGTGGGGGGTAGGAGACCGTAGATGCCAGTGAGTGCTGGGTGATCGGTGACTGTGTCGGGGTCTGTCCACATGCTTGGGATGCCCTCGTACAGTGTATATGTGAGAACTTTCTCGCCCGTTGTTTCGTTTACAGCATATACTACCGGTAATGGTGCGAGGTTGTCTTTGACGTGTGTCCATGCCTGGGGAGCTTGCTGGCCACGTCGGGCTTTCCAGGATATGGCTACGTCGAGACCGAAGTGCCAGTATGCCAACTCGAAGGTGGGATTTCGGGTGCTGTTCGGTGGTGTATTCTCCGAGACTGGGTACATCGGAGGACCGAGATCATATACGTTTGTGGAGGTATTCCAGAAGGCATAAGATGCCATGAAGTCTGCCGACTCGGTCAGTACGTAGTCCCATTTCGCTAGGACATCTTCCATGTTTCTTCCTGCATGCCGTGCAGACTGATACTCCGTCTCTGCGAAGTAAAAGACATGGGGTTGCTGCCATATGAGCAGGGCGTTGATTTCGCCTGGGGCAGATCTCCCGCTTGGGTCGCTCATCTTGCCCCATCTCAAGCCGCTGTATCCCTGGTCGGCTGCCCTTTGCGTCGATGAGGGAAGGAACCGATTGTAGACACCGATGCTCCGCTCCAGCAAAGGGAGTTTGCCCCACGGAGTCCAATGAGCAGAATGCCATAGATACATCTCCATGTGAAACTTGCCATACCATCCGTTATTTACTAACCCTGATTCTTGTGGCGGATCGTGTCCGGCCTCATTGACTGCCAGCAAGTATTGGGACAGTATCACGCGTCGTTGTATTTCATCTGCCGTTGCATTCCCGGCTCCCATCAGATCTACGAAGGCTCCGGTCTCCCAATAGCCCGTCCACCATTGCTGAGATCGTGCAATGATTGCATCGAAAGATAGCGAAGAAGATTGAAAGCCCTCTCTAGGAGAGAAGGTTGCTGTGAGTTCAAATTCTCTTGTGTGGTCCCCGTTTGGCTGCAAGACGTATCGATGAGAATCGGGGACTCTGGAAATAGACACATTACTACCACGCCACTGTAATGTGGTGTAGTAGGTGGTGTTGTCGAGAAGTGTGCTGCACCTGGGCTTGATTTTCATTTCCTGCATGGTGCAAGACCGTCGTGTATTTAGACAGCGGTCCAATCGCCAACAAATGGGGCCTCGAACTTATTCTCGTCCGTAGCATACGGGTAGTCAAGGAAGACCCCTAGACGGGCCTAGCGCCACAGTTCGGAATTCAAGCGTAATGCTATCGTGTCCGATTCTGGATCACCACTGGTGGTGATGGTGATCAGATGGCCATCAATAGTGAAATTTGACTGCAGAAAACCCCGGTAAATATCCAGTTTTGCGTCTTATTCTGCAGGTCTTCTTCAGTGTAATTGCTGTAATCTCCCCCGAAAACCAATCCGATGCGACCTAGGTTGATACGATGCGGATTTGCAATCAACCACTGAGAAATGTCTGGCTCTGCAGGATTGGGCATATCATAATTCACTAGCCGATCATGCGTCCACCAGTCCAATCCCGTGAAATCCGATGGTGTGGAGTTCGCAGGCAGTGACGAATTATGCCATCCCCAGGAAGAAAGGATACCGTATGGGAGAAAGGTCTGTAGCCCCGTAATATCTGCTCCGAATGCAAAGTCCCCATTTCCCACCTGCATCGGGGTGCTCTTCGAGCTGGCATTGCGGCAAGGATTGAACCGGGATACTACTCCTGCCCGGTCAATGGAGGGTGGAGACTTGGGGGATATCCTAGCTTCGCCAGTGTTGGAGAAAAGATAAGGGACTAGGCTGAGATTCGCCAAGGCTAGTGAAGGTCGCATGATGACGATGCAGTGTTAGTCTGCGTAGCGGAAATGTCATCTTCCAGCAATTTTCCGAATCCGCTATTCATGGTAGCCTGGATTTGTCTCTTATAAACCTCGTACACCCCTCACATCTCCAACCGTGAAGGCAGAGGGGTTACAGCGTCTTTTACAGACGGCATTCCACGAATCAAATTGCGCAACGAACATTAAAGCCCAGCAATGAGGTGCCACGATCTTGAACAGTGGTGTCCGTGTCGATCTCCGCACCAACATCTCGGGCCAAACGTTGCCGAAGGGATCGGCTCTGCAGTTTCTGCTAGATACAATGTACCAATATACGTACTCAGGGCTAGAACTGATATGACGTGAGCATTTCTGAGGGTGGCGTGCTAGATGTTGCGATAGCGCGGTTAGTAGTGGAAAGGCCAGAAATGTAGAGAATAGACACTTGGTATGGTAAAAAGAAAGGATCCATCCACGTGGATACCACCTGACTTGTACCTGCCATTTCCTCAACTTCGTCTTCAACTCGTCCTCAACTATCCTTGCTACTACTACTTCTTTACAGAATCTAATCTGCCTGGGGTTTTAGCAACTGAAGGTCTAGCAATGACCATGACCTCCTTGTCCCGGCCATGTCCCGATATCTCATTACTCACACCCTCCTAGGCAGGACTAGATACCCCTCAGAACTCCAATCTAACTCAATATATTCAGAAGGCTGTGGCGCCGAGTGGAGTCGGACTCGTCCAAACTACCAACGCAGTGCCTCCAATTAGGCACTGGCGATTGGAGACTATTATTATCGAGCAGGACCAACCGGCTACGTCGGACAGAGTGGGACGTTGCCCATCCAGTTGTGCTTGGTTGATGAATCCCAGCTAAAAGGCTTAATTACAGCGACTTGAATCATGCCAGTGATATTCCACTCCTCACTCTTAACCCATCGGACTTCCGTGTCCTCTTCACAGGGGTGTAATGATAAAGAGCAAATACCAGCCATTGAGGGAACCCGAGCCTAAGCATTGGCCGGCAGAGCTTCTTGTTCCATCCATTCTTTGCTGTGGGACATTCGCGCCTGTCCCAACAAGGAAAATATCACCGGGACCTCCTCACCATACCCAACAGCATCCACTGACTCGCTGGATGAATCAATTCACACTTGCTCTGGCCATTACAAGTAATCCTGGTGTAGAAATGATTTGGCCATTTAGCCTGCCTTCGTCTGGCTAGTCTGCTGTTGCTGGCTTTGAAGCAAGCCACTGCCGATGGGCACGGTGGATCTCCCGCGCCCCCATCGAGGTCTTGAAAATCGTGCCAGCTCCCTACCTGTCTTCCCCTATGATCATCATGCCCTCCTTCCCCTGACTCTCTTTCATATCTTGTGCTCGCCGTTGAGGCGTTATATTTGTCAAGCAGCGCTGCCTTTGTGCAGTTTAACACATGTCTCCTGAGCGCTGAACTATCCGCCCCTTGCGCCATGATTCCGGGCACTCTAACCGTCGCGCTAGCGGCGTTCCTGTTCCTGGCCTCTGCCTTGGCAGATGTAGGACCCTATTTCGACTCCGAACGGTACGAACAGGGTGGCATGGGACCATGGCCTATTGAGACTTACCGTTCGACTTCCACCGTAGGCGCAGTCGTCAACTTTTTGCAGTATGGGCCACAATGCAAAGATGACCAGTATTACTTCATCTCTCCGCGCGGGTATAGCGTGCATAAACCCGGGCCGATGATTCTAGACCAGAAGGGTCGCTTGGTCTGGACGAAGCCATACGGGCACACCTACAATTTCAATGTCTACAACTATAAGGGCCAGGATTATTTAACGTTCTGGGTGGGCGACGACAGTAGGGTGGGACACGGCGAGGGCACATACTACATGGTACGGCACCACCTCTATTCCGCATAGTAATGGGGCAAAGCAAGACTAAGGTCTCCAATAAAGCTAGACTCGTCGTACCAGGAAGCATTCACCCTCAGTGGTGCGAATGGACTCGCAGCAGATCTTCACGAGTTCCACATAACCCTCGACGAGACCGCAGTTTACACTATCTATGACATCCGCCCGGCAGATATCCGGGTCGCTGGCGGTCCTGAGAATGGCTGGATATGGGATGGCACGTTCCAAGAAGTTAACATTGAGACGAAAGAACTCCTCTTCGAATGGCGAGCCTCCGAACACTTCGACATCGCCGACGTCTATAGAGGTCCCGAAGGCTCGGGGGACGATGAGAAACGCCCGTGGGACTACTTTCATATCAACAGCATCGACAAAGACGCAAAAGGCAATTTTCTTGTTTCAGCCCGCTACTGCAACTGCCTGATCTATATCGACGGTCGCACAGGTGAGACTATCTGGACTCTAGGCGGCAAGCGAAGCAATTTCACCGATCTTTCAGGCGGCGCAGCTACTAATTTCACCTGGCAACACCACGCACGCTTCCGCGACAACGGCACGGCAATCACCCTCCTTGACAATTCATCTCGCGGCAGAGGCGCACCCCAATACCCAAGTAGAGGCCTCTACCTCGACATCGACGAAACCAACATGACCGTTCAAGTGCGCCACGAGTACTGGAACACATCTCCTATAAAAAGCCAATCCCAGGGCTCCATCCAGGTCCTCGACAGCGGCAACGTCCTTGTCGGATACGGCTTCAGCGCCGCATGGACGGAATTCAGCATGGACGGCGAAGTCCTCTGCCACGCCCACTTCGCACCTGAGCGAGACTTCAGCAGAGGCAAAGTCATCTCCTATCGCACTTTCAAACACTCCTGGGTCGGCACGCCTAACACCCTCCCGGACTTTGAGGTCTACGCCTACCGCGCAGCAGCCAGTTGGAACGGCGCCACCGAAGTCACGCACTGGGTGCTAGAAGGCACCAACGAAAAGATCTCAGAAACAGCACAGCCCACCTTCCTCTCAGCAGTGCCTAAAGATGGCTTCGAGACAGTCATCCCCATTCCGAACGACGCAAAGTTCGAATACTTGCGCGTTCGCGCCGTCAATGCAAAGGGCGAGACTCTTGCCGCTAGCAAGTTAGCAAGATGGGATCCTACTTCCAACGAAGCAGTCGTAGTGAGTGGTGATAGCGACGAATCCTTCTTTGTGGACCGTGAGACAGTCTATGCCATTCTCATATTCCTCACGATTGCGTTGTTTTCCACGGCAGCGATTGGCGCGTTTTTATGGTTCGGCGTCAGGAAGGGCTATCTTGTGTCTTGGGTACGGAGCCATCGATGGAATGATAAAGAACGCGGGACCTTCCAGCCTTTGAATCGTTCGGGTGGGAGCATGGATCTGAGTGATGCAGAGGTAGAGGATAGTGTTGAGTTTTCGGCATTATTGGGAGATCAGGTCTTGGGTTCGGGGCCGGATGTGGAAAGGGCGGGGAGTATGGATGTCGTTAGGAGGTGATGGAGGATTTTCTGGGATTGTACATGCATGTATAGCGAGTAGTCCATGTGTACAGCAATATATCTCATCTGTTTTGGATATAGTTATGTAGATACTAGCCTGACTTGGTTTACTCTTGCTTTCTTACGGATCACTACAAAGATTTGGTTTCATGTCTCAAAAGATCGTATGATATATTGCTGTCATACTAAAAGAGTGCGTAAGCTAGCACATCCAGCTAGACTCGTAAACGACCGTTACATAAGAATCATCCCTGTTCCTAGAGTGTCAAGCGAGCAAGCTGCTCCACCGAGCTGATAATCAATCAAGCCGAAGAAGCAACCTCCAACCGCTTGTAACCACCCTCGGCAGCGACCTTCTTCTGCAACTCAGCCATGCGCTTCTGATCCCCCAGGGGATCAGTCGAGTCAGCATCCAAGCCCCACGACAAATAGTCGTTAGTGTAGTTCGCCACGAAATCAGCACTCAGAATGCCCAACCGCTTGCCATAGTTGGTCACCTTAGCCCAGTCGCGGCTAACATTCTTCAAGTCACGACTGAAGTACGCGAACGAACGCTCAAAGATCTTCCGGTTAACCGGAGTGCCCATGATCGGCTTCATGTCAACGTACTCCTCGAAAGCGCGGGCGGGTTCAGCCAGAACGTAGTCCGTAGCGCGCTTGACAGCCCGCATGAACTTCTGCACTTTCTCCGGGTTGGCGGCCAGGAAGGCGTCGTTGGCGATGTACAGGATCGAGCAGAAGCAGCAGCATCCGAGCTCGGCGAGCTGGTCGATGCGCAGCATTTGCACGTCGTCGCGGGGTCGGCCCTGCGTGGCGAGCCACTCGGCGAGCTCGACCATCTGCACGTTCTCGAGGCCAATGCCTGCGTCGATGTCGCCGCGGATGATGGCTTTGGTTACGTTCATGCCGCAGCGGACGGCGGTGTAGTCGTCGGCGGTCATGCCGTAGTATTTGGTGAGCTCGTCGATTTGGATCTGTGGAGTGGGTTGGTTAGGTTATGGTGGTGGAATGGAAGGGAGGAGGGAAGGCGAACCTTGCCGAATTCGCCGACGTAGCCGATCTTCTTGCCCTTCAGGGAGCGGAAGTCTTCGGTGATTCCGCTGTCCTTGAGGTAGACGACGCCAGTGAAGGGCTCGTCGAGGAGAGAACCAATCGAGGTGACGGGGAAGTTGCGGGCCTTGGCCTGTTGTTTTGGTTAGATGCTGGTTGTATAGGATTTGAAGAACGGGGGAGAGGCAAGGTAGCTCATACAGCAAGGGTATGGATCATAGCCTTGAAGCCCATGTCAACTTTGCCGCTGCCGATGATCTCGGTGACATCGGAGGGGTCATTGGGCTCCAGGAGAGCAACTTTAAGGCCCTCTTCCTTGAAGTAGCCCTTGCTCTGGGCGAGGTATAGGGGGGCGTGATACGGGGTCGCGTGCCTTAAGAGAACGCATGATTTAGCATATATTCTGTGACCTGTTTCTAAAAATCAAAATAGAGATCCCAATCCATACCAGTTGGTCAGGAAGGTGATCTTGTCAGTAGACATTTTGGCACAAATACACTCAGGTCGAGGGTAATTGCAAAGGTCTGGAAACTGTCAGCAACAGAGAGGGATGCGAGATCCCTCTCGTCTTCTGTAGGTCAAATAGTAGGGGACAATCAGTGCCACGCATGTCCTTTCGCTAGTATTATCTAGATCAAGTTTTGACAGTATAATCTCAGAACGACCGCGCTCCTGTCCAAACCAGAAGGAAAGGAACAGAAGCACGAGCCGAACACCTGTCATGCGCGAGCAGTGACTGTTATACTATTGTACGATACCTTGACCCATCTGAACCCATAGCGAAAAGACCCGGAGTCTGATCCTGCGTGCGCGGCCTCATTGTGAGTCGTACCGGACGGTTAACGAGGAAGTTGTTGGGGAAGAAGAAGTAAGTTATTCGGAAACAATATAACTGAAGATAGATAGTGAGAAGATGGGAAGATGAAGGGAAAGGAAAGCAAGCGAGAGAGGAGGGAGAAGACGTGGCATAAATGGGAAGCAGCGGGGTCAAGCGAGACCCTGGACTAAACCCCCACTACTAAGTTAGGATCCGCGATTGTCGTCTTCCCTCACCGAGAAACACATCCAGGACCCCCACGAAAACGAAGCAGATGCCTCATTGGAGATCCTGTCGCCGGAGTGGTGTGCTCCTGGCGTTCTTTTCCGGTTCTCCAGCAGTAACCACCTCATCATGAACCTTGTCTCATCCTCTCCCCCGCTTCGAGACCCGCTCGGAAGCACAACGGACAAGGTTATTATGACTCAACTCTATATGGTTGGCCAGGCTAGTCTCAACAACCGGATGTCTTCGGTCCTGGCTGGCGGGTCTAGACACTCTTGAGGAAGGATCTGCTTGGCTCTGCTTCGGATCGGATGATCAGCCTAGCTGCTTGTGCATCGTCGCTCTCAACAGCACGAATTATCGGTTACCGCGTCGGCGGGCTGGATACGATGGACGGGAGCACGGAGCTCGTGATGGTATGTTACTGTAGGGATACAATATTCATCGTGCATTCGACTATCTCAACCTGGACCTACTGCGGTAGAATCCAATCAGAAGATACAATTCGCTGGCTACAACAGTGATGACATATGCAAAGAAGGGATAAAACAATGCAAGAATGGAGGAAACGAGCAATGCAAGATGAAAAAAATGGAACAACAAAGTGAAATGCCATGCTGATCAGAGCTCGATGGGCTAAATCAGCTACCATCTTTTCTGAATGAAGCTTGCTTTGGATAACAATAGCAGGTGGGTGACCAAAAGCAGTATTTCACACGCGGGCGATTAGTGAGAGCAAGTAAACGCGAACACGATCATTCCACCAAGAACGGTACCTCGAATATGCAGGCTATTCAGAATTCCAGACTGTCGCACCGCGCTATCTCACCAGTCGATCAACTGTCACCATTGACCGACAGCTGATCGAGCGGCGACGCCGGACGGTCGGTATTCTTCTTCGTGCGCAGGGTGAGCGGGAAATACTGGTCATCTGGCTCCTCTTCCTCGCTAGTTCTAGACAGCCAGTTTATCAGCATCAGCGCTCCTTGTGTCATTCATTCACCCAAGGGGGTGGGGTGGTGGACTTACGGCAGTCGCCATGCGACATAGTCCTCCGTACTCAGGCCTTCTTTCACCTCCTGCAAAGAGGCAAAATCCCCGGGAGTCATCATACCAGAACGATCTCGCGGGGATCCGGGTACGGATAATGGTCGCGATATCTTCTGCTCCGTGCCACCGATTACGTCGTAAACATCATCAGGCGTGCCGAAAGACGAAGGATAGGCTGCATGAACGTGTGAGCAATCTAATCAATAGTGGCTTGGAAATACACATACCTCGACGGAGTGCCAACTGCCGAGCCTTGACATACTCAAGGCCCATGCGTTTCCAGTCCAGGAGGTCACTCAGACGCTCTGTCCGGTTCCGCTGGTTGATCCGCTGGCGCCGACTCTTCTGGGTGAAGTTGAACATGAATTCCGTCAGTTGATTGACTGAGTCATCCACGCCTTTCATCCGACGGTCCACAATATAGATTCCGTAGTCGGACGAATTCTCAATTAGTTCCTCCATATAGCAACCGAAACCAGACAGGTTTGTGGTGATACTCGGGACACCCATCACGGTGCATTCAGCCGGCGTATATCCCCAAGGCTCGTAGTACGAGGGGAACACTCCGAGATGAGTACCCCGAACGAAGTCGTCATAGTCCAAGGGTAGCACCGGGTTGGACGAGTTCAGGAACTCCGGGTGGAAGACAACCTTGACCCGGTCTGACTCGTGGTTGAAAAGTTGGACACGACGGATCTGGTTCAGAATTGGGTCTTCGTGATCATTGTACATGTTGTGCGTGACAATCGGAGGCAGGGAGTGTCGCTTCATGGCGAAGAGCCTGCGGCGCAGTAGCACACGATCCTGGCTAGCCATCAGATCTTTCTCGTCCGGCATGTTGTCGCCTTCCTTCCACGCAAGACACCGCTCGTACATTCGCCTCCCAATGCCCTTCTCGATCATCTCGATTGTGTCCTTCAGAGACTTCACAACAGCTTGGCCCTTGAGAGCTTCGACGGTCAGGGATGACGTCTGAGCGGGCATGATGATAAACGCGACGACGGTCATCTTGGAACCGGCCTCTTTCAGACGGTGATTCAAACGCGCCAGGCCCTCGATGAACATATCCACACCCTTGTTTCGGAACTCATAGCGTCCAGCTGTAAATACGTAGAGGGTATTGTCCAAGTCAAAGTTGTTGTGACCATAGAAATGCCCCCGCACAAAGTCATTGATCTTCTCCTTGGACTGCGAATGTAGGTTCTGGAATTCATGTACAGCCGAGAACTTCTTCACGTTCAATCCGTTGGGCAGCACCCCATCAGGCTTCCGCTTAAGGAGATGCTCACTCTCAAAGGCCGTGATATGGGACACAGTCGTGAAGACGTCAGCTGTGTGTGCGGCAGCTCGCTCAATACAGTAGCGGTGGTAGATCCCACGTTTGCCAGCTTCCGCGTCAACATCAAAGTACTGGAGATTGTTATAGAAGTCCACAGACCCAGCGCACAGATACCGACCGAGCAAGGTCGCGTGGGTGGTGAAAATTGTTGTCAGATCCATATGCCGCTTCTTGGTCAGCGGCAAAGCGACACCAGCAAGCCATTCGTGAAAATGAGCCACCACCGCACGGCGGCGCTCATGAGCGATGAACTAGTTAGATGAACATTAGCATATACGCACGTGCAGTCAGCGGTCCATGCGCTTAGGTTACGTACCTCGCCTAGGAACCATGCCACCAGGTAGCCAAACACAATGGCTTCGTTGGTCTCGCTATCGGCGGAAGGGGACGGGATACCAGCTGCGTTCCAGAGATCACCTTTCCACTCGTCCAAATATTTGTAGCCAGTGCCTGTATCGATAAGAAGCACGCGTGGAGCACCCTCAATCAGCCAGCGACCGTAGACGATCTCGATCCCACGCTCCTTCATGGACTGGATGGTCTCAATCATGCGGGGATTCGACGGAGTCAACTCCTCGACCTCCACAGCTGCCGAAGCACGATTGAGAGGACCGATCAGGGTGTAACGGTCGCCATACTCTGCGGTCGTCACGGGAGCTTTCGACTTAAGCACCGAGTAAATGCCTCCCACCCGGTTGGCCACTTCCGTAGCTACCTCGAATAGAATGTGATTGCGAACATCGCGCTTTATAGGCTCTTGGCCGTTATCCTCACTGGCCATGCTTGCTTGCCTTGACAGCGCTCAGAGGGACTGCAGTGCTGGAAGGGTTATGAATAGCTTATTAACGAAAGAGAAGAAAAGAAGAAGTAAGGAAGAATAGGAAGGGAAAGACGGCGCTGTAGGAGAGGTAGGAGAAGGTAAAGAGTAATTCTTAATACTTTCAACTGGCGCAGGATCCGAGGGACGAGCGCGTCCGGGGCAGCAAGCTCAGCAAAGCTCGAGGAAGAGGAGAAAAGTTAAGGTGACGTGCGGGGGAAGAACAGGCAGCGGGTGGCGGGGGGCAGGAAACGAAGGGAATATCAATCAAGCAGGGAGAAAGTGGTTGGACCGCGCCATCGTTGGCACAGGGACCGCAAGGAGGGGGTTCCGATTCTTTTCATTTCACTCCCTTTCCTCCAACAGGTTCAATTCACGCTACGAGACAGCATCCTGCGCGCAATGGCCCGACCAGGGTGCCGGGAAAAGCTCACCGAAGGCCCCCGTGCTATAGCCAAGGTTTGGAGTTGCACGGACGCATCCCCGGTTCTGGTTGATGGACCACCAAAGGAACCTCTCCCGGCAAATGACAACCCCGGTTGGTCTGTCGATTGCAGAATCATCCGACCAGATGATGATGGGTTGCAACGTTCCAGCTGGAAGCTCGGACTTGCACGACCCTGCTGTCTGCGCCCATCGCGCGCCTACTGCTTGGGTGGAAGAGGGGGTGAGTTTTGTTTTACATTGTTGTTGGGAGCTAGTCGAGCCGCCTCCCTACAGGGGGTTCAGACACCCGAGCGGCTTGTTGGTGGCACAATGGGAAATTGAACCTGCCCCTCAGGAACCCGTGAAGAGTTTTCTATTTTCTCCGTTTGAGGAGAACATCAATCGCGACCGGAAAAGGGACGTACTCTGCCATGATAAGAAGAACCATAAGTTCACTCTCGAGACACGTACCAGAAACTGTCTCCGCTTGGACCAATTCGGGGCAAATCTGGGGAAAGCTGTCTTCCCGTGACGTCACCAGTCTCATGTGACACCCGGCCTGGCTGCCTGGGGCCGATAAACCCCCGGGCCTTCTCAACGTATCACTTCGCATGCCTGCAGCCACCAGCTGCACCGCAGCGACAATCATGGGCGGGAAGATCGCACGATTATCATAGTGATGCTGATGGCAGGGTTCTCCGCGGGAGACCACTTCTTCCTGGCTTCGTATTCGCTACATTGGCCTCTACAAAGATTATATGCCAATGCAACCAGCGATACTCTCATCCGTGTGTGTCTGCAAATTCTAGACAGTGTCTGAATGTGGTCCGCGCTTTGTCCTCGAGAAAGCTTACCGACAACGGTATGGCCCGAAGAGCGATATTCGGCGTTCCCTTGGTCCATCAAAATTATTTGCTGCAATGGATAGCTATCCGGGTGGACGTGAATTCAGTGCGTCAAAGCTCCATTGCTGCAACAAATAATGTCCAGCCTGGCGACATCTGCGAGATGATAGCTACCCCGCGCAGATGCTCTACCCTTCTATAGGTTTACGATCCGCATCCAGATCTGCATTCTTCGCCAGTGAGCTTCAAAGAAGCCTACATACCATGAACGGCGCACTGACGCCTTTTAATAGCTCGGTGGCGTGTGTTCCGTTCTTTGCTCACCTTGTATGCAAGCTGATACTATAGATGATCGTCAAGATGATGAGAGTTTGGCTGACTGGCGATGTCCTAGTTAAGCCAAATAACTACTCGAGTTGTTAGTAGCAACTCCGCACGTGGTATGCAGCAGGCATGAATGGTACCTTGGTACTCCTTCGTAATGATGGAGCGTAGGACATGGTCCCTGGTATTCGAACCCCTACAGCTTGTTAGCGCAGGGCAGGACGCTATGATACTACTATTCCACCACGTGGGCGAAATCAATGTAACTCACATATCATCAATAATTCGGAGTAGGATTCAACCTCATGTAATATTTAGTATAAACAATGCTCAACTTACGATTGAATATTCTAGACACGGAAGATGTCCCAATGGTAGTCACAGACTAGTTCTCATCTCAACATTACGACCTACCATCCAATTACACTCAAGTCCTATTCAACAAGAAGCATAAACATAATGTCTCCATAGCACACCCTCATCCTGAGTAGTGACATTGAAAACTACCGAACTACCAAAAAGTACCTTACCTACCTGCCCGAAATAGCGTACATACCATTACACCAATCTTCCCGCCGCCTACTAAACCAAGACAACCAAGGCACACGACATCACAACCACAAATCACACCCCAGCACCGAGTACCAAGAATATTTCTGAAACATAGTATCACTTCTACTTAAAAACATGAAATCTAGTTCAATTCCCCTAAGATTACCTGATTACTGCAGAGAGATGGTACCTGTCCACAATCCATCGATGAGATCATAAGTGGGCCCGTACCCGGCCCCGATGACTTCACGATGTTGTCAACGCCATCAATCTGGGCCCGAATCGATGAACACATCACCTTGACTTTATGGATATAAGTAGGATGCTGTTACTGTTCCATTGCTTTGAATTTAACATCAGACTCAGACTCACAACAAACAAAGACACAAACTTCATCTCCATTCCTACTACTCTTTTCACCACACAAATCTACACACACACAAGGTATGTAACATATACTACACCACTGCATAAGTTTCTCGGCTAATTATTAACCTCTGCAGTGATCAAAATGCCCCGCGGAGCCGAATACGACGACGGAGTCCCTCACTCCGACAACGCCATTGAGGCCGGCGAGACTAAGGTTCATGGAACGAACCCTGCCGTATGTCCTTCTTTCAATCTGCAATCCTGCATTAAAAGAAGAAATGTTTGCTAATTGACGTATAGAACGACCACCTCAACCGCGTCCAGCGCACCGCTCCCCTCCCCGAGGCCGCGCAGAGCAGCGGCGGCGAGTACAGCATCGGTGGCAGCTCAGGTCCGAACAAGTCCGGTAGCGGAAAGGGCGGACACGAGCCCAAGACGTTGGGCGAGAAGAAGGGATTGGGAGCTCACAAGGCATAAAAGCATGAATGAATATACTGGCAGATGGAGTTCGGTGATTGATGCATGAATCATGATTTAGGTACATCTTTGGGTGGATATGTATTAACAGTCAATATGCCTTTAACTAGTAGTAAAGGCAATGAAGACCTCCGGGTTGAGGTCGAATGAAATAAACTGAATCTTCTCATGAGTTATTGGTATAGTGGTAAAATTCGTATTAGAGTCTATATAAATATGGTCACGGTCTTCATGGTGTGTGCCAGGTAATGTGGAGAAAACATGAATGTGAAATAAAAGGCTGTACAGCCCTGTACCAAGAGGTACTGGGGATCTTCTGGGGGTGATTCATATCATGTACATCTGGGCCATCAAGGTCCAAATATGGATCGCCTCCGCTTAGGATTGTTTCTTTGATGAGCCGTTGGAATCAGGCGACGACTTTCCGGACGAGTCGGTGGCATCCTTGGATTCTGTGGTGATCTTCTTTTGCTTCACCAATTCAACGAGACGCTGGCCCAGATCACCGAAACCGTTGATCTTGCCGAGCTTTGTCTGCAGATATTCTGCGTCGCGTTGCAATCTGATCATGTTATTAGCCTACGTCTAGTAATGCATCATGCAGCAAAACTTACCGTTCCTTGGCAGTCTCCGAAGTCACGGTGACCTCTTCGAATGCCTTTGTCCACTGCTCTCGGTAGCTGCTGAACACGGAATCCATAATCATCATGACCGTCATATCGGGGAGATGTTTGCTCAGCACACGATGCAGCGTGCCGGTTTCCTTCGTCAGGGTTTCCATGTACGGGCTCACAGCACTGCCCCCTGCGGGCGCGTTCCAGTCAATCTTCTTCATAGCATTGACATGGATGGCTGATCGAGATCCCATAATATCGACGAGTTTCTCGTGAATACCGGACTGGTGTTCCTGATACAGCCGCTTCACCTTGTCGAACTCGCCCATCAGTGGGCTAGAAGGTGCATGGCGGCGGACGAACTCTCGGATATAGGGAACCAAGGCAATGATGAAACTGAGCGCTTGAGATGACAGAGCCAAGTGCTTGGTGGTGATGTTCTTGAGACCTGCGCTTCTAGTAGCCCCTGCGCCCAGGATCAACTGAGAAGATCGGGAGTTGAACAGCTTTAGTGACTCTAACAAACCAGGCGCAATGTCTTGCATCATGCTGGGTATATTTGCCATGAGATATTGATATTCCTCGATGCTTTTCATCATTGCAACAGCAGACTCGGACAAAATGTACTTCTGCTCATCGATCACGGCACTGCGCGTCTTCTCTTTTCCGGACCCGTTGACAGTTGTTGTGCTAGCCGGAGAGGGTTGTTGGCGTTCGTTCTCGGGCAGCCAAATCTTGGATGCGTCGACCCAGACATCAATATCTCTAGTACTAGCGCCAAGGATGCGATCAAGAATAGCATTGTCGGCTTCTCCAAAGTCCCTTGCATCCCATCGATCCGCGTCCATTACCTCGACCACACGGCGTCGCTGCCCGTCTCCAAACCGGTTGATGTAATCTTTGATTTGGTTGCCTACAACAGTCTTCAAGGCGGTACCGCTACGCCCGGAGATGGCTTCGCACTCATCAGCGAAGAGCCGATTGAGGGTGAAGTACTTCAAGAATTCATCCTTTGGTAGCTGAGATGTCTGTTCAGACCGAACCTTCAAAACCTTGGTGACCTGGGATTGCGCAATATCGACGGCTTGGCCAAGAAGGCTGGACATATCCAGGACCTGCAGAATCTCGTCCTGTGCCACAACGGCTACAGGGCCCGGGGTTGCAGGTTTGCCTGGACCCTGAGGATTAGGGCTTGGTGGGCCGGACTTCACACCAATGGCGGCCGGGTTTTCCAACCCACTGGCAATATCCAGAAGAACCTTGACTTGAACACTGAGTCTCCGCAACGACTCACTGATACCCGTGTATACGCGAGCAAGCATGTTGTATGAGTCTTGGGCATCCAAAGCCCTGAGGTTACGCGCAAGAATTGAAGATTTTTCCTGCTGGCTGAGCTGCTGGGACTTTTGCGTGGATACAGATACCACTGATTCGTTATCGTCATCACTCGAGCTGGGCATGTGTTTGCGAATCAGACTCTTCATCTCTCGCAAAACCGCAGTCTTGAAAGCGGTCGCTGCAGGAGTCGTATGACGCACGCGAGCAAGCCCTGTGAGATGCAGGTGCAGCCGGGACCGTAATTGGTCATCGAAGGCCATATATGCTGGGGCTTGTGTAGCCCCTGTGCGCTGTCCTCCCCGCTGTCGCAGGAACGCAGAGCCCCATCGTTGTAATGTTGTATCCAAAGGCACGGTTTCGACATGCCGCCTCAGATCTCCCAGCAGGTCGCTCAAGAAACGGCTCTCATATCCTGTGCCAATGCGGTATCTCAGATGCGCCAGGTCGTCAGATGCGCCTTCCAGGGCCTTGAGCTTGCGCAAATCAATGGCTTTTCTCGATTGTTCTTGTTTCTCGTTGCCCTCGGAAGAGCCAGGAGTATACTCTCCGGCCATGAGCCGTTCCACCTCTTCTAAGCCATCTGCAGCCTCCTCGATCTTGCCGGTCTCGACTAGTTCCTCGCATTGGGAAACCGACTGAACGACGTCACGGAGTTGCGATACTGCATCAGCAAGCATACGGACATTTTCTCTCCTCCGTCGCAGATTCACAATCTTGAGTCCACCAAGGGCCATCTCACGGTCAATTTTCTGCAAATCCTTGCGCAGAACCTGGATCCGCTTGACCGAGTCGGCAGCTTCTGCATGCAGCTCCCGTAGTGACCCTAGCGCGGTGAAGAAAGATTTAGACGCCGTCGAGATCGAAGAGATAAGGTGAATTTCCACAGTGTCCATGTACCATGAAAGCTTCTCTTGTAGAATGGCATTCGTAGCCAGAGCCTTTCTACCCGTAGGAGCCGGTTCCAGAGCAGCACCATTCTCTGACTTATCCTTTGATGGTGTAACGATCTCTGATTTCTCCGAAACAACATCGAATGTGCGCGGGTTCTCTAGGTGGAAGTCGTCCTCGAAGTAGACCGTCGGAATGGTAGATAGTGGTGTAATAGCATGACCGCGACCGCGACCGGGACCGGCAAACGACCGTTTTCGACCCCGGGTATCGTACGGAGAAGTTGCTCTTGAATTGGTTGAAATGGCCGATGGTCGCCTCTCCCTGGACCTTGGAGCCAATGAATCAGAGTCCTCTGCCTTGGGTGAAGACTTGTCGCTACCCCGCGCTAGCTGCGACTCCTGATCACCGGCGCTTTCCTTTGCTTGTTGGAAGACATCATACAACGACCCAACCTGCGACAAGTAGGCTTCGAACGCTTTGGGATCCACATGTGGAATGTTGGTCAATGTGACAGGAGGTATATCGCGAGTAGTTGGGGGCTTGTATCCGGCGGAGGGGACTGCGGTATGGGGAACTAGGCCGGTGCGGACAATGGGAGGTTGCAGGAGAGTAGAGATGGCTGCGCCGAATTAGCATGCAATTTCCTTCATAGATTCTCTCACACTCCCATAGGCCGTACCATTTTGCCCGGACTCAGCTATCGATCCGTGACGGTGGGAAGGATCCAAAATCCCTCCGATACTGGCAATCGAGCTGGCAGTCGACCCTCTCCTGAGAGGGTACCTCTGAGTCGGCGCCCGCGGGGATTCGATCTGATTTAGCGAGAATTGAGACAAGGAGGGAGTCGATGCGCCTGAAGCCAAGCTGTCAATGGACTTCCGGGGGGTCGCGGAGGACATATCGTCGATAGCGGATTAGCGACTCCCACAGCCACCGTGCTAGTAGTAGTACTCGGGAGAACGAACGACGGCTAACTACGCATGACAAGGAGAAAAAGCTGCAATTCAGTGACGAAGGAGCATTAACGGCGTCCAGCCAATGATCCCACACAGCCAGGGTATGGAGCCTGCGGTCTCGAGAGGAGAGAATGAAAGCCACGCCGACGAAGCCCGCTTGCAACGTCACCCTCGACCCTCTGATACGGGGGTTGGTTCATGACAGCTTCCCCCGATCCGGTATGGCGCCAGGCCCCGAGACCGCGTCCGCTAGTCTGTTTTGGGTGTACCTCGGGAAGTTAGTATCTCCGGCTGCCGACACCAAGTCTCGTGCTTGTGGGCGCCTCAGGCCACAAGAAAACCACTTAACGCGTGAAAGCGACGCGACGCGTTCGGCTCGTGTGCCGCCGCAAAAGTTATTTGCAGTTCCTTTTTTGCCCTGGCAATGAGACGGTCCCGAAATCAACACATCTCACAATCCCCTCCCCGCAGTCCGCTCTAGTGTCTTCACCATGGACAGACGCACCCCTTATACCCTGAGTGTCCTCGCTCCTAGCGTCGATGGTGTGGAAGACTCTCGCTCTCAGATCCGAGCAAAATTAAAGGAGTTTGTGCTCGAATTCCAGCTTGACAATGCATTTATCTACCGGTATGTTTGGCGCTGGGCCAGATACAGTGAAGGTTAAAGTAAACAAAAGCTAAGGTGGATGACAGTGACCAACTTCGCCAGAATGTTCTGGTCAAGCAATACTATTGCGATATTGATATCGCTCACTTGATCTCATACAACGAAGAGCTAGCACACAAACTCACCACAGAGCCTGCCGACCTCATTCCCCTCGTGAGTATTCGTCCATCATCTTTGGACCTTATCCTGACTAACCATGCATTTTAGTTTGAATCAGCACTCCAAGATTGTACCCGCCGCATCGTATACCCCTCCCAGAGAGACATCCAACTACCTACCCATCAGCTTCTGCTCCACTCCTCAGCTACACATATCTCGATCCGTGACCTTAATGCTACCAACATCTCGCACCTTGTTCGTATCCCAGGTATCGTGATTGGAGCTTCGACGATATCATCCAAGGCGACGGTGATGCACGTTCGGTGCAAGAACTGTGGACACCACGAAGATCTTCAGGTCGATGGTGGTTTCTCGGGTGTTCAACTCCCCAGAAGATGTGGCCGACAGCAACAGCCCGGCGACCCTCAGTCAGAACCCTGCCCCCTTGACCCATACGTTGTGTCGCACGAAAAATGTCAATTTGTCGACCAACAGGTTCTCAAGCTCCAGGAAGCGCCCGATCAAGTGCCCGTGGGTGAGCTTCCCAGGCATGTCCTTATCTCAGCAGACCGTTACCTGGCCAACCGAGTTGTGCCTGGTTCCCGTTGCACAGTGATGGGTATCTTTTCTATCTACCAGTCCTCCAAGGGTGGCAAGAAGGATGGCGCTGTGGCTATCCGCAACCCGTACTTACGGGCGGTGGGCATCAGCACCGATCTGGATCATACCGCCAAGGGTAGCGCCATTTTCTCTGAAGAAGAAGAGCAGGAGTTCTTGGAACTGAGCCGCCGCCCTGACTTGTATGAGGCTCTTGCCAAAAGCATTGCCCCGTCGATCTATGGGAATCTGGACATCAAAAAGGCCATTGTCTGCCTGCTCATGGGTGGTTCCAAGAAGCTACTTCCCGATGGAATGAAGCTTCGTGGTGACATCAACGTCCTTCTTCTTGGTGACCCTGGTACGGCCAAGTCACAGTTGCTCAAGTTCACTGAGAAAGTCTCCCCAATTGCGATCTATACATCTGGTAAGGGTTCTTCGGCTGCAGGTTTGACGGCCTCGGTGCAGCGCGATCACGCCACTCGTGAGTTCTACCTGGAAGGAGGTGCCATGGTGCTCGCAGACGGTGGTGTTGTTTGTATCGATGAGTTCGACAAGATGAGAGATGAGGACCGTGTTGCTATTCACGAAGCCATGGAGCAGCAGACCATTTCCATCGCCAAGGCCGGAATTACTACTATCCTCAACTCTAGAACGTCTGTTCTAGCCGCAGCAAACCCTATCTTCGGTCGTTATGATGACTTGAAGACTCCCGGTGAAAACATCGACTTCCAGACGACCATTTTGTCTCGTTTCGATATGATCTTCATTGTTCGCGATGATCACGAGCGAAGCCGGGATGAAAGCATAGCCAGACACGTTATGGGCGTGCATATGGGCGGTCGGGGTGTTGAAGAGCAAGTTGAGGCTGAGATTCCGCTGGACAAGATGAAGCGCTACATCAGCTATTGTCGCACGTAAGTTGTCCTCCTTCGTCATCGTATACTCCACATATGAATCACGAACGCTAATATATCATTACAGTCGCTGTGCGCCCCGGCTCTCGGATGAAGCTGCTGAGAAGCTGTCGTCCCACTTTGTCACCATCAGAAAGCAAGTCCACCGTGCTGAGCTTGATGCCAACACCCGCTCTTCCATTCCCATTACCGTTCGTCAGCTTGAAGCTATCGTCCGTATCACCGAATCACTGGCCAAATTGAGTCTGTCGCCTGTCGCCACCGAGGCCCATGTTGATGAAGCCATCCGTCTCTTCTTGGCCTCTACCATGGATGCTGTCACTCAGGGTGAGGGCCAAGGTAGCAAGGAGATGATGGAGGAAGCGAGCAAGATTGAAGACGAACTGAAGCGCCGCCTACCCATTGGGTGGAGCACCAGTCTGGCGACGCTGAGGCGCGAATTTGTCGACGGGAGAGGCTACACGGAACAAGCACTCAACCGGGCATTGGTGGTTATGCAAAGACGAGAAACCGTTCAGATCCGGTCTGGTGGCTCACAAGTATACCGACACGGTGTCTAGTACTTCTTCATGTCTGCTTCTGATTTCACACCATGCGATATTGTCATGAATGATCTTCCGATGTTAGTCTGCTGGGATGACTATGTATCAATTTGGGCTCGGGATTTAAGGGGATGACTTGGTGTATGGCGTACTGCTTTGTTCACGGTGAACGACTGATCCGTTATTAGATGAGCGAATTTAACGAGACACAATATAACAACAATAATTATGCAATACCAACCAATCTAGAACGGGAGGAACCTCTTTGTATCAATCTAACGCAAGGATCTGCTCAGGATAACTCAAGATAAGTGCAGTCCACTCTAACCGCATTGATTTGGTCGATCTTGTCATCCAGATTATTCATCATAAATTTTGTGACTACCCTGGACAATAAATCAGCTCGCTTATGGCCCAGAACACACTGGTGACCTGGAACCCAATGAAGCTCGACCTTGACTCCCATCGAGCAGAGTCGATGAGAGAGAGCGTCAACAAGACGCACCAGACGGCCAGCGAGTGGGCTCAACCTTTTTGCCCCAGGCCGGAGCATTTCCATGGCCGCTTGGCAGTCCGTGAAGAACTGGACGACATGGCCTGATACTTGCAGCCGCCCCAATTGGCGAACTGCGGCTCTCAGTCCGGCCCCAATGGCAAACAACTCAGCCAACTGGCTGATCCGAATCTCGTCGACGCAGTACAGCTCGTCAGCGTCTCGTCCGCTGTGCCCGTGGATGACTGCAACTCCAGAAGGCGCTGCCTCGTTGGCAGCTGTCGATCCGTCCACCCAGAAGACGTGATAGTCATCTGGGGACGTCTCTGTCACCTCCTTGGCATAGTTCAAAGCCTCTTGACGAGGCTTGATCAGCAACACTCTGTCAAATCTATCATCCTGAATTCGGATGGTAGGTGGAGGCAGCAGTTGCTGCTGCTGCTTCTGTTTCTTTTTTTGATTCTCAGGGTGCTGCTTCCTCACCCCACGCTTGTTCGACTTCCTCGTCACGACGGACTCGGTCGTTCCAGAATCAGAAGCAGCATCCTGGATTTTGGAATCTCCACTGGTGATCGTTCTGCTATTAGCACTACTACTAGTAGTACTACTGCTAGCGCTTCTGCGCTTCTGTCTATCGAAGACAGGAGCAGTTTGGGAATCTCGATTTCTCTGGCTGACGCTTTCGGACTCGACTCGATCAAGGGAAGGAACCCTATCGACCACGCGAGAACCTCGAACGTCACCTTCTGCCCTCTGTGCTTTGTCTTTCCTAAAGGAAAGTTTATGCCCTCTGCTCCTGATATATTGAGATCTCTGACCCCAGCTTATGGGGGTCACCGCTCTGGGGTTCCCAACCTCCATGACTATATCCCTCTGGAAACAACTAGACTAGAACTCTTTCTGGTCGATACGAATTGACAATAATGTGAGTAAATGATATTAGGCAGCGTCTTACAGATCTGATAAGAGAAGGCGAGGTTGCCTTTGTCGAGGAACTTATGATGGTTATTGCGGAAGTGGCAGAGTATATGGTTCCATGACAATAGCGGATGGGTGACTGTGATGGATGAGGCCTACGTCTGACTCACCTCGATGATATTTACGTCGTTTGAACACGGCATTTATGCAGCATGATGACGAGATGTCTTGTCAGTAATCGAACACTACAGATGCCGAGGGTGTCTGGACTTTGGGCTTTATATGAAGAGCCAACGGTACGAAATATGGGTCCGAAACGCATTTACGATCGAATTCTGGCAGAACCTTAGTTGTTACTGCAGTTCTGCGCTCAGACTATGAACCCGTAGCGTCAAGCTACTGCTTGGAATACTTCTTCCGGATCAAACTCCCATCTAGGCGTTCCATCTTACCATCTGGGGCATTTTGATTGCTGCCAGATGACACAATCATTGCTGCCGCTACTCTATGAAGTTTATTGGTCAAGTATGACGCTCTCGGCGCTTTTGCATGCTCGGTAGATGCCCGGGATGTTGAGAAGAGAACAAAGCATGGTGGCAGTGCCAAGGCATCTCGAGTCGTATCAGTAAGCACAGATGGGGAATTGATACAACGCTGGGAACACTTAGCATTCCGTCAGATGAACTCAGAGGTCAAATTATTCTGCTTCTCCAACATATATCTATTACAGTCGTATAGTGGGGGTCAATCAACTATATACATGCGTTAAGCGAAAGCTTAGTTGTAGTAGTCATGTTGACGATATCCAATTTCTATCTACCTTAGCCTTCACTAAAAATAGTCGCATCACTCTTCTTACGGGTTTATTCCCAATAAATTAGTAGTCAGATATACTAGTATCTCACTGCTTCAAGGTAACTGCTTCATTTATATAAAAGAGTCGGCACCGAGCAACGTCCAATTCACTAAATCTGGGCTCTCTATCACCTGACCGCGTGAACGCCTTCTGCCTAGATAATGTCTTGTCTTATTCCCTATAATCACTACCAATTGTCTAGTACTAGCCTAGTACTCGTTTTCGGCCACCACGCTTTGCTGATGCTGAGACAGAACTTAACAAAGCATTTCATACCATGCGCATGAGTCAGTCCAATCCTACTATCTCAGTATATCCTCATCCTGCTGGTGTCTGATTCGTCGACCAGCGGCGTGCAAGTGCAGGCATTTACTCTGCGTGCTTTTAATGGAAGCCTACGTCAATTAGCTATCAAGCACATTATGCCAACAAGTAGGTTTCAGGCTCATGAACGCGCTCTTTACATATTAGCAGAAGACCCGGGCCCTCTTTTCATAACGAGCCACTTGAATGAGAGGTCTCGCGAAGGTGGACAACACCACACAAGGTGTCCATATGGGAGAGAACAAGAGCAGGAACTGACTCGAACTGCACCGTCTAACGGGGTCAACCTTCGTCTCCACATCGACCTATAGTCGAAGTACGATGTCAACACAGTTTACATGGTCATGGTCCCGCCGGAGCCACTGAACCATGGGTGCGATGGGCTGAAAAGTCCCGCAGTCTCGACGCCTGCTCCGCTGTCAGGGCATGAATGAATTCTGGTGGATCTTGAGGGAAAATTCGGACCTAATATGTCCTTCTGATGCCAAAGACGGATATTTTTATGGCTCAGCAGGTGGTACAACTGATTTTCTGGGGTGGAGTTAGCTAGGTGACTGAGGTTAAAGCTCAAGAACTGATTTCTGGTTCAGTCCGCGCCGAACGGGACCAAACGGAAGAGTAACCAGCAAAGGGAATCGAGAGGTGAGGTATGAGGCTTCGTGGCAACCGTGGCCTTGGTGATAAGTATGATCGGTCTACATTCCAAGGCCCGCATTACAAGTATCTGACAGCATTCCTGAAGATCAAGCGACCAGCCAGTAAGTGGGGTTGAAAATTACTGACGCGCCGCGCGTGGTGAGAGATACTGTCGCCCTGCCATGTCAAAAAGGTTAACGAAGATTAACTCTTTTGGTCCGTGGCAGGAAAAGCAGAGGCATGTCATTGATCATCCACAGCCCTTGGGATGGCCGTTGTCGAAAAGACCTACCTGAAATTTTGTATTTGATGAGTGAATGGATTGAGTTGTCATTGTGGACAGATAACTGGTCAGCCCATGCACTTTCATTCACCTCCGATACTTCTAATTCCGGCGCGTACCGTACATCAACCCCTGACTCCGGCCCAGACTTTGAGATCGTGCACATCTGTATAATTATAGCTGCGTCCAGAGGAGGGATGAAGAAGTTGCAGCGAGTAAGGACAGAAGTTCACCTCACGTCCTAGAGTCGGTGTTTCAGGTCATGCAGCAGCGCCAGAGACATGGGTCAGCAAGCGCCGGGGGCAAATGGAACAAATATGAAGAACCTAATCAAAAGCGCTTCGGGCTGAAGAGAAAAGATAATTATATCATGATCGGTTGAATCTAGACTAGATCGACGCCTCTTGTATGCTGCGGTTACACCATGTACGGAGCTTCTATTGTATATGTAGTGGCCAACCGACATTCAATAGACGGCAGCCGTAGCGCCGGCTTCAAGGGGGTGCAGGTGGTGAAACATGAGGTGGGGATACGTGGTCGTGATGGACACGCGCGAAGGAGCGACGGGCGCGCCATGCGTCCTGGAGGGGACAGTTTGGTTGGTGAAGAGGCACGAAGGGGAAGAAAGGGTCGTGATGGCAACGCGTTGAAGGGGTGATGGATGGATGGGTGGGGAGAGGGAAAGCAAGTATGGAGACGGTTTATTAAGGTTTCAATGGATTTGATAGAAAGTAGACTATTAACTAGTGAAGAGGCAAAAGGCGATAGACATTCTAGATGATCGACTATCCAGATGATATCATGAGTAGTGAAGAAGAGAAAATCATTAATCGCGAAATGCATCTTGCATGCCGCATTGGGGATGTCAAGTAAGCCCTGAATCCGCGCGACGCGACGTGATGGAAGAAGGGCCGAAATGAGATGGAGTCGCAACCAATAATCAATCAATAATGGGTCTCGAAGCCTTGCATGGGACCATCGGTAGTTTAAGTCAGTGTGGATTTAGCCTCCGTCTGGAATTCTCGGGGTTCCCTGGCCATCGATCAATCTGGCGGGCGACACGAACTTGACGCGCTTCTTCGCCTTGACTCCATTCCTGCTTCTTACTTATACAACTCCACCTCCACGTCCACGTCCACGTCCACGCTCGCGCTTCCCTCCCCTCACTCGTCTACTTAAAATTCTTTTTCTCTATTTGACTTTTCCACCCCTACGCTTGAAACCCGTTCAGCTGCATGTTTCGACTGTCGTGCAGAAACCTTGGAATGAGCCTTGAATGACCAACAGCCCACCGTTTCCTGCCCTCCATTTTTAGGCATTCTCGGTTGACGCTGCCTACCACCACCTGCCTTTTAGCAACCCTTGCCTCCTCCAACTCTTATATCTCCTCGCCCGGTCCCCTCGTTCTCTAGTCCTGTCACTTCTATTGTCATTGTCTTTGTCCCCTTCTAGTCTGGACTTCGAGACTGGATCGTGGATTAACCTTAACTGCTTTCTCCATCTTATCCATTCACTCAGCCTCTCCCGCTCCAATCCTGACCGTCGATCTTCTTCCCTCCTCAGACCGCCAATCACCCCCACTCACTCCCTCGACGCGACCAAAACATCTCGTCTGCAACCACGGCCTCGTTGTCTGTCTATACACCCCCTTCGGTTCACTTAATCCTGTGTTCCTCGTCTATTCCGGCCTATCTACAGCATGGCCGCTCTCACCATGACCCCTACCACTATGCGGCAGCCATTCGCCAGCTTGGACGCGCCTCGCATGCGCTCCTTGCTCAAGACTAGAATGAACATGAAGAACAAGCAAGATGGTATGGACACTTGAACCTTCGCCCCATGCTCATCACGCGCGTCATAGCTAACATACATTACTATAGGTGCCATTCTATCGGGAAAGAGACAGCCCCTGTCGGACGTGGACTCGGAGAATATCGACCCAACCACTTTCAAACAATCCACCAAACGCAAGCGTGGTGCCGACGATGATGACCTGGAACCTGCCAAGGAACCCTGCAAGCCCTTCAAAACCTCTCGCATGGTTCTGACCACCGTGAAGTCGACCACCGTCACTCCTCGCAAGCCAACCACACCCACCAAACCCACCGTGTCTACCCCCAAGTCCGCTCCCAACCTGAGGCCGGCCGGACGTTCACCACCGCCCAAGTCTTGCAAGCCATTCTCTCGCCGCTCTACTATTGCCAAAAGCCGTCCCGAGTCCGTCAATCGCAAGTCCGTCCACCGCCCATTCTCCCTTGCAACCGCTCTTTCTGGCGCAAAGGCAAAGAGTCAGCCCACCCCCAAAGCTCCTGCTTCCTGGTCATTCGATATCCATGTCGACACCGAACAGGAAGAGATGACCAACCTCATGCAACACTCTACCTGTGTCCTAGACATCAGCGACCAGGAAGGGAAAGTGGAGACTTCCGGTCGAGGCAAGGAGAACGTTCCTCCAGCAGAACTCGGAATCGACCTTCCTCGTTCTCGTCAGCAGGAGTCCCCTGCGGCTGCGGCACGCAAGTCTGTCATGCTGGAAGAGTCTCGTGAGCCGTTGGGTGACCTCAATGCCGCTGACTACTACGGTGATGACTGCCATGCCTTCTCCTATGCCGTTGTCTATGATGACGAGACCGAGGAGAATGCGAAGAAGGCCCCATCAGTACCACGCTCAAACCCCAACACCACTCGGAGCAAGCTCTCCAACGTCTCTTCCGTCTCTTCCTTGCTCGAAGCAACCACCCCTGTCAAGCCTACCGCTGAAGCCGAAGTCGAACCTTCCGAGGCAGCTATCGAAATCTGGGAGAGCGAGAGTGCTGCGGAAGAAGCCGCCGATGCCAACTGAATCTGCGGCCACCCTGACTATCGCCCATCATCCATACCAACAAGAGTTATTTCACACGGCGTTCGGATTACCTCAGGGTTGTACAGCATCGTTTTTGGATACCCTACTTATACAGTCTTTTTGATTTCGTTTGGAGCCCGTTTTATACCGACCAGATCCGTCACGAGACGAATTTTCTTGAGTCTTTTTCCTATTATCATGTCCAGAACCTACACCATACCCTCCTATTCGACTTTCTACATTTATCCGAACCTCACCTACCTCGACACGAGTCACTATCATTGGCCTGAAGTATAATGGCCCCCTCCGTCGCCTCACTCTTTTGCGCATCTTACGAATGCCGCGTCCATTACCTACCTCTTAATGACCTAAGAATGTGTTACGTCGCTTAATGCCTGTATGAGATACATACCCTCAGTTTAATCAAAAGCAAAAAAAGAGAGAATGAGAATAAGAATAAATATCAATTGGTATAATCAAGGATCCAATTAGTAAATAGTAACTAAACTAATAATGAGTTAATTGCATAATCTACCGTAAAGTACACTAAGCTCTTCGTCTCGTAGCTCTTGTAGTCTCAACCCCACCCATCTCCGTATCCTCATCTTCCCCATCATCAGACTGTTCCTCATCCTCTTCTTCATCCTCATCATCCTCTTCTCCTCCAACCGACGCCGCCGCTTCCGCCACAGCCTCCGCCAGCTCTTCCTGCTCATAAGCCTCTTCCTCCCCCTCACTCAACATCTCCCCGCCACCATCACCATCACCACCCACTTCATCCTGAAACTGCACCCTCCGATCCGCCCTCTTCTTCCCCTTCCTATCCCCCTCATCCCCAACCTCATCCCTCCCCGCCCCCTTCTTCCCACTTCCACCACCAACCCTCTCCTTCCACGCCGGTGCCCCCTTAATAATCCCCCTCACCTCCGTCGCCATCATCATCTCCCTCTGCGACGCCACCGCCGGATCCAGCCAAAAGTCCACCATGACCGACTCCGGCGTCGCATGATCCGGCAACCTCAGAATATTCGCAAACTCGACCTCATCATCCAGCATCTTATCATCCAACAGCGCAAGAACCTTCGCCCGCATAATCGTCTTCGTCTTCGCTAGCGTTCCGTTCCCGAACCATCCATCCGTCAGGATATCGCATTCCTCGCGCAGGAACCCCGCCGGTGGCGGATCAGATGGGAATAGTATGCTCCGGAGTGTTGGGTCCGTCACGTCGCAGAACATCCACATCCGCCCGTCGCGCGGGAGCGGCAAGCACCCTGTGAAGAGGTGGGTTGTTGTGGGGAGTTGTTGTGTTTCTGTAGGTTGATCTGGGTGTTGGTGATGAGTTTCGTCCAGGTATTGGGGTACTTCGCCGGCGCGGGCCACGGCGTGTCGACGGCCTGTGTAGCCGTCCCGTGCGACTTCGGCTTCGCGTGGTAGGATCCGGAACATGGCTGTTTGGTAAATTCGGTAGGAGGGGTCGGTGCGTGGGTCGTGGCCGTATTTGATTATGGCATCGCGCCAGGGTCCTGAGCGGAAGATGTAGCCGACGTAGGGGATTGCGTGGCGGAGGGCGTAGCGTTGTTCGATTGTTGGGAGGGAGTTGCGTAGGCCTCGTCGGGTCCAGGCGGGGCGCTGTTGGAAGAGGGATTCTACGGCGCTGATGGTTTCTTGGAGGGTTTTGTCCAGGGTGTGGATGGGAGGACAGTTGGCCCGAGGGGAGGTCGGGACTGTGGCGACGTCGTAGGATACGAGGTGGGTTAGTACTTTGACTACTCGTTGTGTGTTGACTGTTGTTATGTTGCCCGAGTTGTCGATGGCTTGTCTGACGGTGGGGTTTTGGCGGTAGCTTTGGTTTGTCGTTAGTTGTATGTTGGGATGGGAAGGTGATGGGGATGGGACTTACATGTAGGTGAAGGGGATGTCTCCGAAGCTGAAGGATGGTGGGGGTATGATGTCTACGTCAGTGATGGCGCCTTTGCTCATTTCGAGGTCGAATTGTTTCATTTTGTCGTCTGTATCCAGTTAATTTGCTGTTAGTGGGTGATGTGGTGGCAGGACTCGTACAGTCAAATGGCAATATCTGCTCCCGGAACCGGTTGGCAAAGGAACTGGAGCCGGTAGAGAAGACAAAGTCCGGCATTCCTGTTCGTATTAGCATCATTGCAAAATGATACATGTATGTAGGTAGACCGTAGACCTACCTCGAAACACATGTGTCCGGTTCACCAAGCCCACTGGCTCAACCTGATACTTGGATACATTATCACTGAGACTCCGCTGCAGTTCTCGTGCACTACGCCGTTGTGGCTCCGTATGCACTGTAGACACAGCAACACCGCTGAAGGGCTCATTTGACCCCTTCTTTCGCTTGCGACCTGTTCTTTTTGGTACCGTCACCTTCAAAAGGATGTTGTTGGACGGTAAGCTGGTCGACTGAAGCGGCCTGGACATGGCATCCTCCGGCCGGAGAAGCAGATGGGCCGGGCTGTCAGGCTTTGGGGGGTGCAATATCTGAAGTACTTTGTCAGGTTTTCCTGAGCGGTAATAAATGGGATGGATTAACGTACTTTGGTTATACCCGCATCGCCCTTCAGCGTGTCGACGGCCTTGTCGAGGTTTCTGATAATGGCTGGGTGCTCAACGCTGACAATGCGACGCGAGGGAATGTGGTAGAATGGGGCTGTCCTTGCGCCAAGTTGGTCTGTCATATTGTTCCTGTGGCGTGGATATGCTGTTCTAGCCCTTGTTGGGCTATCTAGTAATGGTGCGGCAGGTGATTAGGGAAAATGCTGTCCCTAAGCCAAAGCTATATAAATGTGGATAAGTCTGCACGAATACGGAGCTAGGATTGACGTCAACCGTTATCCAGGGGCTTAAAGTTAATTCACATCTACACTTGCTGAGCCGGTGAATTGGTGCACTAGATCAATTCGGTACCAGAATGTTTCTCGTACCCACAACTACAGCAAGAACCCCGTTTCCATATGCTACTTCTGCCAACCTGAGGGGGAAGATGGATGTCGATGCTAGGAATCTGCAAGTCACATGACCAATAGACAGCCACACCATCATCCGAATCCCCCGTCAAAAAATCAGATGGGAGGGAAAAAAAAAGCCGCGACTGAGACATGCTGGATGGGTGGATGCTATGTTCTTGATCATCTAATAAGAAGATGCCGTTGCTTTCTTTTTTTTTTTTTTTTTTTTCATACGAGTTTCTTACACGGGGGGAATGCACTGCCTGTCTGACCCCTTGCCTGTAGTTGCACTTGGAGACAGTCCAACAATTGCCCTCCGGAAGGTGGGAGAGTAGTAGATGGTCTAAGTATATATTTCGTAATGCTGAGGCGCCCCCCATCTCATTTCATTTGGACCTCTAAAAACCGGTTGATTCCCGATTCCCATCGTGCTGGTGGTCGGCAGGTAAAAACAGTTAGTAGTTTGGAACTGAAAGGGACCCAACCAGGCCCACGACCTGACCTGCAACCACTAAGAAGACTACGTCCGAGCGCTCTTCCTAGTCAGTTAGCCACAGCCTGCCAGTCTGCTCAGTCCTCAAAGTTGCGGCCCCCCTCCCCGACCTCAGCTTGATACCACTAACTACTATCGATCAATTAATCCCTTACAATTCTCAGACTGCTCGACTGGGCTGGCTTCTCGTGCTTTCTTTACGGGTGAACACGCTGACGATAGAAATTACTATCTTACACCTACTGCTTCTTCCTTCTTTTGATTACTACTGCCAACTGCGACCGTGGTTCTACTGCTATTCTACTTCCAACTCTCTCTGCTTCATCCCCCGGGGCTCATTCATTTGCACCCCGCTTCCCGGCAGCCGCTAAGCGACACGGAAAAGACGATCGACTCCAGCAGACCAGACCGACTGACTACTGGCTGCTCCCTATACCGCTCCCGTTCGCGCCAAACAGTGAAGCGTGCCTGTCTGAGAGATCCTCCTCCCTCCCACTCCCACTCTCCCCAATTCGCCCCGATACCTGAACTGAACTTCCTCTGAGGTAAGTCCTGCAGCTATAGTTTCCTGTTCCTCTTGCGCTTCCGGAAACTCTTCTTGTGTTTTGATCCACCTCTCTCTTTCTTCCCTCCCTATCAAACAACCCCCTTTCTGGTGTGATTACACCTGCCATCATCCGCTGGTTCTTTTGGGATCCTACCGCCTCACCCCGGTGCTGCGTGCTGGCTGGTGTCCACCATTCCCACTCCCCTCCTCCTACTATCTCTTTTTCTTTGAATTTTGTATATTTTCCACCCTTGCGATTTTTGGCACGAGCCTTGTTCCTGGACCCTGTGTCTCTCCCGTCAATCCGATTCGAGCGCTATGTTAGGTGGTGTTGTGGTTGGAATTGCTCATGTGGTCATTTCCAGGCCGACATAAATAAATCCCGACGTGGCTCTCCTGAAATTGCCTCCGCGCTATACCAACCCCCCATCCCTCCTGCTAGTGTGCGGCATCTTGCTGCACTGGCACCGAGATTGAGACCGAGTACATGTGGCTGTTCGACTAGTCGTGACAATGAAGGGCTTCAGACAGAGAGTGGTAAGTGTTCCCTGTCCACCTTCCGCTGCCCCCTACACCCCGTTCCCCGCCTCCCTCCTGCCGATGATCAGCTCTCGTCCACCGACCGGTTTCCTCCTACCCCCCAACTGTCGGAATGCAGGCTAATTTGCCCAGCATGAACAGTTGTCGAGGGCAAAAGACGCAAATAAATCCTCGAAGAAGAAAGATTCCTCCCACTCGTCCCAAAACAATGCCGCCCTCGGAGTCCACCACGGACAGCAGTCCTCTTCCCCTAACCAGGGCACCCCGACGTCGTCTACGACATCCGTGAATGATACTCGAGGAAAGTCGCCGGACAATGGCTCTATATCCCGCAGGGCGCAGGCTTGGTTGGTCAGCCCGTGAATAACGGTGGACCAGGTACGCCCACGAAGCAAGGACAACAGATGGCTCCGAGCGTGGTCATCAGTCCAAGCGCACCGGTGAGCTTCCCTTTCATTATCGAAGCGCCTATGCTGTGGATACTTCAAATCCGAGCTGGTGATCGCTTCTATCGATCTTTCGATAGGAACTGACCCTTATCTTCCTTCGGATAGCATGTCCCTCCCCCCGGAGCCGCCGAAACCATGCCCGGAGATCTCGCCCCCCCACGGAAGTCCCATGTCTTCGATCGCCTTCAGACGACACCCAAGGATATGTCCGAAGGAATCCGAACCCCTAAGCGCCAGCATTCATCGCGTTTCGATATTTCCGATCAGCGCCAAAGAGAGTTGGAAAAGCTGCAGGGCTTCCACGAGGTTCCCCCGAATCGTCGCCAAGAACTGTTCATGCAGAAGATTGATCAATGCAACATCATCTTCGACTTCAATGACCCCACTGCCGACATGAAGTCCAAGGAGATCAAGAGACTGGCGCTCCACGAGCTCCTAGACTACATCGCCAACAACCGTTCGGTCATCACGGAACCCATGTATCCTCGTGTAGTCGAGATGTTCGCAAAGAATCTTTTCCGACCAATCCCGCCCCCGGTGACTCCCCAAGGCGAGGCGTTTGACCCAGAGGAGGATGAGCCGGTGTTGGAAGTCGCATGGCCCCATATCCAGGTTGTTTATGAATTCTTCTTGCGCTTTATCGAGAGCCAGGACTTCAACACCAACATCGCGAAGCAATATATCGATCATCACTTTGTGCTTCAGGTATGCTATCTTCGTACTCTTCTGTTGGATGATGAGGCGTAGGACCTTGCAGCTAATGCGCCGCAGTTGCTGGAGCTGTTCGACTCGGAAGACCCTCGTGAGCGTGACTTCCTCAAGACAACCTTGCATCGTATTTACGGAAAGTTCTTGAACTTGCGATCCTACATTCGCAGATCTATCAACAACGTCTTCTTCCAGTTCACGTATGAGACTGAGCGATTCAACGGAATCGCTGAATTGTTGGAAATCTTGGGATCTATCATCAACGGCTTTGCTCTTCCACTGAAGGAAGAACACAAACTGTTCCTGACAAGAGTTCTACTACCTTTACACAAAGTGAAGAGCTTGAGCATGTACCACCCACAGTTGGCCTACTGTATCGTTCAATTCCTGGAGAAGGACTCCTCGTTGACGGAAGATGTATGACCGCATCCGATACCTGCCTCGTCGTGGCTTGAAGACGTTACTGACTTTGGAATAGGTGGTCCTTGGTTTGCTGCGCTACTGGCCCAAGACAAACAGCACAAAGGAGGTTATGTACCTGAACGAGGTGGAAGACATCTTCGAGGTCATGGATCCTGCCGAATTTGCCAAGGTCCAGGTGCCTCTGTTCCAACAGCTTGCGAAGTCTGTCGCTAGCCCGCACTTCCAGGTTTGTTATCCAGAACTCGAAGCAAGATTCCGAGCAGCAGTGCTAATCGCTTTTAAGGTTGCGGAACGAGCGCTCTATTTCTGGAACAACGAATATTTCTGTAACCTTGTTAGCGACAACGTGGAGATCATTCTGCCGATCATGTTCCCTCCATTGTATGAGAATTCCAAGGGTCATTGGAACAGGTATATTGATGATACTTCGACTGCTTCTTCCCGCAGAGGCTAACTCTTGCAGAACGATCCACAGCATGGTTTACAACGCAATGAAGATGTTTATGGAGATCAACCCACAGCTTTTCGACGAATGCTCTCATGAGTATAATGAACGCCAGAACAGCGCTGAAGAGCGTGAATTGGGCAGACAGCAGAGATGGGAGAAGGTGTTGGAACGGGCCAAAGACAGGAAGAATGGGGTTACTGTGCCCCCGCAATGTCAGGTTGCGGAGATCCCCGTCCATCTAGATGACATCGACCAAGTGGCACACGAAAGTCAGAAGCGTCTTCATGCCCTGAAGTTGGATGACTCGAGCTCGACTGAGCGCCGGCCCCGAGAAAGCACGGCATCTTCGGTAAGTACGGAGCGCCCCGAGTAGCTTGTGTGGTCATGTTCTGCCCATGACTTTGTCGCACTTGACGAAAAGAAATGAAAATCCCCCTACTTTGCTTCGTCATTGTCTTTGCTAAGAATTCGCCGATGTTATCGTACAGCAAGCGTGATTCTAACGTTGAAACGTCCGTTTTTTCTCCAGAGACGGCGCCGCGGCTCCTCTGATGATATTCGAAGGCGACGAAGTGGTAGCGCCAGTGAGATACGCCCGCGTGTAGATCGACGACGACCGGGTGCTGGCGTTACTGTATCGATCTTGTCCCGAAGCAACTCCACCAAGTAACGGTTGGCTTGATGGGATTCTTCCGTTAGATTTTCCTTCTATGATGGCATAGCGACTACGAGCTGCGATGAAGTGTATTCGTGTCTATTTGGTTCCACGTTCGGCCAGTACTTCTGTCTTCGTGCTCTTCTCCCCCTTTCATCCGCGTCTTTATGTCCTTTACCCTTCCCTCTTCCCCTATTTCTTTCTTTCTTTTCTTTTCACTTTCTACTACTCTTTGTACATGGCCTTGAATATTCTTGTGTCTGCGCGAGCACGTGGCTCGGTTGCCCGTGCCTCGGAGCGGACGATCGAGTTTGGACTATTAGAACTGTGTTCGGGTCTGGAAAACGGGTGCGAATGGCGTTTCCCTCCGTCGATGTTGATGTCGGCAAACCTTTTGATATTACAACATGAAGTATTTATGGCATGGCCGTGAACCAGGTTCCTTTTCCTCTTAAGAATTTATCCACGCGACTATACTAGGTCTATAACGGTGTTCCTGTTACCACGTGCCTCTTTCGAGTAAACCCCTGAGCCAGTAATCCGTGATAGGCTCAGCAGCCGCAGGGTAGCATCATAGACGCGCTTTTACCGGGTAGGAGAAACAAAGTCCCGTTTTTACCTAATTCGGCCTAGTGTTTCGTTCGGGGTCTCTGCGATACCCGCGTTTCAGTCTGCTCTCGCTGCTTTCTGTTCCTGTCGGTTTGCAGGCCGGTAGTTTGCGCTCATTAATCCTTTGCTTGATAGTCTCGACCTCCTCTCCCTTTCCTTTAATCTATCGCTATATACTACCTTACCTCCCCTCTTCCTCCTCCGGTCTTTGCTTCCTGCGCCCTATACCGACTGGATCCGATTAATGACTTGACGACTCGACACAATAGTTCTTCCACATCTTCGTATGAGGCGCCTTCCGTCGCTGAGCCATTCGACGTAGAGCTCCACCACTACCACCTCCACCACCAACACGCATATGAATCCGACATAAGAGCAGCTTGTGCCGGCTTCTAGATTCAGGCCGGCCTCGCGGCCTGGCGATTAATTAATTCCGATCTCTCAATATGGCCTCCGCTGAAGGCCCCCGAGGCAACATGGAGCGGAACGCGGAGCGAAGCATTGATATCTACAGCACCAAGCTGGGCGACGACAAGATTGGTGCGTTTCAATCCTTGCTTGATCATGCTGGGGAATGAAGCTTCAGCTGGGGATAGGACTTTCACGTCCTATCTTGTTTCACTGTGGGCATTGAGCTGACGGTTTCTCTTCGCACATAGATATTAAACTCAGAGCGAATGTTGCTGTCGAATTACGGGATAGTATCGAACCATTATGCTCTGGCGCAAGCTACCCGATCTTCTTGTCGAAGCTATGGCCGGTGTTCAAGCACATTCTGAAGGGCGAGCCCGTCTTCACGAATATGTCCTTCGATCAGGTGAGTCAGGGATCGTGGCTGGTTCAGGTTTTGGTTCGAGGAATGAGGGCTCATACATAGGTCGTATCGCCAGAAATTACGGAATTGTATCCTCGAGACGCTACATCGTTTGCCAATGGCGTCGCCGGACGTCGAACCCTATGCCGCTGACATGGTCGACCTGCTGATGGATCTGGTACGGATTGAAAACGAGGAAAACGCGGTTCTGTGCATGAAGACAATCATGGATCTTGAGCGCAATCAAGCCAAGGCCACAGCGGCGCGCGTACAACCTTTCCTTGCGCTCATCCAGGAGATGTTCCAGATGATGGAGCAGGTGGTTCGCGATACCTTTGATACCCCCAGCCAAGCCACCCCCTCTGGGATGCCCTCAACACCAAGTGCGACGGCTCAGACCTTCCAATCGCCTCGACCGAGCTCCCCCGCGACGTCGGTTTCGGATCTCGCACCAGACCAGCAACAACAGGCCAACAATGTGTTACTCAAGGGTATGCAGTCGTTCAAGGTCCTCGCCGAATGTCCGATTATCGTGGTGTCCATTTTTCAAACCCACCGGGCGTCCGTCGCGGCAAATGTGAAGCTCTTTGTGCCGCTGATCAAGAGCATTCTTCTTCTGCAAGCGAAGCCGCAGGAGAAAGCACACGCAGATGCCGCCGCCCAAGGGACGATATTTACGGGAGTTTGCAAAGAAATCAAGAACAGAGCCGCCTTCGGTGAATTCATCACAGCGCAAGTGAAGACGATGAGCTTTTTGGCATATTTGCTTCGTATGTATGCGCAACAACTGCAGGATTTTCTCCCCACTCTCCCCTCAGTCGTTGTGCGTCTTCTTCAAGATTGTCCCCGGGAAAAGTCCAGCGCGAGGAAGGAGCTCCTGGTTGCTATCCGCCACATAATCAACTTTAATTACCGGAAGATATTTCTCGAGAAGATTGATGAGCTTCTTGACGAGAGGACGCTTATTGGCGATGGACTCACTGTCTACGAGACTATGCGACCCCTAGCCTACAGTATGCTTGCCGACCTCATACATCACGTCCGCGACCACTTGACGCGTGATCAAATCCGTCGGACCGTGGAAGTGTACACCAAGAACCTTCACGATGATTTCCCCGGAACGAGCTTCCAGACAATGAGCGCCAAGCTGCTCCTTAATATGGCTGAGAGGATATCGAGGCTTGAGGATAAACGGGAGGGCCGCTACTTCTTGATCATGATCCTGGATGCCATTGGAGACAAGTTCGCGTCGATGAACTATCAATTTGACAACGCGGTCAAGGTTTCGAAGGCATACAAGGCCACAAAGAAGGATCTCGAACCTGCTTCAGAGAGGTATCTTGCGGAGAAGGAGCACCCGCCTGATTGGGATGAAATCGATATCTTCTCGGCATCTCCCATCAAGACCTCCAATCCTCGTGACCGCGGTGGTGACCCGGTCTCGGACAACATCTTCCTTTTCAAGAACCTGATCAATGGTCTGAAGAACATATTCCATCAGCTCAAGAACTGCAATCCTGATCACATCCAAATCGATCCGAACAGTGTCCCTATTAATTGGTCTGAGGTCTCGTATGGCTACAACGCTGAGGAAGTACGGGTTATCAAGAAGCTGTTCCACGAAGGAGCCCGAGTCTTCAAGTACTACGGGGTGGACCAGTCACCCCCGGAAGTTCACTATTCCTCCCCGTTCGACTTCCTTGCTGGTCAATACACCGCCCCCATGTCACGCGAGGAAAAGGAGCTCCTGGAGAGCTTCGGAACCGTGTTCCACTGCATTGATACCGCCACTTTCCATGAAGTCTTTCATTCTGAGATACCCTACCTCCACGAGCTCATGTTTGAACACGGCGCCCTCCTTCACCTTCCTCAGTTCTTCCTGGCTAGCGAGGCCACTTCCCCGGCATTCTCTGGAATGGTGTTGCAGTACCTTATGGACAGGATCCATGAAGTGGGTACTTCCGACATGACGAAAGCAAAGATCTTGTTGAGGATGTTCAAGCTTTCGTTCATGGCCGTAACACTGTTCTCTGTTCAGAACGAGCAGGTACTGCACCCTCATGTCACCAAAATTGTCACCAAATGTATAGAGCTTTCGGTTACTGCCGAGGAGCCGATGAACTATTTCCTCCTCCTGCGCTCCCTCTTCCGCAGCATTGGTGGTGGCCGGTTCGAGCTCCTTTACAAAGAAATTCTGCCGCTGCTGGAAATGCTTTTGGAGACATTCAATAACCTCCTGCTCGCTGCTCGGAAACCGCAAGAGCGCGACCTCTACGTTGAGCTTACACTTACAGTTCCTGCTCGCCTGAGTCATCTGCTGCCACATCTGAGCTACCTCATGCGCCCGATTGTGGTAGCGCTGCGTGCGGATTCGGACCTTGTGGGACAGGGTCTTCGGACTCTAGAGCTCTGTGTCGACAACCTCACGGCCGATTACCTTGATCCGATCATGGCACCTATTATGGACGAGTTGATGACCGCTTTGTGGGACCATTTGCGACCTCATCCCTACAATCACTTCCACGCGCATACGACCATGAGGATCTTGGGAAAGCTCGGTGGACGTAATAGGAAGTTCCTCAATCACCCGCCAGACCTTACCTTCGAACAATTTGCCGATGATACGCCGAGTGTCGACATCAAGCTTATTGGACCCAGCGAGAAGCGTCCTTTTCCTGTCGAGATTGGCGTTGATTTGGCCATTGGAAAGTTAATGGAGGTGCCCAAGACACCAACGGCTAAGGCATCAGATAGCTACTATAAGCAGCAGGCGTTCAGGATGCTTTCATCGCAGCTGAAGCTGTACATTGGATATGAGAGTGTCCCGGAGGACTTGGCTTCACTCATTCGCTTGCATGCAAATGATCTTTTCGAGAGCAAGACTACAGCAATGCCAGACATCCTGGAGAGATCTGAGCGGTCTAGCTCAATCACGAAGAAGTTGACACAGGAGGGCTCGATGAAGAAACTTATCAAAGCGTGTATCTTCGCGACAACCATCCCGGAACTTGAGCAAACTGCAACCGCCTTCGTGGCTGATGTATGCAAGCACTTTGCTGTAGTGGAAGTCGGACGCGCTCTCGCCCAAGCTAGGCACACTCGCAGACCTTTCGATGTCAACAATGGCGAAGGCCCAGTGTATCTCGACTCACGGGTCCTAGCCGAAGCTCTGGTAGAGTCCCTGTCATCGGACAATGCTTCTGTCCGTGATGGCGCTCAGGCAGCGATGGAGGTCATGAAGGATGCGGCCGCTATCATCTTCGGAACGCCTGACCGAGTCTCAAAGCTTCCCTTC